GACACTCAGCGTCATTGGTTGTGGTCGGTACGCCATAGCTGACCATCATCTTCGCACCAGAAGAGTCGTTACTTCTCGCCAAAAAGATAAGAAAGTCTGGTAGACCACGACTGTCAGGGGGAAGTCCACAGCAGAACAAGAGTTGCAGGAACTGTAGCGTTGCCTGGCGTGTGGGCAGCCGCATGGTAGTATCCAGCGCATGCTGGAGATTTGGTTCGTTTAGTGGTATCGGTCCGGCAACCAAAGCAATAGCTATTTTGTAGGCTTGTCTCCCAATGGCCATATTCAGAGCGCTTGCTGAGTCGAAATTCGGATCAGCACCATATGCAATCAGTAAAGATATGATGGCATCTGAACCTTGCTGAACTGCAGCGGGCAGGCATGATGAAATGATCTGAGGCCGAAGTGGCTTCGGTGCTCTCAACAAGAGCTTAACGAAGTTCAGGTCGTTTGATCGCACCGCATTCGCTAGCGCGTTGGGGAAGTTGTTCAGGTCCGCTCCATGACGTAGTAGCAGACCTATGCTCTCTTGATCGTTGGCAGTGAGAGCAGCTTTCAGTCCTTCGTCCAAAGTTTGTTGGTCCGCGCCGGAGCTAGCGAGGATGTTGACACCATCAGCCTTCCTCAGACTCGCTGCCTGCTGTAAGACCGTGCTACGGCGTCGCAATGCTGTGTTGGCCTGGTTGCTTGATCTTCTCTTCTTGTCAGTTGTCTCGATGATATTGACTTTTGCGCCTAGAGTGAGGAAAGCTTGGATCAGGCCGGGTCCTGTCGTTGGACTGCGAATGACGGCGGATAAAGCTTGGTCAAGCTCCTCTTGCGAGAACTGCCCTGCATCTTGTCCTTTGTCCTTCTCTTTCGAACTCTTGAAGATGCTTTTCAGCACATTCTTGCTTTCTGGGTTCTTGGCTCTTCGATCAAGTAGAATGTTCCGGGCCTGGGAGATGTCCTCCTCACTGACTGACACCGCCGGCTGTGTTGGGGCCGGTAGAACTGCTTGGCGCTGGTCAACGGGTATGACGCCAGCATTCCGGATAAGATCTTTGAGGCTGACTCTTCGCTCCATGATTGCCTCGGGGATGATTAGAATATCATGTCAGTTGAACTGAGGCAGCGTATTTCTACACAGTAATTACACAAAGGCGTTGCGTAGTGCACACACGTGTAGGCTGAGGCGGAGCTACGGAAAGAGCAAAGCGCTAGCTCGATCCGATTGCGACGAACTCAGGGCCGACGATACGCCCGTCGTATTATGATTCGGACCATGACGACGCGACTCTCCGAATCTCCAGCCACGCCGATAGATCTTACATTGCAATTTACCGTTTTTTCGAGTCCTGCCACGATCGTTATGTACGACCCGGACGAATACCGTTCGCGTCACTCCGCAATTTGCCACAAGTGCCGACGAACCCTTAGAAATCTAGGGAGAGGCCATCGCACGGTCTCGAACCCGGACATGCAGGTTGACATCCTGATGGTCTTGCACTAATGCGGGACAACTCCTCCCTTCTACACCGGTCTGGGGTTTCTCTTACGTTCGTTGTCTGGGGAAACGGGCGATGACATCCTGCCTGCAGGTGACGAGCGGCACACGTGAATACCAACATTTGGGAAAAGCATTGTGGTTCTGCTCGATGACTGCGGCGTGGTTGGGCAACGGTCACGACTGTTTCAGTGTGATGGCAGACGAACTGTATGTTTCTTACCCACTTCGGCCCGCCGACTCCTCCCCACGTTTCAGGCTTTGTGGCAGGTCCTGCAGGTACCCAGATACCGTTTCAGCATCGTTACCTACCTTTCCTTGATCAGATGCTCCTGTATCCAGGCCGCAGTGTCAGGGTGAGATTGCGGCTCTTTTCAGGCGCGTCCCAACGGAGCTAGCGTTTCTCTTGCCTGAGGCTTAACGACGGAGGATCGTGGCACGTAGTACCACGGATCTCGCAACATGTCACAATCTCCTCCACCTCATCTACCTTTGATTGAGTCACTAGATCTTCAGGATGTTTAACAGCTTGGCAAGCGCCGATGGATCTACGGGTTGCCTGTCTGTGCGAACGCTGCAACCGCTCTTTTACCGCAAGGCTGGATTGATCGTTTCAACTGTCCGTCAACCACCCTGACTCGCGACACATCTCTTTACGCGAGACTTCCCGCCTAACAGCACGGCAACTACAACCGTTAATCCATGACCCAACGTGTCCCAATCCTGCCGAAACACCAACATCGACCTAAGGAACATGTCAAACGTTGGAACACCTGGTCACTTGCATTCGCAATCTAAATCCATGTAAAAATTATCAGAGTAGGTCCGAGAAAAGAGAGACAGAGACTGTATATATATGTCTAGACTTCTTCGTTCTAATCGGACCATAGCCAGCACAGTCGTTCCGCTAATATCAAGAAACCCTCTTTTCTCATTCTTCAGTCTTTTCTTCGGGCTCTGGTAGCTCTACATTCGTTCGTGTTCGCATTAATTTTGGGACTCAACATCTTCTTTCCTATCCACGGGTTCACGGTACACAAAAGTCTATCAACTCTCAAAAGCATTCGTTGTCAACAGCCATCACTATGCGTACTTCCATCTTCTTCACAGCCATCGCGCTCATTCCCTTCGCTATGTCAGCACCATCTCGCCGTCCATCGTTCTATCCTCGTCAGAACTGTGAAAATGGCACTGCCGACACAACCACTCCTGACGAGCCCACGGAATCCACAACTCCCCTTTGTGACCTCAGTGGCGTCCAGCAACCCCACTCCAGCTTGCCACCACCAACAGCCGACATGTCTCTTGTCCTCGTTGCCCTTGGCCAAGGCACACAGAATTACACATGCAGCAACGCAACGGCCATTCCTTCGTCTATTGGTGCAGTAGCCCAACTCTTCAATGCCTCGTGCGAACTCTCTTCCAATCCTACCGCTGGCACCGCCTCTCTAGGTTCCATCGAAGAGACCGCATCCATCGGCGCGCACTTTTTCCTCGACAACACAACGCCTGATTTCGATATTCTCGGCCTCGGTAACACTGTGGCCAAGAAGATTGATGATGTACCCGCGCCTGATGACGCGACCAAGAATGTGAAATGGTTGAGGCTTGAGGCACAAACGGGCTCGAGCAGCGATGTCAAGATGGTGTACCGTCTTAACACCGTCGGCGGTATGGCCCCAGCATCTTGTGCTGGTATGGCCCCCGGAGAGGTGGTTACTGTGGAATATGAAGCACAGTATTGGATTTACACTTAGAGCTTCACGTCTCTAGGATGAAGCAGGCCAAGGAGCTGAGCTCTTTTGGTGTCTTGGAAAAGTATCGCCATGGGTGAACAGTGTTATGTTTCGTTTCATTAGTATGGAGGCTCAGGATGATATACTCTTTTGTTTCTTTCTTCTTTATTGTTTTGTATTCACATCGTTCTGGAAGGTGGAAGACAGATTTCATGATCATGTACGATACGAGACCAGGTTAATGGACATTATTACGTCATGAGGTATTCCATCGATTTGACTTGCGAAGCTACTTGAAACCCATTACCACTAAGCTTTGGAGTAGATGAGACCTAACTGGTCGACTTCGTCGCCTGAACGACCAAGGAAACCGACAATACTGAGGCCAGTATCGGCGGTTCGCGTCACACAGTCGCTGGTCTTGACACCAGCAGATATCGTCTTCCCAGCGCTAGTAGTAAACTGCGCATAGAAGATTCTGGTCTTACCGTTCTTCTGACCCTGACACAGCTGCGCAGAAGTAAGCGTCTCTCCAGTAGCCAAAGTTAAAGTAGTCGCTGTGCCACCAGTCCCACCATGCGAAAGCGTCTGTCCAGAAGCCAGAGTCACGGAAACTGCATCCACGCGCTCCGCACCACGAAGCGTAATTGAAGAAACTTTTGGGCCGGCGAGACCGGCGACGGTGCTCAGATCATTGTACCACGTACCTTCTTCGCCGCCAAAGACATCGGAGACTGCGACGCTGTTGACCAGACTCCAGGAAAAGTCCACGAGCACACCGTTGTGGTCACTAAGCAGGTCGCCGTTCTCTTGGAGAAACATGTGACCTGCATAGTCGAATGTCTTTGCCGTAAGTGTCAAAGCAGAAGATCCACGGTACCAGGTTTTGTCGACGATTTCGCATGTGTTGGTAGTGGACGGGTTCGAGCAGAGCAGAGCATCAGCACCTTTCGCGGGCGCAACACCGTTGCGGACAAGCTGCAGCCAAACATCTGTCATACCATTCTCGGTCTTGAACACGTCAGGAATGTCGTCGGTGCGCGTGTACCGCGAGTTCGAGTCGCCGAAGACGACCACTGCATTGCCGACTGAGTTGGTTTTAATGTAGTCGGATACCTGGCGGAGGTTGGCCGCGCGGGCCTTGTTGTCCGCGGCAGTGGTACTGATGAAACGATGAGTGGGTGGTTCAAAGTTATGGAAGAGTAAAGATGACTTACCCGGCATCGGCGTGTAGGTTGTACATGTCCACTACTGCGCCTTCAGCCAGCTTAACGCGCATGAAGGTGAAGCCTTTTGGTGTGAGACAGTCTGCACTACTGTTCGAGGGGTGCTTGTTAGTATCATACTGATGCTAATCTGTCTTCCGCGTTTGTGCAGACTTGGCTTACTCAAAAGTACTGCATGTGTTCCACTTGACTCTCTGAAAGCCTGTAAAAGGATAGTTGCTCAGAGTGTTCAAGCCGCTACCAAAGGGCACTCCCCCGCTTGTAGCTGTTCTATAAGGATGGTCATCATTGGCGTAGAGCGTAGCATGGTAGTTGAAGTCCTCTTGAACGTTGATGACAGAGATGTCATATTTAGAGAACAGCTGGCCGATGCGGGCGGTGTTGGTCTCCTTATCTCCAGGAACATCGTTGCCGTTTAGAAGGGCAGGTAGGCCAGCGACATTGAACGTAAGAGTATTGAACGTCCCAGAGGTTTGGGCGATGGCTAGAGGAAGTAGCGTGGAGAGAGCACAAACAGACGTCAGAAAGGGATACATCTTGACTTGTGATGAGAACTCGTCAACTTGATGGTGTATGTAGTCTTCATGTCAATACACCTTTACTCTTAAGTATACAAAGACCTTGATGTCTGATGCAGTGACTCGCAGGTGTGGTGCTAGATGGGTTAGGTTACCTCAGACGTCATGGCGAATGGTAGGTCAGAGGGGTAGCATGTGTGTTTACATGCTGCACAGTGCACACATTACTACAGGTACTGGCCCCGGAGGTTTGCCGTTGCAGGAAGGACCAATAGATTAAAGGTCTCGTGTTGGTTAGTGTGTCCGAGATCAATGCGAAATCAACCGGGATCCCTGCGCACGTGTGATGGGGATAGACGTTTGGTGGCAAGTTACTCGAGTTTGTTTGAGGAAAAACAAGAGCGTAGAGGACTATCGTAAAAGTGTGTCTGATTCCCGTGGTACATTTGGTACAAGATTGCTGCCCGCAGTTATAGTTTTGCTGCACCGCGAATCTTGACCCACAATCCTTCCACTTTGAGTAACGGCTTGCCCTGTCGATCCCTCATCGTAGCTTTCATCCTCATCTTGGTGATTCTGTCTTCAAGTACCTCCGTCTCAATGCCGACAACACCTGGGCAAAGCACCGGCGCCAGGAGTTTCACGTCCATTGTTGCCGTCGCTAATCGGCCCTTGAGCACCTCTTGTGCCGACTTTCCATCATGGAGCTGTAGCCTCCAATAGTCTTCCCCAACTTTCATAAAGCCAAGGCCGTTTTCAAGCACTGTATTGGCGACAAGGATGTGCAGCATTGCTTCATCCATGAGCGTCAATAGCGCGCCACCATGACAGATGCCTGGGAAGCCGTTCAAGCCGGTACCATATTTGATCAGAGATATGGATTTTGTGACTTTGGCGCCAGGCGCAGGTTTCTCGTAGAGCTCTAGCCAGTGTCGGACGCCATTATTTGCGCGCATCGTGTCGCGGCAAAATCGGTCCGTATCTTCACCTGATTCGGTGCCTCGCTGGCGTTCGCAAGCAACCCAGTTCGGGGAAGTGAGGTACGGTGTGGCCCAGGTTAAGGGCGCAAAAGCTTCGAGATGTCCGGATGTTGCCGTCATGGTGGGAAGACAATGGCTAATGCGCGGTGTTGGCAACGATTCAGGCGCAGCGCAGTCTTCGCTCTCATCTTTATCCTCATTTTGGTTTTGATCTTATAAGGTGGGCGGTCGGTATTTGACCAAGTGCTGATGGGCGTCTTTCTGTATCAGGTATGTTACTGATGGTAGCTTTCACGTGATGGTTGCTGGTGAGATTGTGGCGAGATTTGGTGCGCAAAAGGGTTACCAGACCAGGACGAGGCGTTAGTAACCAAGGTAGGTATTGTTAGTCATGCTGTTAACTTTGGCTTGTTCGCGATGTCGCGTAACAGGGAAGTCAAATGGAGTGACAAGGCGGCGTCCACAGTCTGACGGTCGAGCTATGTATGCAACATGATCTTTGGTGTAGGTGGCGCGTGTTCTTAGCGTGTTTTGCGAAGAGCACTTGAGCTAGGCAGTGGCATTGCCTGCTCACTCAAATGCCGCAACTCTACAAGCACTACGCCAAAGAGAGAAACTAAATATCTCGCTTGAGCAGAGTACTCCTTCCTACTACAACGAAGCGCAATAGAGCTATATAGACATACATAGAGAATCTAGAAGCCTACAATACTATTAAATCCTATAATCTCTCTTGTTAGGAGCTAATGTAAGCTGCAAAGTAGAGCTTACTATCTCTACCTGTTCGGTTTTTCTCTTGTATAGGGTGCAGGTAGGAAATCCAGGGAGAATAGAAAAGACCATGGCTCGAGTCGTGGAAACCAAGGAGGCAGGATACAAGAACCGTTGTCACCAACAAAGTCTGTCTGTCATGACATTTGGCTGCGAGCGCAGGCGCCATCAGGGTTTTGCATTCCGACGACGGGTTTGGTTGTACCAGAGGGAAGTAGCACGATGTGGAGTTGCGGCATCGGCTTGGGAACGGCGCCAAGCCCCAAAGAGCGGGAGTGCAGGTGCGGCGAGGAAAAAAATTGTTTATCATGCTGCCCCTTCCCCACTAGAGAGCTCCTACTTCCAATAACCATGAGCCCGAACGCCATCACCAGCTGGGACAACAATCCCGCGACGACGTTACGAAGACGACGACGCCCACATTGAGCACATCACCGCCAGAGTAGATGGACTGCTGCTACACCTAGAGCCCAACGGCCACACTATCAACTCTTCTTCTTTCACCATATCCCCTCTTTGGTGAGACGTGCGAAAAACTTCAGGGTACGTTATTCCCGTTCGTCTTTTGTCTACCCACCGTCCCTATGATGATCTTGTCATATTATAAAGATGTTAGACTTGCGATTCCCAATGAGCGCACAACGACTTCCTGAGAGACCACCCCCCACTTACAAACATTCCGCGTCTTCCGAATTGTTACCGTAAACTTACGCGTCTTGTTAGCATATAAACCTTAGTTTCTGCTCTTAAGCCCCTCACACCCCACCATCACGTCGACATGTGCGGTATTATTGCTGTGATCCACGGCGACCCCAAGTCGCAATCGGCTTCGGTCGAGGTGCATGACGCCCTCTACCTTCTCCAACACCGCGGCCAGGATGCTGCCGGAATAGTCAGTTGCAGTGCCGGTGGTCGCTTCCACCAGTGCAAGGGCAACGGCATGGCCTCCAAGGTCTTCCAAGACGGCGCCCGCGTGTCCGACCTTCCCGGCTTCATGGGCCTCGGCCACCTGCGATACCCTACTGCCGGTAGCAGCGCGAACGCCGAAGCTCAGCCCTTCTACGTCAACAGCCCGTACGGTATCTGCATGACCCACAACGGCAACCTCATCAACGCCCCCGCGCTGCGCCAGCGACTGGACCACGAGGCTCACAGGCACATCAACACCGAGAGTGATAGCGAGCTCATGCTCAACATCTTCGCCGATGAGCTCAACGAGACAGGCAAGGCGCGTATCAACGCCGATGATTGCTTCAAGGCGTTGGAGAGGATGTACAAGTTGTGTACCGGTGGATGGGCCTGCACTGCCATGCTTGCTGGTACGTCAACGAGATGCCGAACATCGTGACTGTATAGGCACTGACCATTGTCCCAGGTTTCGGTCTCATCGGTTTCCGCGACCCGTACGGTATCCGCCCCATGGTACTAGGTTCTCGCAAGTCGCAAGACGGCAAGAGCATGGACTACATGATGGCATCCGAGAGCGTAGCGCTGGTTCAGTGTGGCTACAAAGACTTCTTTGATATCCTTCCCGGCCAAGCCGTCATCATCGAGAAGGGCAAAGAGCCTGTCTTCAGGCAAGTCGCCAAACAAGAAGCATACACCCCGGATATCTTCGAGTACGTTTACTTCGCCCGTCCGGACTCAGTTATCGATGGTATCGACGTCGACGAGAGTCGACGCAACATGGGCTTCACCCTTGCAGAGACTATCAAGAAGCAGTTGGGACCCGAGACCATGGCCGAGATTGACGTGGTTATGCCAATCCCCGAGACTTCCATCACTTCTGCTCTGTGCGTTGCTGAAGCTCTTGAGAAACCATACGTACAAGGGTTCGTGAAGAACCGTTACATCTTCCGCACATTCATTATGCCATCACAACAACTGCGACAGAAGGGTGTCCGAGCGAAGCTGAATCCTATGAAGAAGAAGTTCGAAGGCAAGAATGTGTTGCTAGTAGATGACTCTATTGTCAGGGGTACTACCTCGCGCGAAATCGTTCTGATGGCGAGGGAAGCGGGTGCTAAGAAGGTATACTTTACCTCCTGTGCGCCACCTATCACCAACGCCCATATCTATGGTATCGATCTTGCCTCGTCCTCGGAGCTTATTGCTCACCACCGCGACTCAGCAGCGATTGCTAAGCACATCGGTGCTGATGATGTCGTTTACCAGAACCTCGAGGACCTACAGAGTGCTTGCGCACGCCTTTCCCCTCGGGATCCTGCGAACCAAAAGTTCGAAGTTGGTGTCTTCTGCGGGAAATACGTCACTCCGGTTGACGCTGGCTACTTTGAGCATCTCGAGAGAATACGTGGGGAAAGCCGCAAACAGAAGGTCATGGAGAAGGCACGCGAAGCTGTCGTACATGGCACAGCCAATCCCCAGCAGGTGCGCATGGCTGCCAAAGGTGTTGTAAGTTGAAAATCTGAGATGATCACTTGAGAAGACCCACTGTGACTAACACAAATGACAATAGGAGGTTGACCAACATGGCAACGTTATTCCATCGGATGGGAATGGTGAACCCGATTGGCAGCCGACCAACGGTGTCAGCCAGACTTCCACGAGTGACGCCCTGGCTAACGGTAATGGGGAAGAGCGACGCGTTACCAGTAGCCAGGACATCAGCTTACACAACATGAACGATTTCAATTGAGCAGCCGCTCAAGGGTATGAGCGCATGCTTATGCCGCTATAAGTACATACGGGATTTTGTTTTGTGCTATAGACGATGATGATACACACGTACCATTGAAAAGTTACGAAAGACACGACCAGGATACAGCAGAGGATTGCTATGGCGCAGGGGAGGACTTTGTGATCTCACAGGATTTTCCGATATAGACTTTGAGCCGGTGGCCTCAAAGCTGGATCTATGCCGAGATGGAGCATGCGCTGTTGCTTATGCTCTCTTGCTCCAGGATATCAATCCAACAGTCGTTTGCACAAGCCTTTTGGCCAGTCATGTTAGCCGGGTCCTTCCGTCTCATTGGTGCATATGCTCGTGTCATTTCCGCACCAACACAGTGTATTATCCGTGCACGTTTTCTTACCGGCTGCATTGCATTGCAGTTCGCACATGCGCGTGGTGTCAAGGAACACTACACATCACGTGTTGACGTCGAGAGCTTTTAGCCACGCGCACGAGGTCACAATCTCACAGATTCACCAAAGAAAACGAGCAGATCACGAACGACGTTTTACACGCAATGCTCAATCCAATACCGAGATGACGTATATAGTGATTTTGCCCAAACACAGGCCCTCATCTCATGAATGACCCCGGTCAGCCACGGTCCGCTAATGCATCCATTCTTTGGAGAGAAGGACTTCCTTGCGGACCGGACTCTGCAGCTGCGGCCCGAAGGTCGCCGTGTTTCTGTTGTCAGCCACATTGCCACGCTCAGCAATTGCGCCAGTGGACATCCTGCTTATAACTTCAAAGCCACGGCGTCAGGTGCGCGAGCAAACTTCCTTATACAATCATCAAACTCCACCTTTTCGGATGTCATCCCACGACGAGGCATATTCTGGTCGAGTCCAGCCACTCAAAAATCAAGCCCATCAGACATGATGATGAGCCAGCTTCGTATTCTCTACACTTCAACAAGCCACGATAAGCTTTGTCAAGAGCTTTGAATGCGAGGAGACAGCGGCAAAGGCTGGGGACACTAGAGAATGAGGGTATAAAGACCTCAAAGAAGGACGGGATTGTAGGAACAACCAAGACAACAGCTTCTACCACATCGCTATCTTCAATATATTTTATCCCACCAAACCAACTTCTCAACTCCAATCTTCAAGATGCAGTTCACTTCCACCATCGTTGGCGCCATCATGGCCTCAGTTGCCGTTGCTCAAATTCAGCTTGAGAACGTAGCCTCATGTATGCTTCCTTGAGACCAAAGCAGAGTACATGTCCACTAACATCCACTCCCCAGTCGAGACCTATGCCAACGCCGACTGTGCGCCTCCAGCCAACCAGGCCCAGAACATCAACAGCAACACATGCAACTTCCTGCCCCAGCAGAGCGCCCGCATCTACTACCTGGAGAAGACACGTGCCAACTGCCGCCGTAAGCACTCCTGCGAGAACCAAAATCGTTATTGTAATCACTGCTAATGAATCTGACCACTGAAGTTGAGTTTTACACCGCCGGCGACTGCAGTGGTACACCGACTGATACCATTACCACCGTCCCCAGCGGTTGCATTGATGTGTCGACAAAGTTCTCGTACAAGGCCATCTGCTCTTAAGCGGATCACAAACTCTTCGCGAACTCCGAAAAGTCATTTCAGAGAGACAGAACGACGAATCAAGATTAGACAAGAATTAGCTGGCAACAGCATGCATGAATGGGAGGACAAATCCAGATGACGGTCTTTACAACACCCTTTCGCTTCTTATATACTAGATCCAGTTTAGTCCGTCTGCTGTATCCAACATATGGTGTGGACTAGACTGTATTGAAATTCATTGGATCACCTTTATAGATATTCTTGGCTCAAGAAGCGACAATGTTCTCGCTGTGATGACGTTTGAACTTACGTGACACGTATAGACCTACTTTGCGAAACCCAAAGCATCTTGTTGGACACCAAACTGCCGCATATGTTGCTCACGATTTAGCTCTACTCACAGCGACGACCGTATGGCGTTCTTGACATTTCCTGGAGTGGATAACATGACCACAGAAAACTGTTCTTACACTCCCTGTTTGCTATGTCTAGCAAGCGCTTACCTTGATGAGACCCACGGGTTGTTTTGATGTGTCATGAGGAGGCCGTGGCCAAGCTACATCTGCTACCACCCAAGGATTAGGTGAGAAGAAGTAACCATAATGTTTGAAGGCAGGCATTGGTTTCAGTCAAGATACCTACGGGTGTCTTGGAGTTACCAAGAAATCTTCTGAACTAACGACTTGATGCCTGGCACTGTACGTTTGGGTACCGAAAAGCCAAAGATATAAACCATCGCCAAATCCCTTTTCTCAGTCATCCCGTTGTGCTTGTACCATTGTCAATCTTACTCTTACTTAGCATCAGGTTCAACCATGCAGCTATTCCTTGTTGTATTGGCATTGGCAGCAACCACTCTCCTATCCCCCGTCAGTCTCACCCGCCGTGATCCCATTCCAGATGCAGGATCTTTTGCATCATGGCCGTGCTTTGACTGCGCAGCCAACAGCCCCTGTCTCTCGTGGCCACACGACAATATCGTGTCAGAAACGTGTTTTTCACTTGAGCAAGGACAAGCGAGTCTCCGAGTCACAGCGGTAGCTAGTCCAGGTGGTTGACACGACACACAGTACAACTTTTCAACTTGGTAGATTGCTCCGAAGAGGCTGGGGCACCATACATGTTTAGCGACCCACCAGCTTGTGACCCAGTGCCAGTGTTCAAGAGAGGTTATAAGATTATATCCTAGAGACGTAGCGTGAGAAGCGACGAGAAGGATATTGTAGCTTGGCGTACAGTGCGAAAATTCTCCATTAACTGGCTCCTTGTGTTACTCAAATAAGAGAACTCGGACATGAGATATCGTCAGTTCAATACATGATGAACACCGGACTCTTGGGTCATTCACTCGCCTTGTCATCTTCGCCCGTCTTGTAAAAGCTATCTGAGCACATGAAAATTCCTAAGTAGGTGCAAATTTGGAAGTGTTGCGACTCAATGATCGAGCATGCGATGAAACATGCCCTTTCGTATTTCTGCAATCAACTATTCAGAGTTTCGGTTCGCTTGAATATCGCGGCACTCAGCAACTGTTGCGAGCGATGGTCTTCACGAATTCTAACGAGTCCTCCACCGGGACCTATGGGAAGCATCCTAGCTACGCACAGATCATAATTCTCTACAAATCACCGATACGATCAGCTCCAACATTGCTGAGGTCATTCAAGTGGCCATATATGTTGGTCACAACGCCCCAACGTAACGTCGACCTCTGCATCCATCACAATATCCTCTCATACTATAGCCAAACCAATAGATACATTGGTCTCGAAGAAGACTTTGGAGAAAATGGTCTCGCATAACGGGGAATTTCTTATGTGGTTCTATGGGTTAAATGTGGGGCTTGCCGTAAGTGTCGATCGAAAGCGCTTACTGCGTCAACGCCCGTACGACCATCATGTGTGCGGGCTGAACCTTTCGGGAACACTGATGCCTCGAGAAGGTCTCCAGACCCAAGCCTTTCATTCAAGGTTTACTAAAGAAGTATGAACATTTTCACGGGACGTGAGCTCGTACTCATGCTCACCGGTCGTGACCCCAGAAGTGTTGGTAGCTGGTCGTCACCACCATCCGTTGTAGTAAGAAGAGTTGACTCGGACCCATCGTAGTGTGCTAGCATGAGCAATGCCGATTTGTATAAAGTTGCCCAGGAACCCACTTTGGAAGAGCACGCCTTCACATAACTCTTTCCAGCACAACTCAACAACCAGCAGTTCTAGCACAGTCTCGAATCAATTCCAAAATGCAGCTCACTCTTACCCTCTTATCTAGTCTCGCCCTTGTAGCTGGTGCGCTTGCTGTTGAAAACCCACTATCCTTTACCACCTGGGCTTGCAACAATTGCGCGTCTCCAGCTGATACGGTCAATGGCCCTTGTGCTAGAACCGATCACCAGATCAAGCAAAGCGACATTTGCATCACAAACCCCCCCTTGACCAACCAAGGCAGTCTTGTCGTGGACTTCGCCAAACCCGGATGCACGCGTAAGTGATCACCTGCCTTCGAACACTTTCCAAATAACATGCTATTCCTATCGTACCACGACGTCACAGCTGACCATCGTTATAGTTTTCCTTTACGGCAACTCCAAGTGTGAGGGTGACGGTGATCAAACATTTGGCTTTGTGGGCTCGAATGTTTGCAGACCTATTGTGTTCGGCGCTCGCGCTGCGTACAAAGTCATCTGCTCCTAAGGGGTGATGATGGGGTCTGCGAACTTACAGGGAGACATTCGGACAGGTGATAGATGATGCTGGCAACGGCAAATGGACGAGACCTTTGGAACACAGTCGTTACTGCATTCACACATCGATTTTCAGAATTTGGCGGGATGACTCTATTCGTTGTTAGTTCAACACATAACCCGGGTGGAACCTCTTCGCATTCGCTCTATCAGATTTTGCTATATCAAAGATGTCCGTGGTCAAAGAATGTGCTAATTCATGAGTCCAATTAGATGATGTCTCGAGTTGTATCAGTCAAACGTGTTGCTCTCTGTAATTGCCTTAGTGTTCGAAGACCGCACGAGACCCGCATTGTTAGTGGAGAAATGAGGACACACTTGCAACATAGGGTTTTAGTATCCTCCCTTTTATCCAGACCCGGTCAGGCTAGTCTGCATCGGCCCCGTTTCTAGCCTCGCACCCGGACAACACCTCGCAATCAACCTTCAACATCTACTTGCCTACCTAAAAGGCGTATTGCTTGACTCGAGCTACGCAAATTCTAAGCTAAACGTACTTGCTCTTGGTCATTGTAGTCCATAGTAAATCGAAGTCTTCTCTCGTGACACCGTGTGATATCATTCGCGGTAATACCTCAAAGCACCGCTCGTTGTTCGTTCAATGAATGAGGGGGAAGAATTTTGTAAAACCTCTTTTGGCCTACTTGGCCAAGACAGAGGACGCTTCCTAACTTTTGTCTTGGATCGTGACGGAGATAACCCTTATACCTACCAGGTCGCACCAGGCTCCGCATAATTTTCTGCGACACTTTTATGATGACTGTCAGTGTCTCACTAGTAGTCAGCTTGCAGTCTCCAGAGTTATGTAGATTATGAATCGAGGTTTCCCATATACTGTAGCCCACAATGGATCTTTCGACATGCTATTACACACATAATTTGCTCTAATCGACCTTATAGGATATCAGTTGGTCAGCAAACAACTCGTCATCTGAGTATCTTCAGTTCCAATCGTTGTCTAAGTGCTTATGGTGGTGTTTTTGGTTTTCTTTGCGTCACATCCCTTATTACACTGGTCCTGGGTATAGCAGACATTCCCTCCTTCACAAGTTGGGCTGTGGAATAAGCACAGGAGTGAAGTCGAATGTTTGAAGCTCATCATAACGATGATTGTTTGTTGTATGTCTAGAATACGAATCAAAATCCGGATCAGTGGATTGCTGCTCATGTGTGCTTACTGTAATTACGCCCATGTAACATTGACTAGCCCGGCCTACCTTGTGGCCAATACTTGCATAGCGCAAATAGTCACCAACTTCTTTCTTGATGTTGGCACGGGTCGCTTAAGAGGTATCACGGTCAAACAGGGTGTGCTTACGCGTTCTTCGTTCACGAGCCGCATTGATCGCAGACGTCAGCGTAGTCACAGTCCAGCAATACCAGTAAGACGATATGAGTTGGAAAACCTGCGAAGGTCCTGTCTTCGACGGAAGTTTCCCATATAAGATTCGACGACATTGCATCCGGGGTAGACACATCTCTCGTAGCCACCTCTCTTATCTCAACAACACCGGACTTTCTACACCATCCAACTTCTCCAACATGCAGTTCTCTACTACTGCTCTCGCGATCATCTCGGCATTCATTGCATCTAGCACTGCCGCAGATACACTGTCGTTTACGATATCGACATGCTCTGCTTGCAGTACTGCATCCGGATGCTTGATTGAACGACTCGAAAACCTCCCTGCCAACAGGTGCATCAGAATCTTCGACGGCAACAAGAGTCTGGTCATCACCGCCACCGCAAACCCCAGCTGCAAAGGCAGAGTTCAATCTTGCACCTCATTTTACACGGGAGTATAACAAGCTAATGTGCTGTTGGCAGTCAACCTTTTCACCTCTTCTGACTGCTCTGAGAGCGAGACCCCAGAGGTGCACCAGAAGGTTGGTGTGTGTGACGAGTTTAGTCCTAAGAACTCGTACATGATCACTTGTTAAACAAGGAGCCGTTTTCGACACCGCTGAGTGCGGCGGGTATCCTCGATAGACATAGCTGGCAACGGCAACGGTGGTGACCGGACGACATTCTCTACTGCTATAATTTTTGCTTCCTAGATAGAGTGGTGCAGCTTGCTGTTAGTTCAACACGTAACACACGCGTGCCAGATCTATCGAAAACATTACATGCGATATATCAATCTTGTTCACATGTCTGCTGATGTATCGTGTTTGCGATGGTTTGCGCGGATCCAGAAAGTTCCGATAGACGTAATCAAGGACAAGAAGATTGATGAGGAAGAAGGGTTTGCCATGATTAATTCGATGCCCTAGGCAGATAGTACCGGCCAGTCCTCCAACAGTGCGGTGGCTATCACATGATATGAGAACCTGTAGTAATCGATACCACTACGAACCTCCACCGACCTCTACCAAGATCTTGACCTGGTTGTCCTTGTCATTAATCAAACTCTTGAAGCCCTTCTCTTCAACCTCGGTCAAGCCAATTCTCTGTGTGATCATCTCTTTCGGATCCATGTCCCCTCTACTCAGCGCGTCTATGACTTCCTGGAAGTCACCGATCTCATAAGTTGCGATACCCATATATTTCCGCTCCTTGAAGTTGAAGTCGTTGGTGAAGATAGTGCAAGGCTTTTCCCATATGGCGATGTTTACGATGCAACCCCGGGCACGGGTAGCGTGGACAGCTTGATTGAGAGCCGCCTGGACACCAGCACAATCGTAGACTACGTGCACACCTTTGCCTCCAGTGAGTTCGCGACAGCGTTTTGCAAGGTCTTCTTTGGTTGGGTCGATGATGTAGTGCGCTCCGAACTTCCTTGCGAACTCTTGCCTCTTTCTGCTTACTTCAGAAACAATGATCCTATCGCACCCGTTCGCCTTCAGTGCTAGTATCGTCGAGATACCGATAGGTCCACCGCCTAAGACTAATGCAACCTCGCCTTTCTTGAAGGGACTGATCTTGACAGCATGCCAGCCAACAGCGAGAGGCTCGACGAGGGCGCCGATCTCAAGTGGTACGTTATCAGGGAGATGATAAAGGGTAGAAGTTGGGACAACAATGTGGTCTGCAAGACCACCGCCCCAACCCGACAGGCCAATAAAGCCATTAGACCAACAGCAGTTCTGCAGACCTTCCTCGCATGCGCCGCAGGTGTCATCGTAGATGATAGGCTGGATGACGACCCTGTCTCCGGGCTTGTAGTCAGTCACACCATCGCCAACCTCTTCCACTGTACCGCTGAACTCATGCCCGAAGGTAAGTGGAACCGTTTCACCGGTGATTGGATGGGGCGTAGTAGGGCAGAGATTCGCGCCACCTAGGTACTCAGTTATGGATCGCATGTTCGTCATTCATGTACATACCCAGGTATTCGTGGAGGTATAAATTAACGTCAGTCTCAGTGCTTCGACTTTCACATCTGGGTTCATACCTGATCCGCAAATTCCTACCCATGCTGGTTTTACTTTGACTTGTCCTGCTTTGACTTGTGGTATCGGAATTTTCTCGTATCGCAAGTCGTTCTGACCGTGGAATCGAAGCGCGTTCATAGTACCTTCAGCCGCCGGAGAGGCCATTGTGCTTCAATTTGTGCGGTATTATCAGAAGAGTCAAGTTCAGTGTGACCCGGGACGATGGAAGAGAGGCTGAAGAGGCGGAGAAATAGTAGAACGTGGCGCGGCGGTATCGCTCATGCCATGGTTGGCAAACTGACCTCGCGCTCATTCTCCCGGATTCCGTCAGTCTATCACCTTCCGCTCACCTTCTACTGGCAAAGCGCCTCTTCACGCGTGCTCGTCTCGATCACGGAATGCCCAAACGGGTAAGCCTCTAGCCAATCACCCCGCATTTGTCAATGCGGGGTACCGGATAAGAAGGGATTTGGGCGGAGGCTTGAAAGCGCAGGAGGTTCTACCGTGGAAGAGTGAGTTTTGGAAAAGCAGATGTACATCACATCGACTTGTGCGCATGCTAATGTACGACAACCGCGTGCTATTATGCATTTTGCACGCTTCGTTACTGCTTTATCTAGCCTCTTTCGTACTCGCAGATTGTCCGACCCATCTTCCAGCAACGTTGGTCAGCGCTACCATCAAACCATTTTCAGAGAGAAGGAAAAAGGAAAGAAAACAAACGAGACTGCAAGTTCTGTACGTTGATGAAAGAGGCTGGGGATGTAATGAAGGTCTTGAAGATGACGTCGGCAACTCGGCACTCGGATCAGCTACTGTCGCACCTTGCCCGATCGAAACGAGCTCGGAAAGACAATCTGTCATCGTTTCTCTGGACTGATTCGCCGGTGTCTACCTACGACATTTTTACAAGAGAATTGTCGACGACAAATACCGCTGAAGCTATCTACATGCGATGACGAACCCCACTACGATTCGGCACGATCGGAAAGACCGAACGTATAGTGTGAGTTAGGGACTGCGACATGGCATGGTTCAGGGCCTAGCCCTCGACACCGTTGGCAGAACGCCGATGCAACGGTTAAAAACACGATCATTGACGCGTCTGTGACGGTCAGAAAAAGGTACAGCTGCGCGCCTCAACAGACAACGCGCTCGTGGCTGGGTGTCTGCCCAATCAGGGAGCGCCAGGAGCCTCAATGGCGGGGACCTTCTAGTTCCCGTCCACTGTTATGACCTCACTGCGCGAAATGCGATGGGCCGACTCTACCAGCTGGCAGGAGATTGACCGATGCTTGAAATACGTGTGCATGCCCCTCAACACCTACCCCTCCATTGTCTCTCATAACTCCCCAACACCAAATCACATACCTCAAAACACAACCACACACAAAAATGCCTTACCCAGAGACTACCGACGCCTTCGCGGTGACTGACATCAAGAACTGGAGCACGTTCAAGCGTCAGGAGGTCAGTAAACAAGCCAATTGACTAGCCCATTGCTGTTCTAACAATCCTACAGCTCCCTCTCAAGAAGTTTGAGGAGTACGACGTCGACATTGCCATTGACGCCTGCGGTGTCTGCGCTTCAGATGTCCACACCATCACTGGAGGATGGGGAGAGGAGCTTCCTCTTCCTCTTTGCGTAGGACACGAGGTTATCGGCAAGGTCGTCAAGGTTGGTGACAAGGTCACTCGCGTCAAGGTCGGAGACCGCGCCGGTATTGGTGCTCAGATCGGTGCCGATCTCACCTGCGACCAATGCAAGAACGACCAGGAGAACTACTGCCCCAACCAAGTCGACACATACGGTGCCAAGCACACCGACGGCACAGTCGCACAGGGTGGATACTCTAGCCATATCCGTGGCCACGAATACTTTGTCTTCAAGATCCCGGACAACCTCGACACTGCCCTCGCCGCGCCCATGCTGTGCGCTGGTCTTACCACATACTCGCCCTTGAAGAGGTTAGGGGCTGGCCCCGGCAAGAAGGTCGGTATCATCGGACTGGGAGGTCTCGGTCACTTCGGTGTCCTCTGGTCAGTAGCTATGGGCGCTGACACCTATGTCATCTCGCACTCTCCCAACAAGAAGGAGGATGCGTTGAAGATGGGTGCCAAAGACTTCATCGTCACCAAGGAGAAGGGTTGGGCTGAGCCCTGGAAGTTCCAGTTCGACTTCGTCATCAACACCGCAGATGCAACCGACAAGTTCGACCTCTCAGAATACTTCTCCATCCTCAAGGTCAACGGAACCTTCCACATGGTCGGCTTCCCTGACAACCCGCTCCCCGCTATGCCCGCCCAGGTCTTCGCACCTAACGGCTGCTACATGGGTGCTTCTCACATTGGTAACAGGCCCGAGATGGAGGAGATGTTCGAGCTCGCATCCAAGCAGAACATCAAGTCCTGGGTACAAGAAATCCAGCTTAGCGAGGAGGGCTGCAAAGAGGCAGTCGAGCGTGTCTACAAGAACGACAACGTCAAGTACAGGCTCACACTTACTGGCTTCGACAAGGTCTTTGGTAAGAGGGCTTAAACAGCGACAAGAGCGGTGGTGTTGCCTTCTTGAAGCCTATTAAATAGCTATGAATAATAATGAACGTTAAACAAACTTCCTGTTCCCTACCTTCTTGATCTTGATGTTGGGTTGCTAAACGACAGTGAGAAGAAAATGCACAGATGGGGTAATGACGGTTTGTATTCCAACTATATCCTGCCGGACAAGTGAGATAGCAGATTTCCGCTCTCAATATATGCCTTCTCTGCTTCCTTGTCCTCATTTGGGTGGCCCATCACACAGCGGCGGAGCGTCGCTAGGTTCCTTGGGCGGAGCCTGTCTCTTTCCCTGCACTTTCTCCGCCTTGACAAAAACGGGTATCACACCTCCGGTCTCCAGCGCAAACATCCTGTGACCAAATGCCTCGAGCATACTTCTAATTGCTCCAGAATGGCTGGTTACACTCAACCACACGTTCTTGTCCGAAGCGAAGACGTCGTCCAGGAATGTGGCCAGTCGGTACCGTCTTGCGGCCCGCGGTTCACGGTACTCAGCTTCCCAAAGAGGATCTTCGTCCGAGAAACCAGGTTCGAACGTCAATTTCGGGTCGGTGAAGGTGTTTTTGAGGTGAGTTGCTGTGCTGCGGCGATCACAGGTATGTACGCCAAGGGCCTCACGAACGAGTTCCTTTATGTAGGGCGCGTAGGGCTGAGATGACGGGAGAGGGAGGCCTCCAAACGTCAGATTTGCTGTTTCGATCGTGCGGGTCAAGGGGGAAACGTAATAAGTCTGTGGAGACGGGATCCCAAGGGGACGTTGTTCAGTCCATAGCTTGTTTACAGCAAGAGCTTGATCTTGACCTGTAGAGGTCAGGTTGGCATCTGCCCAGGTTATGCCGTCGTAGCCGTCGAGGGCGGCGTAGTAACACTTTATTCATGTCAGCAACATAGCTCTTCAACAGCGACCTTTACAAGACGAAGTTGAGAGCGAGAGAACGGTACAGCAAAAGAGTGAAAAACAACATGGGTGAGAGAGTAGGAGTGAAGCCGTAATCTACGCCTTTCGACAGATTGCCCGATTTGGAAGGAGTTTGATATGAGGTGAGATGGGATGTAACAAGTGGTAAAGGAGTAAGAGGAACATACATCCCAAGCCTTCGTTCCGTACTTCGCCTCTGCGACATTGTGCCATCCTTGACCATGACGACCCAGAAAGAGGACTTTGTAACTCTCGCCCTCTTTCTTCGCTGCCTCCAGACCGGTCACATATGTCTCAAAGCGCCTCCACTGTCGGTCTTCACTGTTGGTCTCTCCAGGATAAGAACGATTGATTAATCCAAAATTTTGTGCCTTCTATTGGATGCGTTAGTCAGCCACCTTGCAAGCCAAGACGGAATGGCGTTTGGAGATGTTATGAGATGTGTCAAGACATGGAGGAAGAAGGCACGAACATACAAAATCAAAAGTCGTGTCATCAGTTTCATCCTCACTCTGAGCGAAGAAGCCCTTTTGCACGGTATACTTGAAGTGGTAATCCAGTTCCGGTTCAGCCGGGGCAGGCACCACGGACGAGTGATTCGAAGTACTCATGCTGAAGTAAAGCAAGAAGACGATTACGGTAGAGACGAAAAGGATGGGTCTGGCAGAACATTAGCGCAAATACACTGGGTGGAGGATGAATATGGAAAGCGCCTGGGTAGTAGGGCTGGAATTGAGGGCATGATTTACATGGGAATGCCGAAACCAAAGATTCTTGTTTTGGATTGATAAGAGGGCACAATCATAGTATAGGAAGAAGTTAGGATATCATGGTTGGTGTGGTTTGCAGAGAGGATGCGTTGTGAATGCGGGCTGACGGTGAGTCGCTAGCGTGCAAGAGCCAATCACGAAATCAAGGCGCGACACGTACAAGCATGATGTTGCTTCTAAATCTGCTCAGCATCACATTAAATAGATCGGGATTCGCTTGTTGTGTACGAAGGGTAAATCTAGATCGATTAAGGGACTGTATGCCAGATGGCTTCGATGACGTCAAGGGCATAGTTTGTACACAATTGCAATATTTGCTCATGAATCGTTGATTTTATCTAGCTTACACAGCTGCTCAATGAGACCAAGCTGCAAAGGCGCGCGATAAAGGCTAAGCCGTAGCTATCGCACGCTGTTCACCATTGTGGTATTCTGCCGTGATGTCCACCAAACGCCCATCCCAAGCCCGCTAATCCAGAAGAGATTTATTGCAGCCAAAGCTGACTTTTGAAGCGCAAAAGATTGCAACGTCAGAGCCTGACCGTATATCTGCGGCTAGCCTGTGACCTTGGCAATAACTCGCTCATTTCTTCTTGGGGAATTTGGGCTGCCCAATCTTGTCACCCCGTAGGATGACGTTGAGCACGCGCTCCATGTTTCCTAGGAGCTTCTGGTCTGGTGTCGCAGTACCGCGCTCAAAGTCCGCAATGATTGTGGGTGTGCTGTTGCACTTTGTAGCCAAATCCTTCTGCGTCATGGTAGTGCCCTTGTCGTTCTTTGCCTCGGAGCGCGCCTTGGAGATGGCCTGGCCAACAACGGTGCCAACGGTCTTGGGCTTGACGATATCGTCTGAACGGTCGACTTTGGTGAGGCGTTGGCCTTCTGATGAAGCTCCCTGTGGCTGGTCCGTTAGCATTGTTTTGAGTGAACTGATGGGGTATCACGAAGAACAAAGTGGTTTAGGCTAAGTAGACGTGTCAGGAGTACTCACGGCGTTGGCAGAAGCGAACTTCTTCTCTGTGGCGACGATGCCGCCGCTGCGTTGGGCCGCGTTCAAAGCCGACTTGCCCTTGACTACGGTCTCGCGAGGTCCAGCGGCGCCACCGCGAGTGCGGCTGCCGATCTTGGTAACAGAGTTCCAGTCGTCAGACATCTTGAAAGTGGTATTAAGGGATAGAGGGGATGAAGTTGTGGTTATTGTGTGCGGAAGGCTGAGTTGGGCGCAGATGTGGGGTGTTGTGCTGATGAAGTCGGTGTTTGTTCGTCGACGAATTTGTCAATCGGCGAATGTGTGTGTGATGGAAGGTGGTTTGGATGTGAAGAGCAATGGAGTAAAGAAGATTGAGCTTTTGCTTATGTAGAGGCCCAAAGAGCGATGCAAGGCCGCGATGAGTCGGAGCGACAGGTGAGGTCACCGCCACGCGCGCTAACCTCGCTTAGGGCAGGGTCTCTCGAAGCTTCCACGTTCGCTGAGGCTGCAGCCCTTCTTCCGCCCTTCTTTCACTTCACCCAACCATCAATCTTCGCGATGACCGCTGTTACGGGCTTACTCATTGTGCCTCATAGCTCATGGAAGCCGGCTTCAATATACTGGAGCCATCCATCGTGTCTGGATCTGATAAGCAGATGAAGAAAATATCCATAACTGCGTCTTACATTGCGCTCGATCAAGCACGCGACAACGCGATCGGCGCGCTGTATTCTCCCTTTGCGCTTATACTATAGCAAAAACCTCTTCAGTATACGTCGTCCTTCCTTCTCGATGATGGACTCGTTTGTCAAAAGCAGGAAGATCAGCCACAAACCCGTTTCAAGCCCTTTGCTTGTACTATTGACCTAATGCTTGGGTGTCTGCTCCATTCGTGGACAGGCGCTGGTGCTTGGGGCGGGACATATATAAATCATCTTGAACATGCGCTCACAAGCTTGCTAGTGAAGTTTTCATTGTTGAGGTACATGGTGCTCGGACGCTGAGATAAAGTGTCTATATGTGCCCTGCTCGCTCATGAACTTTTGACAAAGGCTCGTCTAATTTTGACAAGCACCCAACCCGACCGCCGGAACGCCATTGCATGCATACAGCCAAATCGAACCATATCAACCATTCTTCATGAGGTCATATCATTACAAGTTCGACTGCTGCGCGACCTCCCGCTCAACCTCGTACATGAAGTCAAAGTATGGCTTGTCGAAGTGGTGCACGCGCACGTAACCGTCCTCTCCTCCACTGCAGTAGCTGGTGCCTTGTGGGTGTACGGCGACATAGTTGAGGGGACCAAAATGACCACGCACACGACCGATTTCCTCCATGAAGATCTTGTGGTAGAAACGGGCCTCGAACTTTCCTTGGCGCGCAGATGTGGTTGTGACGTCCATAGCTGCTTGTCCTCCACCAAGAATAACATAGTCCTTTACCGGAGTGATCGCCGCGGAGTTGAGGGGCGTGTCGGCAACGTATGACTTGAGCACGTTGAGCTCTTCGACGTCAACAAGCTTTGCGGTCTTGTCCTTGCTGGCAGTTATGAAGTATGTTCGGTCGGGAGCCCACTGAATATCGGCTTCATTTTGTTAGTTCTGTTATAACCTGGGTTTTGTTCGAGGCACTCACTGATTTGCATGTCTGGCTCATGAACATCGTAGTTAGAGCTGAGCAGCTCTCCAGTCTTGCCATCCCACTGAGTTATCGAGCCGTCCTCGTGTCCACTGATGATGTATTTCGCGAGATACGAGAAACCAGCAACCGTCGCCTTGGACTCGTCGCATACGATCCTGAGCAGCTGCTCATCCGATTGTTGCGCTTCTGGGTCGGGGTTGATGGGGTAGACGCAGATGGTCGAAAGATGTCCTGAGCGCTTCTCAGTGACACCGAGTAGCTGCCTGCCGTCTGGAGAGAATTCGCAGCGCTTGATACTGGTGTTGAATTCCCAGGTGTGGAGAAGCTTGCCGGTCTGCACATGCCATAGCCTCATGGTGTTGTCTGCGCCACCGGTGGCTAGCAGCTCGGAAGATGGGTTTACGTCGACGGTCCATAGCGCTCCCTGATGTCCGTGGTATGTGCCTATCCGCTCGCCGTTGTGTGAGTACCAGGCGCAAACGACGTGGTCCTACAAAAATCAGCTTCCACATATCAGAAAACTGGGAGAAGCCCGTACCTTCGATACGGAGAAAATGATGTCTCCATCAGCATTGTACTGTCTATTGTCAGTTTTCTCCCTCCCATTCCGCTACGCCTTGCGCATGCGTACCTTGACTTGCGTGAGCGCACGCTCGTGTCCCGAGAGAAGAATGGGCCTCATGTTTGCGATGTGTATGTGGAGGTGGGGTGGTGTGACGGCTTATATGTGGCGGGCGGCGTCTCGAAATTCGGGTGACTCTTGTGCATATCGACGTTCAGCGGGCGAAGTGGGCTGCTTGGCGCTAACCGACTAGCGTGCTTTGTCCCGCATCCATGGATCAACCGCCATTCCTATAAACCTCACCTCTCTGTCTTGGCCCAGATCCTCAACACGAAGAGTTCAGAGACTATGAGTACTGAGCTGAGGCTACTGGTCTAGATCGTGTTAAACTCAGCGATGCTTGTTGATGTGAGTCACGACGGCTCACCTCACTCCCATTTGGTCGTACATCAGCATATGTTTACGTACTCGCGAACGACGCAACTTGTTGTGACTCATAGACCAATCTATTCGTACGTTGGTGATTTGAAGCCATTCACAGATGATTCAGATAGTAAGTCCAGCTCGGGTGATATTCGTCCTCTCTTCTTGATCGTCTACCTCTGAGTCAACATAGCCCTCTTTCTTTGGACCTCACTTCTGTGCTTGTAATTCATTACAAGCTGACTTGTTGATGTATGCCTATTTTTACTTTGTCGGAGATGTATACAGCATGAAGACGGAGGGCGCGTCTTTCCACGCTTCACTGCCACCGAGCTTCCATCTCTTTAAGTCTAAGCTTGATCACATGCTCGGTACAGACGCCAGCTACGGCGCTGTTGATAATCCAGGCATACGGTGTGCTTCTGGGTTTGATATCCTCGCTTTTTTGGAGTTCCGACGTTTCATCACTTTCATCTTCACGGGTGATGCAGGAATTGCACCTGCCCTTCAGTGTGAGCGCTGTCTTGGCGCAAACACGCTCTTGCTTCCACTTCGCCATCGGTAAGCACACAACACTTGGGCGCAGCTTCCAAAAAAGTCCAACATCAGGTCCTTGATTTCTCCTTGTAGTGGGCAGGTAGCCGTGCGCAATTCCCACGTTCGATATGTCCTCCACATCGCCCGATACTGTTATCATAGCAGCTATGCTAGACAGGCTCGAGCCTCTGGCACCCAACGAGTATATAGTAGCCTTGAGTCGAGGCAGCGATCAGTTTATCGCCACACCGAACGGTTACACCTCGTAGGATAAACACGATCGCCCTAAGTTAACATCCAGCTGACCGCTATACGCAGCACATGTCTACCAAACAACTTACTCAGAGAATTATGCGCAGGTTATGTCAAGAGAATCACATGGGCTTCGTACGGCAGCAAACCCGGGTCGTGGTTTTTCGGCTGGGAGCGCAGAGACAGCGCATCGGCTTTCATGATCGGACCCGAGATTCCGCCAGCATTACGGTCCTACATACAAGCAGTAGAAGCTTCCGAGACTCTTCGTTCTGGTATTCGAGTACAACTTGGTGCCGCCGACTCTTTCGTCGTATGGTCAGGCACAGCTTGGGCATGCGCAGATGTTCCGGCGCAACTCGAGGCCAGGTTACGCGAAGGCAGTTCCGGATTCCGTAAGAGCAACCATATCACCAATGGTTCGTTGAGGGACTCTCGTACTCTGGATAATATCCAGTGGCATGCCAATGGATCGTACTACATCAAGAGCGGCGACCGTCATCTATGGAATTTTCAGGCAAACCTGGTCTGCGTCGAGTGGAACAAGCTGTGGAAAGGCGCGAGACAAGATGAGCGAATGGTTAGGATCAACAAAGAGCTCGCTGTGAGTGTCCGCGCATGTTATCGTCCATTGCAGCTGACATCTTCTAGTACGTCCTGATTAGCCCGCATACCAAGAAGGGCGAGACCTTCGCATTCATCAAGAAGCACTCTGCCGGGTTGGACACGCCGTATATTGTCCATTTTGAGGGAGAGCCAATTCACACCAACTTTGATGGTGATGACGGCTCTGACCAGCCTACGCTAAGCAGTTCGCCTCCTGGCACTGTCTCTGACACCGACTCTTCTCGGAACTCATGTTCTCGCCCGCTCGCCCACTACGAACCGCATGTTTCTGACCAGCAAATACGACATGTACCAAGAAAGACTGAGGATGACGTTCCCTTCCAGTGGGCGACTACCAAGAAGTCTGGTCGGCCGCATAGGGCGGATTCATGGGAGCTAGTGTTAAGAAAAGGTGAAAAGGTGAAAGTCATTCGCGACATGGGTCGCAACTGGTTTGTGGTCACCGATAAGAAAGACATCAAGGGGTTTGTACATGGCTCTTGGCTCGTCTTTGGTGATGGTGCAGTGCACAAAGACTCCAAGGCAGCATACGGTCAGTTCGTGGAAGATATACGAGAGTTGCTCAAACCCGGGCAACTACAGAGTTTCCTAGCGATGACAGGCTACGTCGACGAGTGCACTGAACGGGACTGTCAGCTGCTCAAGGAAGATGTCTCGAAATTGGGCATCTGCACCCACGATCTGCGAGCATTGCTGCAAGCTTCCGGTAAATATTCGTATGAATGGCTCAAGGAGGAACGAAACCTATGGCACCCGGATAGGTTTGCGCGCTTCGTCCACCCAGACCACATGGAGCGTCTTACGCTCATGGCGGAACAGATGTTTGTCATGTATGGAATCTTGATGGAGGTGTGCAAAGCCTGATCCGCAAGCTTAGAATTTTGGTGGCTCCGTTCGATAGTTGCGGATCCGCAGAGGTTCGTACGGAGAATTCAGGACAAGGCAGATGGAGAGCAGGATAACCAGAAGAGCGGGCTGGTTTGGTAGTACCACACGATGTATGTTGAACCATGTTCGCGTTGCATGTTTTCCCCATTCCGACCGAGGACCCTGAGTGGTACGTAATAACGCGCACACGCGAGTCGCGGAGCAGAAAGTTTGGCGTCGGCGTACTTTGTTCTTTTCCCGGGGTCCATAGTGCTATCGCGTGGGCCAGACTGAGTCATTGAAAACATACATAGAAATGCGTATCATCACGTCGCGCCATACACACTAGACTTGGAAAAGATTCGCAGACAGGATTGGTAGGACGATGAAAGTGTATCCGATCTGCGGCGGACGCGTTGGTGTTCTCGCCCGTTGTTTTCCGCAAGCTACAGCTACCCCGCCGAGAAAATATTGGTGCTCGACTTCTCCCCGCCATCTATATACTGTCGTCAAGACTGCGCATAGTTCCAGGCAGTTTTCCAGCACAGGCTTCAACATGGCTGGTCAGAAGATTGACGGCACTGCCATTGCCAAGAGCATCCGCGAGAGGCTGGGTCAGAAGATCAAGGAGAAGCAAGAGAAGAACCCGCGATACCGTCCAAGCCTGAAAATTGTCCAAGGTGAGTCGCGTACCATTGGGGACGTGTTCAGCGACATGGAATGCTGACAGCAGACAGTGGGTGACAGGTCCGACTCCAGCACTTATGTTCGCATGAAGCTCAAGGCCGCCGAAGAGGCCAACATCGACTGCGAGCTTGTCCATCTCTCCGAAGACCTTACTGAAGGCGAGCTCCTGTACAAGATCTACGAGTACAACAATGACCCTGCCGTTCACGGTATACTCGTCCAACTGCCCCTCCCCAAGCACATCTCCGAACACACAATCACATCAGCCGTCGCGGACGAGAAGGACGTCGATGGCTTCGGCATCCAAAGCATCGGTGAGCTGGCCAAGCGCGGCGGCAAGCCTCTCTTCACCCCATGCACACCCAAGGGTGTCATGGTACTGCTCCAAGAGGCCGGCATCGACATCTCCGGCAAGAACGCCGTCGTACTGGGACGCAGCGATATCGTGGGAAGCCCCGTCAGCTACCTTCTGAAGAACGCCGACGCGACAGTCACTGTATGCCACTCGAGGACAAAGAACCTACCGGAAGTCGTTCGCCAGGCAGACATCGTCATCGCTGCCATTGGCAAGGCGCAGTTCGTCAAGGGAGACTGGCTCAAGCCCGGTGCTGTCGTCATTGACGTTGGCACCAACTTCATCCCAGACGACACCAAGAAGAGCGGACAGAGGCTCGTAGGAGACGTCGACTATGACTCTGCCGTCGAGGTTGCGTCGCACATCACCCCAGTACCCGGCGGTGTAGGTCCTATGACCATCGCTATGCTGCTACAGAACCTTGTCGACTCCGCCGACGCGACCTTTGACAGGCAGAAGAAGCGTAAGATTTCGCCTCTTCCCATTCGCATCGAAGACCCGATACCCGCCGACCATGCTATCTCACGCAAGCAGCACCCAAAGCAGATCACAACCGTAGCAAAGGAGGTTGGCATTCTCCCACACGAGCTAGAGCCATATGGTGCAACAAAGGCCAAAGTCGACCTGTCTCTGCTGAGGCGACTCGAGCACCGCCGCAACGGAAGGTACATTCTCATTGCTGGTATCACTCCTACCCCGCTCGGCGAGGGTAAGTCAACAACCACAATTGGTGTCGCGCAAGCATTGGGCGCGCACCTGGGCAGGATATGCTTTGCCAATGTGCGTCAACCCAGCATGGGACCGACATTCGGTATCAAGGGAGGTGCCGCTGGTGGAGGCTACAGCCAGGTCATCCCCATGGACCAGTTCAATCTTCACCTTACTGGCGACATCCACGCCATCACCGCGGCGAACAACTTGCTGGCTGCTGCTATCGAGACGCGCATGTTCCACGAGAACACCCAAAAGGATGCTGCTCTATACAAGCGCCTAGTGCCAGCCAAGAAGGGCAAGCGCGAGTTTGTTCCGGTCATGTTCCGTCGTCTCAAGAAGCTCGGTATCGACAAGACGAACCCAGATGACTTGACTGAGGAGGAGATCTCTAAGTTTGCCAGGCTTGATATCGACCCGGAAACCATCACCTGGCGACGTGTGTTAGATGTCAACGACAGGCATCTGCGCAAAATCACAGTCGGTCAAGCGCCAACTGAGAAGGGTCAGACTCGCGAGACTGGCTTTGACATCTCGGTCGCCAGCGAGTGCATGGCTATTCTAGCGCTCAGCAAGGACCTTTCGGATCTCCGCGAGCGTCTTGGTAGCGTGGTTGTTGCCAGCTCCCGCGCTGGCGACCCTGTCACTTGCGACGACATCGGTGCTGGTGGTGCCCTGACTGCTCTGCTTGTCGATGCCATCAAGCCCAACATGATGCAAACCCTTGAGGGCACTCCCGTCTTCGTTCACGCCGGTCCCTTCGCGAACATCAGTATCGGCGCTTCTTCTGTAATTGCAGACAGGCTCGCTCTCAAGCTGGCTGGTACTGAGCCAGACGAGGACCACGACGCTCAGACCGGATTTGTTGTTACTGAGGCCGGCTTCGACTTCACCATGGGTGGCGAGCGCTTCTTCAACATCAAGTGCCGCTCCTCCGGTCTTGTGCCCGACACCGTTGTCATCGTCGCGACCGTCCGTGCCCTTAAGAACCACGGCGGCGGCCCTGACATCAGCCCCGGTGCGCAACTCCCCGAAGTCTACCGCACCGAGAACATCGACATCCTCCGCGCTGGTTGCGTCAACCTCAAGAAGCACATTGAGAACGCCAAGCAGTACGGTGTTCCCGTCGTTGTGGCCATTAACCGCTTCGCAACCGATACCCAAGCTGAGATCGATGTGATTCGCGAAGAGGCCATCGCGGCCGGTGCCGAGGACGCCATCCCAGCCAACCACTTCGCCGAAGGTGGAAAGGGGGCTGTAGACCTTGCAGAGGGAATCATCAAGGCCTCTGCAAAGCCTAAGCCCGACTACAAACTTCTCTACGACGTTAACAGTGGTACGGTACAAGAACGCATGGAGACCATTGCCAAGAAGATGTACGGTGCTTCCGCTGTTGAGTTCTCCGAGCTCGCTCAAAAGAAGGTTGACACCTACGTCAAGCAAGGCTTCGGCAACCTACCCATCTGCGTCGCCAAGACACAGTACTCCCTTAGCCACGACCCCAGCCTCAAGGGTGCCCCAACTGGCTTCACGGTCCCTATCAGGGATGTCAGGATGGCGGCTGGTGCAGGATACTTGTATGCACTTGCGGCAGATATCCAGACCATTCCCGGTCTGCCTACTGCTCCTGGATATCTGAATATCGATGTCGACGTTGAGACTGGCGAGATTGACGGCATGTTCTAAACTTGACCAAGAAGAGGGTTGGCTGAATCGGGTGAAGCGTTCAACAAGCTTCACTTGAAATAATCATGTATGATGATATGAGGTATGGCGTTTTGGGCGCACTAGGCATGTTCAACAACATCTGGGTGGGCTTCTTATTCAACACGAATTAGGATGATATGCATAGCGTTTGGTATGGTGTCGAATCAACTTTGACCGTTTCATCTTTTCCATGATGGACCATTACAGGAATTTAGAAGCATCTTTCAATCTTTCTAACCTCAGAGAGCTGAGAATTTGTGCATGTTTCGTCCCTTCAGACAATCCGTCGAGCCATCATGGTTAGTCTAACTGCGTGGTGTTAAACAACCTATGTCCCACATCGGTCCGCTCTTTCTCTTTGTACTTGTTCTTCGGCTTGCGCAATGCAACGATATGCAGTCCGCGATCGCCCCTCAGCATCTCGGCGAACGCATTGTCAGTCTTGATGCATCCTCTTTATCTGGTTTTATGATCAGAGAATCAGCTTGAGCTACTCCTTTAACGACGATGATACGAACTGAAGGATACGACTCCCGCAACGGCGTGATAGAATTGACGAGAGACTTTCCCGAGTTGATCACCGACTCAATAAGGACGAGGTCACGTTTTCCGTTGAAGTTGTCTGTGTTAGTGATATCCGTGAATTCTTTCGCGTGACAAAATGCAGCGCGAGGTATCGCCTTGCTAACGCCAAAAGCCATTGGTCCGCCGCCTCTCATCAAAGGAATAATGATAGTGGCTTTAGTAATACAGTTTGACTGATCATATACACATAGAGATGACTAGCTTGCTACTTATCAACGAGAGCAGATCGTTGTGCCGTTGAAGTTTTGCACGTGCAGAAACGTGTAGAAGACTTAAAAGTACCGTGAACATCCTTCGCGACAGAGTTTACATGGAATTTGAGCAGATCATCCGATCACGATTGGATCGGTTGTACGTGAGCCTAGCAAGCATTCTTCTTTTCAAGTCTTGCGGCATGCATGTCGTTCGATAAGTCCATGTCTGCGTAGTCATGTATCCTGTTTGTCTAGCCGAAGCCTAGGTAGTTCACTCATCGTCGTACGGATGCACATGCTTACCAGGTCAAAGCGTCATAGCAACGGAAGCGCACACGAGAGGGTGAAACGATGTGGGTGAGAAGAGTGGCGATGTACCGATTACGATATTTGTAAATAACAGTGGGGGTATCTAGCGAATGTCCTTTACGGCACGAAAAGAAAATGCGTACCTTCATCACCCATAAGCGCCATGAAACAGATCCCCTTCAAGAAAAGCGAAGTCATCCCCCCAATCCGAATGCCATGTTGTCATACATTTTAAAGCATGCCCTTCTCACAGCTTCGCCTTGACAGCACCCTCTAGCTCCTGCGTCCACTCTTTCAAATCAACTCTCTTGCTTCCATCCTTCACGAGCACCTTTCCAAACCACGCTAACAAATCAAAACCCAGGTCTCTAGACAAACTCTGCACCCTCTTCATATTCTTGATTCCCTGGTCGTCATGCCTCATACACTGCAGTGGACATCCTGACTTGATCATCTCCCGTTGTTGATACTTGTTGGTTTTGAAAACATCATACGGAGAAGAACCCAAGATAAGGAAGAGTAGGGTGATAGCCAAGGACCAGAGATCCGATGTCGTAGAAGGTGGGGTAGTAGATGAGGAACTGAGGAGTGAGGGGTCGAGGTAATCCCATGTTCCCGCGCCCAAGGGTGATGCACAAGATTCGATAGTGGCATCAGGGTGGTTGAGAATTGTAGAGGAGAAGTCTGCGTAGACCGGATTTGATATGCTGGCGGAGGGAGACGAGATGAGGATATTGGAGGGTTTGATGTCCGCGTGTGTGCAGAACTTCCCTTGCATCCATTGCAGACTTTTGAGAAGGGTGAGGGCGATATGAGGGAAGACTGTAGCGAGCTTCCTTGCACGCGAGTCCTCGTCGAGTGTATTGAGCATCTTCTGGATCCAGCCTTCTAGCGTATCGTCCATGGCGCGAAGAAGCAGGGAGCCGGTGCGCATATCCAAGCCGTAGAAAGGCACGATGTGGTTTTCTGCATCGGGAAAGCTAGAAAGGTAAGATAGAATTCTTGCTTCTGCGCTGAGCACTTTCTTGGCGCTGTTCATGGCTGGTACCTTGACTGCGTACATGGGTGGCGTTATGGGGAGCCTGGTGAGATCTATGGCCGAGTCTACGGTTCGCACGGGAGTGAGTGGGGGTGTCATTTCTGGTCCACAGGGAGGCTGTGATAGTGACTGTTCATTTGTCTTGGGAGGACATGGCTTTGCCAGGAATACATCACTCCATGCTCCTTCGCCGATGGTCTTCTTCCGCCCACGGTCGTCTGTCTTGAATTCATAGTCCGTTAAGTGATACGGGAAGGTGGTGAGTTCAGTGCTGCCAGGTTGTGGTGACGCGTCCAGTGACAGTCGAGGCCGGTTTAGTGACGATATAGAACTTCCACGCCGTAAGGTTGACAAAGAGCTCAGAAAGTCGGATGATGTGGAATTGGACTTGGAATGCGACACACTACCGGGTGTGATGGGAGGTGTAACTGCACCACTGTTATGCACGCTGCGAGGATCTGGAGCACCCATGGTCATGGACCGTTTTCTTGTTGGAGACATTGGTGGTGTAGAAAGTGTTTGAATGACAGCCGGTCCTGAGAATATGCTGTCGGAAACGGTAACCTTCTGCTGTTCGTTTGTTGCGTTATCCGTAAGTAGGTGAAGCTGTGGTTGTTGCCTTTTTTGCGTAAGTGTTGCTTGTGACTCGAGTACCGCTGGTTCTTCCATTGGAGCAGGGAACGTGAATCGTGCAAGCTGCGCCATGTTTGTTTTACAGTAATACTTGCTTGAAAGTCTTCAAGTTTGACAAGTAACACTGTACGGTTACAGTGTGCGGATGGCGCGTTGATAACTGTTGCCTGAACCTTGAAGCACAATGCGGGCTAGAGTTGGACAACGGACCCCAAGAGACGATGCGAGACAGGAATAGGATCTCAAACAGGGCAGGAAATGTGAAACGTTAAAAAGCGAATAGACGTCTCTTTTTTGTCGGCGTGTGTCGAAGCTGGGTCCGGAACCGAGTGATGCGAACCAACAAAGAAAGCAAGATAGTAGTACTACAGGTAATCGTACACGAGATAAGAGGATGGGTCCACAAACAGGCTTGGGCGCAGCCTAGTAGATGGTAAGAAGCATTGTGGGTGATAGTCGCAAAAGATGATGGCGCGTGCGGAAGGCCCGCAGCCAGAGGGTTATGGCTGTGAATCGATGAGTCGAAAAGCGATCGGAGTTCAAACAGGTCTATAAGCAAAGAAGGCTGCGCCCCGGGGTATCCGGGGACGGGTGGCACACATTCATCCCTACCCGTACCAACGCTGCGCAATCTTAGGCAGCATGTTGGAAGCAGATGATTCGTAGGGGGAAAAGACAAAGCGCGTCCCCTGGAAACAGATGCGTGATTCCAGAAGCGCAACCATTCACACGTCTTTCCTAGCCGGGTTGTCTCGCGTTGGCTAATACCGGTAGCGTGCAGATGGCGCGCGATTCTTGGCCTCGGATCCCCAATTACTGGCCAGCATCGTGTGAACGTGCGTGGCTTGATTGGGCTGCGCGACGTCGCCTTGCCCCATCGAGAATTCGCCTTTGTGTGCGACGGGTTTTGCTGCTGCGTGCCATGCATCGGGCTCTCTGCTTGGACAGATGCGACAGTTGACGTCTTCGCTCGGAGGTATTCTGGGGACACTCGGTGCTTCTTCTCTGTGACGTCGGCATGAACACCGTGGCTTGTGGGGATGGGCTGCGCAGCTGTCACAGGTCAAGTCATGAGATCGCAACGAGTGTGGAGCTATCGTGAGTTATCGCTAGCACATCGTTGGCTCAAATCACTGGTGTATCGTTTGGCTGCCGTTCCGTCCGCAAATATGACAGCGTAACGTGGAGATGGGATGCGTTTTTTCGCACGGCCGAGCATCGGAGAGAAGACTGATCAATTCCCAACTTCGACATCGTTTATCGTGGACGTGCCTGTGTCATCGCTCGAAAGATTCGTCATGCATCGTGACCATCGTTGGATTTTCTAGCCATCGAATTGGAGAAACTGCGCCGACACCCCCTCTTCTGCGCTTGCAGCATCGAGCATCGTGAATAAACTACCCCGGATGCACATGCCGGTAGGCCAATAAAGTAATTTTTGTTGACGTCGCTGGGCTTCAAGCTTCGAGCTAAGGTTAGGACAACGGGCGTGGGCTTATCACCTGCAAGTGTAGTTCGCAGATTGCGCTAGGTGAGCACACATGGCTGCATGTGGGGGGACCTATCAGGCTACTGTACCATCTCGACCTTGCTCATCGGGCGATTTCCAAGCCACCCGTTCGCTCCAGAGTTCAATCCGGATACCAGCCTCGCACCTGTTGATATCACGTACCCCCAAATTAGGTATGGTCAACGCTGATAAGGGAAATTTGACAGCCCGACCATCAACCTCAATAGCCGCCATGCACAAGAGTGGAGCCTAAACCGAACTTCATGCTGCAGGTTATCAGACGAGTATTTAGGGGTAGACCATACTTTGGTTCTCAGATATTGATAAGATTATGTTGCTTCTTATCAGGGGCATGGTAGGTGTGAAAGGGGGAGATGGATAGTACTTGAATGCTTGAGGGATTGATTTCTCTGCTACTCTATCCCCAACTCTCCTAGTCACCATCCATTGACTATCTGCCCCACGCCGGCAGCGCGTGCGATGATGCGAACAGAAACGCTGAAGGGAATTGGTAAATGTTCTCCCGATGCGCCCACGATTTAACAAAGGAGAAAAAGAGACCCAGACACAAGGAGAAAGGAGAAGCCGATGATATGCCAGACGGAGAAAGACTACATATATACGAGATGGATATATAGGTAACGTCGCCCCTCTATCAGTCAACGGAAACCCCAAAGATACAACTCTCTGCCCAACCGGATGCAGAGAGGTCGAAGTAAAACGCCGGCTTCATGATGGGTAATCGTGTGATCGCGCCATTTGCACTGATGCCATGTGAACCCATTTCGATTGATGATTACAGTATATTGGTATGGATGCCCAAAATATGCACAAAACGCATAGATAGCTCAGAATCTGTTTTGTTGATTTTGTTGTTGCTGTTGCTGAGCGACCGAGGAGCGTTTGTACGAATCGATAATTTGGCCCACCTGCTCCTCGTGCTCGCTCTGGCGTCAGTGTTCATATCCTGCGCCTCGTTGCCAAGGGCTTGGGCTGTTGTTCTGGCGGTACTGCTGCGGTTGGCCTTGACCGTTACTGCCGGGGCGGTATGACGGTGCTGGGCTTCGGCGCTCGTAGAAGGATGGGGGTGACGGTGAGACAGTTCCGTCATTGCCTTGGCTTCGTGGTGGTACGGCCGCATAGTGCTCGTTGAAACCACCCTCCTTGGCAGCCATCTGTCGCTGCTCTTCGGAGGAGTAATCATCCTCGTCGTCAATACGGCTCCTTGATCCAGTGTAAGGGTGAGTACCCTTGCCCTCACCACGGGCAGTCGCGCCGAGTGCGTCGAGCTCAGTGGTTAGCTGAGTTTGCGACTTGATGAAGGAGCCACGGTCGTCGCGCATGGGCTGGTAGCGGGTATCGGGGTTCTTGGTGAACAAGGCGAATCCGGAAGAGACGAGAAGCATGAGAAGGAGAATCAGAGCAAAGGCGGCGTTGATGATGAAGAAGATGACACCCATGACACCAGTGACGATGGCCTGTGGAGGTTAGCTTGAGCACAGTCACAAGAGTCTGCCTTACTTACCGGCTGGTTGAAGATCTCAGTGAACATCAACAAGAAGAAAGCGCTAAGGAAGTTGACAGCAGCAATGGCAATGTTGAAACCGTTGGTCTTCTTGTCCATCCATGGGCGAAGCACTGATACGCCAACAAGCAGAACAGCCTCGATGAGGACAAGTGCGATAGCCTGGGTCTTGAAGCTGCCTTGGGAGAGACCGACGAACATGGCCTTGATGAGGAGGTATCCGAGCCATGGGATGATGAACCAATAGGCGGCAGCCTTGAATTGGACGTAGAGGAAACCCCACTTGTTGAGCGCGACAGGGTCTGAGTAGAGAATGTATGCAGGGTTCTTGTGCATAGCAATGGAGCGTTGCGCGATTCGAACAACCTTTGAAGAAGCCCAGGCGAGGATGCCAATCATGGTGAGCATGGACAGAATAGCCAGAACGACCAGACCAGCGGAATCACGCTTGGTCAGTTCCCAGAAGCTCAAGACCATCATCTGCGGGAAGCCAATGAGGACAACACGGAAGAGGATACCCTTGAGTACAGTCTGCCAGCCATTGCGGAAGTCAACGAACTTGTCGTTCTTCATCCTGCCAGCCTTGACAAGACCTTCGCAGATGTACTTGAAGGCGACTACGCCAATGACTGTGAAGAGGACGAAGATGACGAAGAAGGTGTATCCGGTAAAGAAGATGTTGGTGGTTTCAATCTTGGCCTTGAAACCGACACGCTCGATGCCATGGAGAACCAAACGGTCTCCACCAGCCTGTGCCTCGGTGGCGGCAGCGTTACTACGGGCCATGAGGCGTCCGACAGCCCCGGTGGTGAAGTCGAGAGCACGCCTCATCTTCCTCTTCTTTTGTACTTCGACGGAGATGTACGACAACTGCGAGAGGTAGGTGGTTGGGCTTCCGCCGGTAGCACGCTGGTACCATGTTGCCATGTCCTGGAGAAACTGGACGCGGATAATACCCATGGTCCATTGGAAGTTCTGGGTCCAGGCGGAGACGATGGGGGGAAGAGGAACAGCGCAGAGACCGATGAAGGCCTGTGCCTGGAAGTAACCGAACAGTGACATGGCGTTGGCTGCGACGTGCGCGGCGGTGTTGGAGTGACCCAGTCCAGAGGTGATAGCAGATGCCATGAGACCCAGACCTGCGATGACAGCCGTCACCCATGCCACAGCCTTTTGGTCGACTGAATGCCCGTTTGACAGTTCTGCCTCAACGCATGCCAGTTGAACATGCGACTCTGCATCCCTAATCTTTACTCGTACAACAGCGTCGAGATCTGGAATTGTGTATGCGATGCCTATATCATGTCAGAAGTGTGCAACCACGACGTTGAAGGCGCGCCTTACCTGGAATTACACTCATAACGTCCTGGCTAATGTCGATGTTGGATTTGATGGTCAGCGGGCCAGCGTTCATGGGGCACATGCCCTCGAGCTCCTTCTGGCTGCAGGGGTCGAGCTTCTGGTTCATAGCAGAGTATCCATATACGAGCAGCTCAATGTCGGCCTCGATCTTGCCGGCGATGTTTGAGATTCCCTCGATGTTGAAGCCCAGACTGCGATTGCTGGGGGTGAATGCGACATTGAAGAGGGTGGCGGAGAAGCTGGAGTTGGACATGCACGGGTTGAGCGACTTGGATTCGATGACACGCTCAGCGGAGACGAGCGGCGCGGCGACGGCAGCGAGCCATAACAGCGACTTGGATAGGGAGAATTTCATGGTGGGCGGAGTTGTTGGGGTGGAGGTGGTGGTGTATTAGGTGCGCGGAATCGAGTTGCCTCAGGCGCGGGCGTACTCCTTACGAGTACCGGGGAGGAAGGTCGGCCAAACCAGCGGCGCAAGGTTGTGGTTGGGGAGAGGGTCCGTTTGCGGTTCCTGGGTGTGAAGAAGAGCAGGCGGAGAGCGGGTGAATGTGAGTGTGGGGTGAGCGAGTGGCAGTCGAGAGCGACTAAAGCGGTGGTGATGTCGAAAGTGGTGGTTGCGCAGGACAACTGGGAAGGAAACCGGGAATCAGCGCGCGGCGAAGAGGCGGCTGGGCGACGCTAGTCCAAGGGGATATGTAAACGACCGGACGGGAGCGATCAGCACTTGCACGCAACCCAATAAAAACAAATCAGCTGGCTATTGTCGTCACCGAACTCAACGTTGGTGTTTTGGAGTTGCCTGAGGAGTGCGAGAAATGGGGCAGACGGTGAGAGGAGGTCAGCTTGAAGGAGCAGAGGTCTATGCACCGCGTGCCGGCTTCAGGGGAGCGAGACGATGTTGGTCGCGGCGAGTGGGCCAGATGAATACGCGCGGCACCTGCTCAGCGCCCAGCCTCAGTCAGACAAGTCAGACAAGTCGTCCAACGGCTGTCAAGTTTGCGATTGAGGTGCCATGGAGAGAGGCAGGGCAAGGCTGCTGTCAGTCTATGCCCGTCTGCTTCTCTCAAACTCTCTCCAGCACGACGTTTGCCTTCGCAGCCCTCAATCCGGCCGTCTTCTGCCCTCGCCAGGCTGGAACAGGCGGATGAGGCAGGGGCGAGGGGACAGGGGGCCAAGCTGCTTCGCCACACTCCCACGCAGGAACAATCTCGCCTGGCCAATCAACACGACGCTCTAGGCCTATTCTCGCGCTGACTGAGAGTTTGCGAGCCAGGTCCGCCCAGCGCTTCGTATTTTCTCTCATTTGAGCGCCCTATACGAACAAGACGCTCAACGCGCTCGTCCACCTCATCCCGGCCAGCTATACAGTGGTGCAACCTGAAAGGACGTTAATATTATGCCATTATGCCATCCGGCATCCTGCGGCACACCAAGTCTGGCCACGACCCCATCCGTGCTTTCGGCACCAGCGGATGGCTGCACGCATGCACGCAAATAGAGACGACCCAGCCCCCTCAGCCAATCATGGCGGACCAGAGTGTGGCGCCCTTGGCCAGCGAGGTCAATGAGCCGTAGATTCACTACATCGAGATGGACAAGACTATACGCCCGCATGCGCCTACTGCTGTTTCTGGGCGTTGTACACTACGGCTTCTCTTTCCGTGGCTTGCGTAATGCTCGCACGTGTCGTCAGTCTACACATCATTGTTTCCTCACATTGGACCTCGATTGACTGAACATGTCTAGCCCAGCCACCAACACCATTGTACCACCGAAGGATCATCATTCAAGTGGTGCGCCAGACGTCATTCAACCACATTGCGCAACGCGTGTCTGCGAACTATCAACAAACGTCTCGCCCGCATCTGAAACACGGGATCTGCTCGTCTAGAAAATCTTCAAGGTGCTCGGCCCGCTCACATCTATCGATATCGTGCGCGCAGCCTCAACTTCTAACCTCCAGCACTGGATTGACCCTGAAGATCGTCATCTTTTCCATGCGCGCTTGTGGGTGGAGCTGCCCCACCAGCCTTGGAACAAGTGGGCGCGAACGCGTAACCGCACGTTTGGCCAACATCAACAAACTGACCCTTCATCTACCTTGCAACATTTACCGTCAGCTTACCCTGAGTAAACATTCTATAGACACGGCGCATTCTTGTACAATACTTCCAGATCGAAGCTTCGCGAAACGACTAAACGTGCCTCACAATAGGCTGTATGCAATCTCGTCAATTTGTTTCATCATCTTCATTCTTTATTTCTTCCAAAACAAATCGCAAATACATTCTATTTCTGGTCTCTGTTGTTCACTTTCTCGGTCCGTGGCTTGTGAAGATACATCGTTGCATCCAATCTTACGATTCCTTTCCAGGTCAGGATGTGGATGGTAAATGGCTTTCCTAAACGTGTTCAATCTTGGATAGGGTTCAACATATTCAACTTGAACGACAACCATCTCGGAGGTTTCTATCACACCCTGCATGTTACACAGCTGTTGTAAATCTGATACCTGGCACAGCCGCCTTCCTTCCCTTACATCTCTTTGTTGTATTCTCGCGGGTAATGCTATGTACTACACGTCGTATACAGGCGCCACAGCTACCGTGTCTACGCAGCCTTCATCTCCATCTTCTAACTGAACGCTCACATAGATCGGTTGACGTTGCACATATTCTCACGACTTTCAAAGAACTCCGACTGTTAATATGGCCGGACGCTAGACACAAGTACAGACTTTGGTTGTCTCTACTAAAGATATTCAAAGTTGTACAGAAAAGCCTAATAGCGCATGAGCTCATATGGTTCAAGCGTATGGGTTCAGGACGCCCCGTCGGCACACTACCCAATTCTCAAGACTATTCTGGTTACTTGTACTTGGTTGTTGTGTACCACGTTGTGGCAAGTGGAGAAAGTGAAGAACACACATGGATTGAAGGGCAGAACACGATCGATACGTTGTGTTGTTTCTTCCACTCCATGATGCGGGAGGCGGGCATCATTTGTTTGCTCCTCAATGTGCAGCGGTGTGCAGGCGCTCGAGAGTATGCATGCTCCCGCCCTTCACTTACCAATTTCCCCACTCAACAAACGAACGGATTTGCGCCATGGCAGCCTGAGCGCCGCTCAAGATGGACAGTCACATTTCCATCAATCATAACGGTAATACACTCACCCCCGCTGCTGATTTTATCGAACACACAAGTCCATGATGCCAACCACCACCGTCGTCTTGGCACGAAACACACATGGCTTTGACTTTGATGACTCCAAGAAAGCTGAATTGGAACTACTACTCAAGACGAAACTTCAGGGCGTACCAAATCACCATCTCCCTAGCCTCATCCTCAGCGACATACTTGATCAAACGCCACGAGCGCTAAACATTGCAAATATACCTCCAGGCATCCAGCTCCAATTCTTCCTACAGAACCGCGCCACGATCGATAACTACGCCGGAAAGGCGATCAAAGACGACGACAAACAGAGTTTTGATATAACACGGGCGATCTGGTTCTATAGACTCGACGAAGCACATCAATTCCAACGCTTTCACGACGTTGTGCGATGGAACACCGCGATTTACGTCGCGCTGTTAGCTCAACATTCGAAAGTAAGCAGCAACAAATACTCTTCTCACAGTGAAGTACGAGTGATCCATCATGGGCACAGCAGCAAGGACTCTTACAACCCGCGCAACACCAAAGACACATACAAACCCCTTCCTTCCGCAGCCATTCGTTTCATAACTCAATATCTCACCGCCATTCTCGAGCACCACAACACCCCTACCTCCAGCTTTGCCGCTCGCGAATCTTTTCTTCGAGCCTAGAACTCGGGCCCTTGGGACTTGTTCACAGTTTTTGGCGGTGCGCAGAAGAAGTTGATGAAGAATGCTATGAAGGTTTTGAGTAAGGATTGGGAGGCTGAGTTGGCTATTGCAAAGAAACAGATGGGCAAGGAGCGATATGATAGGGAGGTAGGAAAGTTTGTTGGGGGGTTGATACCTGGGAGAAAAGACCAAGGTGTGGGTGCGTGGGAGAGGAGGGGTGAGGAGAAGGCCAGGGACGGAGACATCGATATGGAAAATGCAGCGCCCAAAGATCAGGGCGAAGGCAAAGAGTCGCATGGAAACGGGCTACTAGAGGCACTTCTCTCTCCGTATGTTTCACATACCAAGCATACCAAGAAACAAGCCGAAGCGGAAACTAGGAGTGGCATGACTGCGGTTCAAGGTACGCCGGTCATTGATATGAGGTATGCGATCACGATGGTGCAGAGGATGAAGCCTGAAGACATGTTGCCTGTTCTTATCCGTTTGTTTCCTGAGTAGCTGCATGTGGTGGAATGAGCGGTGAATGACAGAACTGGTTACCTGAGGCTGCATGGCTCCAAAGAGAAACCGCGAAAATTCTCACGCCTCCTGGAAGCAATTTGGTTCATAATCACTCAATAAACATGAAGAAGTCGATACTTTCGAAAGATGCTACTGATGAGCAAATGTCACGACTCAGTCATCACAAGACAAGGGACAATAACTGTACGTTCAAACATATGAGATTCGTAAAATCTATCATCGGTATCTTCTAGTCATACTCCGTTCATTAATCTTCCATTATCCCATCACGAGTGCAAACCCATCCATCTACTGGGGCTTAAGAACACCACGGTACCTCATCTTTCCATCCCTCAGCGTGGTCATAGCCTCCTCGATACCGCTCTCGGTCAACGGGAACTCCATGGTGATGGGCTTGATGCCGTGTAGCGCGGAGAAAGCCAACATGTTGCGGTGTACAGCCCTGGCGGCGACAACGGAACCCTGGACGGTGATACCCTTGGAGATGAGGCCCATGTGGGGGATAGCGAAGTCATCGAAGGAGACAGTCATGGGGAAGATGATGGCGTTGGAGTTGAGGACGGGAAGCATCATCTTCCAGTCTGGCATGACCGAGGTGGTGACAAGGAGAGCGTCAACGGGGCGGCTGACGCTAATCTCAGTCTTTCCCTTCATGGCGATGAACTCCTTTGCGCCGAGCTTCATGGCCTCGTCCTTCTTGTTGTCTGAACCGGAGAAGACGACGACGTCGCAGCCCATCTTGGCGGCGTATTGGATGGCCAAGTGACCAAGACCACCGACACCCATGACACCAACGCGGTCGGTAGGCTTGACGTTGTAGGTGTGGAGGGCGTTGAATACGGTAGCACCACCGCACATCAGAGGTGCTGCATCAGCGTCGCTCAACTCATCGGGAACCTTGAAGACGAAAGACTCGCGCCAGACGGCGTGGGAAGCAAAGCTACCCTGGTCGAGGTTGTGTGAGCCGTACATCTCGCGCTGGTTGCAGTAGGTCTCACGGCCTGTAAGACATTGGTCGCAGCGGCCGCAGGAGTTGTGCTCGTATCCCCATCCGACACGGTCACCCTTCTTCAGTTCCTTGACGTTGGGACCAAGCTCTTCAACGATACCGACACCCTCGTGGCCGAGAGCCATGTCGGCCTCCTTGTAGTGCTCATCAGTTCCGCAAAGACCGGAGGCGGTTACTTTGATGAGGACCTGGTCATCCTGAAGGTCAGGCTTGGTAGTTTGACCCTTGACAATCTTGCTGTCCTTGGAGCCCTTGTAGACGGTGAAGGAAGGCATCTTGGTGGTGTTGAGATGTAATGTAATATACTTTAAGAGGTGATGTAATAAGAAAACTTTTGGGTATCTTGTTGCAAAAGGGATGAAAAGTTGATGTTCAGTGGTTTGATGGACTCTCAACAGCAGCTGCGACCTACTGTTATATACTTAGTTATGAACACAATGAACCTACAGCTCATTCTTACATCTGCCATGCATCTCAAGCTACGTTCGAAAAGATTCTCTTGCATGACGTCGCCTATTGATAATACATAGGGTTTTCCGGGTTCAGGGTCTGGATATCGCCGTTGCCCACACATTTGGTGCATCGGCCGCCGCTAAAAAACGTGGTTTTGTGGGTCGCATCTCCAACATGACAGTTTCTGGATCTACTAATTCTGGTATAGTCACAGACTCATATAGTATCGCCTTGACGCAGTCAGCTGTTTATTAAGCAGAAGGCCTTGCTCTTGCGACTGCACATTGTTTACTATAGCATGCAGGCGGACACTGATGCAACTTGTTGAGCGCGTCAGATCCGGAGTTCGACAGACATCTCGGGGAGATTCGGCCTATCTATCAGATTTGCGTTGGAAAGCCGATACGTCCGCAATAATGCGACGTGTCTGGACCGCCTCCGACTGATAGGGCTGTCTATGTGCCGATTGTGTGGAGCGATAGACGTGGTTCCTGGTCAGAACGTGGATGCGGCTCTGGGTGAAGGGTCAATGACGTAGGCGGTGCCGGGGTGCCCGTCCGATGGTTGCGCTACATCACCGAAACTGTTCGGCCCTTTAGCTTCATCACCCTGATTTTGGAAGACTACACTACAGATATTTCATCTGACGGCTATCTGTTCCGAGTACATGCATGTATAGTGCCAATTGATGTGCAGGTCAAGCAGATGCTATGCAGCAGTCTGGAATACCTGACGATTGTTGGCAAATGGGAGAGCATATGTCAGCTGCCAAGGCATGGCGGCAGAATCCTCGAAGCTTCGCATCTTAAATCCGAACTGGTAATAAACAAAAAGATGCGATAGGATTCCTACAAATGCACAAGATGAATGTCTACGCGATCTGGGTGTAGGTGCTTCGTAATCTCACAACCCCAGACTCCACAAGATGAACAAGGGCATGACGCAACAGTCTTCACAACTGTAGCTCGAGCCTCACATCTTGTACATCTATCACGCTAAGAGCTTCACCAACAGTATCGAGTAATCTATGGCTGATGCGAGCGCTGTTTGTGCTGAGAACATTACCACGTGAGAAGGCGTGATTTTACAAAGTGTTGTAAGGAACGATCGCATAGTGCTAGGTCTCGACCCATGCACTTTGTCACAAATCTCAAACGCTTCAGGGCGCCAGAAAGGTGCAAGTAACTTATGAGATAATGCCTAATTGTCTGAGCAAGTGCAGTGTGCGAAGGAAGGCGGGAGATGACAGACTCAAGCGGAAAGTCGGCGACAGTGTGAGGCATTACAAGAGAATAGATACTGCCTTAATAGCAAGATAATACCAGCGCACCGTTACACATATTGTTCTCAAATATCGATAAAAGATAGACGGTAACATTGTAAGGTTGTTTGTGAAGTTCGTGGACGCAACGTGCAAGACAGGAGACGCTATCTTCAAAGCGGTATGGTGCGCGAAGTTTGACACGACTCTTCACAACATCATAGCTTCAATCCTCACCACATCTCATATTGCACACTATCCCACACCAAGCGTTCTCTGATCCACCCCATAACTCTGTGCTTACGCTTCGTGTTTGTACACTGCTATTTGTTTTCTTGAGTCTTCTCACGACGATGTGTGTCCCTTCTCTCTACAGCCTACGTGCAGCGTAGACGCTATTGTAGGTTCTATTGCCACCCAACGTAAGCCTCGAGGCACTTTGTAGCCGGGTGTTTTCATTCATCCGTCTTTCTCCTATTATCATTGTTCTTACTCGCTACGGTCGTTGGCTTCTTACCTCGCAATGTTGACGGATCGATTCTCTCAATTCTTCTTTGAGGCTCAGAGCTTGAGGTATACCATTCTCCTGGTCTCCTGGTCTTGTGTCTTTGTCTTCTGCTTCCCATGACATTGGGGTCTTCCTTCACGATTTTTCAGTCTCGTCCTGACTGAAGTTGAAACGATGCTCTCTCACTAGACGACTTCTGGTTCGAGCTCCCCCATCAGATGCTTGGGAGGCTTGATCCTCTCGCTTAGTTTGCGCTTTACGCACTCACTCAGGTGTCGCTCACTCACCTGACCTGCAACCGCGCAGCGACCGCCTTCAGACGCCCTATCCACGCCTGTCACTTCTATGAATATTGTGATCTAGCTTTGGGGTGGGTATTTAAAGGTGATATTCCAGGATTACAATCACTAACCAACACAGCAGCTATAGTCTAAGTACCCCATCCATCGATAGCAGCTTTACTCACTTAAACAGGTAGGGGGTTTGAACTTGGTCGCTAGTTCGAGCCCCCGCCCCGTCAGGGTCTGTCATCTCTTTCGAGGCGCTACCTAGGCACTCAAGAGATGGCAGAAGCCGCTTCAAATATCAAATACCATTTTTTTGCTTTTATGTTTGGAGCTAACTGGGCAAGAGACATTCCTCTTTTTTTGTTCTCCTCGTTCTCGATAGCGATTCTACTGTGATACGGATCTTGCCTTTATCCGTATTGTGAAATCTCGTTTTACTGCTGTTCTCTGTAACATATCGTTTACTTTCACTTTGTCTACCCCACTTGCAACAGGTGACAGAGCCATGGCTTATGTCGCGATCACATGGTCTTGTAGCCACTAGCTAGTATATAGCCTGCGTTTCGCCCTCTCTCTGTGTCCCTGATCATCTTCTCTCGCGATCCGATTATATTGACCACCACTGCCACTACCACATTCCATACCGCCTCAGTATTCACCGCCACGGCAATGTTACCGCCGCTCACCTTCGACGACAAGGCTGCCCTAGCAGAGCTGCTTCGCCGTAAAACGGAGTATATTTCAGCCGGTGTAAAGCCTCACATTACTCTTTCTCTCGATACTATCCTTGAGCCCTCGGCGCAGCATCAATTCTTCCCACATCAAGTGTGAGTTTTCTGACTATCTTCTTTATTTCTTCTAATAGCGCGACAGCGACAATGTCAACGAAGGTGCGACTTTCGCCGGCATCCTCAAATACCGAGGCGACATCATGATCGCCCTCAAGAATAACGTTCCCATGCAAGAATGGAATGAGCAGATGATTCTTGCCTACTTCTGTTCTTCAGTAGAGGTTAATCTCAACTTCTCTAAACACCATCGTCAAACCCGTACCCGCCTACTCGCCAACCTTGCTGCCCGCCTCAATAACAGCGACACGCCCCTCCAGGCCGCGTACACACTCGCCTGCATGGAGTATGACCGCCACGCTGCCCTAGGCCCACAATTTGACCCCGCAAACCCTACAAAGCACATGTTGCGCTTCGCCTGGCACTTCAAACAGCATCCTGAACACTTCATCGTCCTTGGTCAGAAGCGCACGGATGCCCTCAAGGTCAACACAACTCAATACCTGGCTCAAGTCCGCAACAGTCCCCACTGGGATAAAACTAGGCTGGATAGACAGGCGCTCTTCGACTTCTCCTTTAAGGGTGGCTTGGAGGACATCAATCTCGCCGCGGCTAAGGGAAAAAAGAAGAAGATTAGGGGTAAGGGAAGGAACAAGAAGGGTTCAGGTGCAGCCGCTGATGAACCGTCTGCATCGGTATCTAACCTTTCGGAGCTTCCCACTCTCTACTACGAGTCCTCACGCATACATGAGCACTGTAGAGGCAACGCTCTACTACAAGGTCTCGTGGCTGCTATGCCTGGTGTCCGCGACATCGGTTCGCATGTGGAAGTATTCGACATTGGCGATTTGAGCGACTTCAAAGTCATGAATTTAGAGGAGCCGGATCAGTCATACGAGGACGAGGTTGACGAGATGACGGCCAGGGATGATGATGCCATGGAGGCTGACGAGGATCTTTGTATCATTGATGGCGCTGATCTGAACCTGTGGATCAGCAAGCGTGATGGATCAGACCTGTAGACACGCACGCGTGGCTTCTCTTAGGATACCTTGACTTCTTAAAGGAGAAGTAGATGTAGACTTTTACCGTCTTCATGTGTTTTCGGATACATCACACTTTCTTGGTAATCATAGCGCGTAGCTGCTAGATTAGCAATGCAGTAGACTTGGAACTTTACTGAAAAAGCATCACTGTATACATATGTTCCATCTCCAAGCCATGACACTGTTTTGTTCCAAAGCGTATAGTCCCTAAGCTTTCTGTGCATTACACTCAATAATTTACAAGACAGCATGTATAAGCTGCGCCATCACTTTATGCCTCTCTTACGCTACCTTGATCATTCATCCAGCCTGGTATACTGGGTTCTCCGTCTTATAATACATAGCCTTCACTGGCTGTTGTTGTGCCGCATACCGTACTCTTGCCTTCGCACTCTCTTCTCTACTCTTCATCTTCCTGTCCACCATCTGAAGTGCAAGGATTTGGTGGTCCGAGAGACCAGCGAGACCTTGTGCTGTACGTGGGGTGGCGATGAGATGAGGGTCATTGTTAGTGGTTCTCAAAGCTAGTTGTCTTGATGATGAGTTCATTGGAGTGTCCTGATCTTGGTGCTCTGCTTGAGCGATGGCAGCGGTTTTGTTGGACAAGTACCGTGAATGCGCGTGTCTTCGCCTGATAGGTTTCGATGTTGTCTCATCACCACGACTGTGTCGAGAATTGATGATCAATTTGGATGGCAGACGTCTCTCCGTCTTTGGGAGCCTTGTAATGGTCGTACCTGTCTGGCCATCCTTATTCTCTTGATCTGCTTCGAAATCCCAGAAATCGCCGAGTTCAGACATGTCGATCATGCAGTGTCCCTTGTCTCGCATGTGCGTTTGCACAGCTTCGACAGTGGCTTTCTCTTGTCCGCAGTATAGACATTCGTGGTATTCGAAGACTGTTAATGCTAGGTATGAGAGCAGAGAATCCAGGGAGTAAAGTGCTGAGAGCGATGGGATGAAGAGGCCATGGTGGGTGGACATGTGCTCTAGGGCTGTTGTATAAGTGGAAGTGAGGAAAGGGCAGAAGAGACATTGTGTTGAAGGCGCCTTCTCGGAATGATCATCAGGTATGCCTTCAACGTAGGCTTCGGAATTGATGTCCTTCTTGATGTTGTCGTTGTACAATATTGTCCGCGGCTTCCGTAACATAGTATCATCGTTGTTTCTTGGTCGGTGTGTGACTTCTTCGCTCTTGCATTCTTGCACCTCGAACTCTTGCTCGGTCATAGATGGTAACCCAGCTACCTTGCGTTTGAGGTTGCACACACTGTGCATAACTGTCAGTGTCGTGAATACTAATTTTTATGCTCAGTGCCATCTTACTGCCAAGGCTGTTGCATGTGTGCACGCTGGAGCGCACTTGTTGTGTATGTAAGAGAACATGTGTTACATGGGAACATAGTCCGCAGTTCTGAAGCCATCTTTGTCGTCGCCTTTTTTATTGCTTGTTGGGAAGTCTCGAGGTAGGTAAGATGAAGAGTCTGTGGTGGGAGGGTTAAATCCACTTCTCGTATTGAGGCGAAAGAGTGATGAGAAACAGTCTTGCTGATAGGATCAACTGAGACATCAATGTGTTATATAGTAAGAATGGGAAGGTTGGCATTTGAGAGAGCGCATGTGCAATACTGAGTCACGTGTTCACTCAGACGAGGCGCAGTCGCTCGAAAGCCACAATGAGTCATTTCCACTCACTTGCAACCATAACGAGCACAACAACTAATCCTTAGTGGCATACAAATCACTCCCACCAAGACCTCATCATGGAGTCGCATGTTCAAAAGATTAGCAATTAATTGTCAAGTATGATACCCGGCTTCCTGCCAAGAGGTCCCTCCCTCTCTAGCCGTCTTCCTATCACAGCTCAGTTTTTCCGTCAATCCCAGTCCGCTCAGCTTAAACAAAACTTTTTCTACAAATCTACCCACACTATGTCTTTTTCGGCCTTCCCCAGCCGACAAAGACAAAAGGTCCTTATCTTCGACGCGCAATTCTGCTTGAGGGTCATATTCATCCACGTCGCCGCCAAAGTAATCTGAATGCGCGGACCAGCGGGAAGACGAGATGGAGTTTGATGGAGAACGATGCGCGTGGAAGATATGCCCATCATAGTCATATCTAAAACGTGTCATCTGGTCGTAGCCTGTTATATAGGGACGGCGGAGTGAGTCTAGAGTTTTGGAGTAGCGAGGTGGGTGATAGTCAGCTGTAAAGCCATCTCCAGTTGCATACTGTGCGTGTTGAGGGTCTACTGGTGACTGAATCGATGGGGGAGCTGCGAAGTATTGAGCTTGGCGCCGCGATGGATTTGAAGCTTCTGAAATGACAGAGTCGTGCCGCACAAAAGGACCAGAAGTTCCGACAGGCAAGGGCTTGCGTTTAGTTTGCTTAGAGACTCGTTCATCTGTGGGCAGAGATGGTAGGGGCTTCTGCGTACAGGCCGCCGCACTCCTGCGGCCCTGCTTTGCATACGCCTTTCCTAAGCTGCTGGCTTTGCGGTTTAGGGGAGCGGGTGCCAATTGAGGCACTAAAACCTCTTCTACCACAGTCGCCCTTCTTCGGTAAGAAATTGCGGGATGCCCACTACCATCCCAATCGACGATCACGGTACCTTTGCTCGTCGGTCGATCGTCTGACGCTTGTGAGAATTGCCACGATGCCACATGTTCGTCAATCATCTGAGATAGCTCCGCTGCAGCCCCGTAGCGGGCTCGAATGTAACGCGGAGGTTCGAGACGCCGATTGTTGTTTAGAGCGCTATGCTGCTCACATTGTTGCTGTGAAATCTGGGTGTTCCGATTCCCAGTGCTTCGAGAGGAAGGACGGTGTAACATAGTATGACTGGTTTTCGCGTTGATTGTGTTACCGTGTTGGGTCATTCGTTTGACCTTTGATTCGAGCTTTTGTCAACGTTAAAACTTGTGTTGTTGTTACAGTTGAACGGCTGTCGGTTGTTTTTAATAATCTTTGCAGAACTGTGGTATGATACGGTTGGTTATAAGGGATCTTCTTGCACAGTACTGGTGAGTTCTAAGTGAGTTTACAGTGCTGCCATGAACACAGTCTCTGCAGATGAGAGTAATTCATGCAGTGAATACATGCCGTCAGTGACGCCAAATGGGACGGCGTTGGGAATTTGATCTGACCTCACAGAGCGTCAGTCGCTTCGAATACATCGCTTGATCAGGGTGAAGCCCATTTGGCTGATGACGGCTAAGAAAAGCGATGAGAGTAGAAAGAGATGATTGTGAAGCGATTCAACCCATCATCATTAGCAAATTAAATACAATCCTGTTGGTCTGTCAACATCCCATATCTCTTGACATTGACCAACTTATCCCAACTAACCCAGGTATATTATGACTGCAATCTCTTTCGTCTACCCCAAGCTCGCCTGCTTCTCGAGATGCATATGAACAGAAATGACGCAACAGATTGCTATGGAACATGTCAGACACAGGAAGGAAATGGTATAGACCAAAAGCACAAACTCCGTGACGAACGATGAACAGGAGGGGTAGGAAGCACAGCGCATGGACCCCGGGTATTACGAAGCTCCAAAGACCCTCATGATGGATGAAGACGGCCTGAATGTGCAGACAAGAAACGGATAATCCATCTAGTGCTTGTCCTTGCTGGAAAGCTTGTCCTTGATCTTGCCGAAGAAAGAGCGACGCTTCTTCTTCTTGTCATCGGCACCAGAAGCGATGCTCTGGCTACCAGGTGTGCCCTTGGGAGATACGTCTGAGTCTTTCCTGAGGTTCTTGGCAGGAGATTCTGGTGCCAGCTGTGCAGCTGGGGCGGAGCTCGTAGCCTCAGTCTTGCTTGTTTCTACACCGGTGGTGACGGTTGGCTGGGTCTGCTCGGTGGTAGTTGGCGCTTGCTTGTTGAATGCAACGTCGGTGCTGGAATCGATGGGCTTAGCGTTCGGTGGCTGAGTAGGCTCGGATGCGGGCGCGTTGAGAGCATTAGGCTCGCTAGAAGACTTGAGTGGCTTGGAGTCAACAAGAGCCTCATCAGAGAGGCCGGCAGCAGCGCTGGGAGCGGGCTCGCCAGTAGCGTCAGTCGACTTTACTTCGTTAAGAAGTTCAGTCTCCATAGCACGCTTCTCGCTAACTGCCTCAGCGTTGGTGGCGGCCTCAGGACTGGCATGGGCTTCCCTTTGGCTCTCGGCGACAACGTTGGGGACCTCACGAGCGACGGCTTCATTGACAGACTCAGTGGCTGTGCCAGATGGAATTGCAGTGGCGGCAGCAGCAGCAGCGACAGGTGCAGTCGCGGTAGTCGCAGCAGTCAGTACTGGGGCTGGCTCACCCGCTTCATCGGATCTTGGAAGCTTTTCAAGTAGCTCAGATTCTACGGCTGACTTCTCAGCAACAGCCTCGCTGTTAGCAGCAGCCTCGGGGCTAACATGCGCCTCGTGTTGGCTATCAGCGACAACCTCGGGTACATCGCGAGAAACAGTCTCTGATTGAGCTACAGGAGCGGTGGTAGCTGTGGCAGCGGAGACAGCGGGTGCTGGCTCACCAGATTCGTTGGTCTTAGGAACCTCGCGCAATAGCTCAGACTCCATAGCGGTCTTCTCTGCGACAACCTCGGGGCTGGATGCTGCTTCTGGGCTTGCATGTGCCTCTTTCTGGCTCTCGGAAACGACAGCTGGAATGGCAATAGCCGGGGCAGGGAGACCTGTCTCGGTTGTCTTGGGAACCTCGCTGAGTAGTTCCTGCTCCATAGCCGACTTCTCAGCAACAGCCTCAGGGCTGGCGGCCGCCTCTGGCGCAGCGTGGGCTGCGGTCTGGCTCTCAGCGACAACAGAGGGTACGTCCTCCGCAGCAGTGGTGGTGGCGCTGGCAATAGCGGGGGCAGGCTCTCCGGTTTCGTTGGTCTTGGGAACTTCGCTGAGTAGCTCCTTCTCCATTACCGACTTCTCAGCAACAACCTCAGGGCTAGCTGCTGCTTCTGGCTCAGCATGGGCTGTGTTCTGGCTCTCAGCGACGATGGAGGGAACCTCGTCAGCAGTGCTGGTGCTGGGACCAGTCATGCCAGTAGCCTCAGCGGCCTTCTCTTTGGCAGAGTAGACGGCCGCAGTGAAGAGACCCGCACCAGCAGCGGCGCCTGCAGCAGCAGTAGCAGCGGCCGCTTTGGCAGTGTCGCTCAGACCAGCATCTCCACTGGCTGCAGGCGCTTCGGATACCTTCTCCTTCAACTCCTGCTCGACCTCCTTCTTGTCCTGAACGGCTTCTGGGTTGGCGGACGCCTCAGGGTCAACGTGGGCCTCTTGTTGGCTGTCAGTCACGGTCTCGGGGACACCGCGAGGCTCCTTAGGAACCTGGCCGGCAAGTTGGGCGGTGGTGCTCTGGGGGGCTGAGGACTGAATCGTGACGCCGGTGTCTTGCTCAACCTTGGCATCTACACCCATTGGCAGGCTTGACTCTGGAATCATGTTGCCCATGACTGGAGGAATGCCAAACATGCCACCATTGGCGTCGCGCTCAGCTTGAGGGGTGAAGGCGAGTGGGGGAAGAGCATCGGCCTTTTCGTAAGATGAGGCGTCGGTGTTGACTGTGCTGTCGACGGTATTGGAAGTAAAGGTGCTGGCATCTGGCACCTTCTCGCCAGGCGCAAGGTGAATGGGATTACCAGCACCTGCGGTGGCCGGGAGCGGCGAGATGCCGAGTGCTGATGGCTCCTGCTCAAGCTCCTTGTCGTGCTTGACAGTCGAGTCTACAGTGTTATCTGTAAGGGTGCTCGCTTCAGGAACGGGCTCGCCAGGCGCAAGCTTAATGGGGTTGCCGAGACCTGAGGTAGCGGGGATGGGCGCGACGTTGAAGGTCTGCGGTTCGCTGCCAGGTGTCTCTGCGTAGGGTGTCTCAGGGAAGGCGCCAGGTACAGGGGAGTTGGATGCATTGGTCTTGGCCTCCTTCTCGCTCTCCTTTGGCACGGCACCGGCTAGCGCAGCGGTTGTGGACTCGGGCGCGGCAGAAGACATGGTGTTGACGGGCTCCTCGTCGACGATGTCTTCGGGAAGGAGGACGTTGTTGATGATGCCGTGACCGTCGTCTTCTTTGCGCGCGCTGTCGTTGGTACACCAGTTACCATTCACAACGAACTGCGGGAGACGTGTTAGCAAAGTTTGCGCAAACGGGGCAGCCGATGCTATGCGATGGGCGGCTGCGTACCTTGTACTGGGTGTGGGTTTTGGGCAGCTCGACAGTCTTCTTGAAGATGCCATCTTCCTTCTCTAGCTTGACCGTCTTCCTCCAGTCATCGAAGGTGCCAGTCACGAAGACCTCATTGGCCGAGTGTTCCCTGCGCGCGTGTAAGCAGTTGCGATGGGCGACTTGAGGCAGTCGCGAACGAACCAGGTGAAGGTATATTTGCCCATATCAGCGCAGCGATGGACGTGGATCAGGGATTGCAAAAGTGGGAGTAGGGAGTAAGACCTGTCTTGGGCGCAGGGAGGAGGAGTAGTTCAGTTGTGGAGGTGGTTGGTAAGTCAGGATCAGGAGCTGCGTTCGGGTGGAGCTAGCTTGCGGCTTGAGGATCAAGCCAGTGCCAGTGCGCGCTCGGACAGTTTGGGGCGACGAAGCTTGCGACTGTTTCGTCAGACCAACAGAAGCGGAGACAATACACAAGCGCAGAGGGTCAAGGAGCGCGACGACTTTTAGATGCAGAATTGGCGAGGCTGGAGGGCTGTTTGGACGCGATATTGCACGGAATCTGCAAGATTAAAGACGGCGCTGTTAGCGGCAGGGAAGCTTGGCGTGATGCCGTTCATCGCGAGCCCTAGAACACGCGGGACCGACGGCCAGCATGTGCAATGACGAAAGGCAACTGGCGTGGTGCTCAATTGCAGCTACTCTACATAATTCTGAGCTCCGCGTGCACCCTCGAGTTATGCCGTGCATGCAATTCGTATTCGGTCGCTTCCTCTCGCAGCCCACAAATACATCACGGCCCCTCCAGTTTTGCTCCACGTGCTCGTGCACCTCACATGGCCGGCTTTGTGCGTCATCGCCATGTCCGGTCGGGATAGCTGGGCAATTCCGGGGTTCGCACGTGAGCAGCTGCTACCCATAGGTGGTACCTAGGTACCAGACAACGAGTCTCTGTTATCGTTATATCTCAAATACCCTCCGGGACGCCTCTTTATCAGAGTTTTCGTCCTCTTGCTGCACCGCGCGTCTCAACATATTCATGGATGGATTCACCGCATCGCCTACGCCGCGTTTGAGTGCCTCACCGCCAATTACAAGGTTGCGCGTATCCATGTCATGCTTCATCGTCGAAACCAATTCCCGTTGCACTGATTGCGAAAGATGGAAGACGGCGTTCACTACGGAATTATTTACTTGGGATAAATAGCTTCCACCCGAAATATTCTTGTTGGCAGTGCAGTAACTGAACAATGCACGCGCACCACGGCGTGCGCGACTTGATGACGCGAGCACGACTGCGATGCAGCAACCAAGTCAACACGGCAACTAGAACTGTCCTAAGCGCGTGTGAGAACATGAATCGATGGCAGTCTTTGTAAATCACAGCTTGGAGCCGTACCTGCCTACATCCATTGTCCTATCTTGACAGTTCACGACTCAGGTGTGGCATATTGTTAGTGCAAGATGCAGTCTGCGAGCAGGCCATGGGCGGGAGCTAAAGCACAGCTTGATTGGCATCGGCGGCCTGGTAGCTATCATAGCTGTCCTACACGGTGGCTACGAGAGCGCATTGAGCGTTTGAGTCACGACAGGCAATGCGGGTGGCATCCAATTGCATCCCCCAGAGCGGGCAGCCGTCGCCTATATGTCGCAGTGGGTGCCTACAGCGTGCGCGTGTTTCTAGAGGGCTTCTGGAAGATAATAAGCCCCAGGAAAGCTTGCCTCGATCCTTACCAGTGACTGCCCTGCCCGCCATCCCACACTCGTGATCCCCTCCCGCACCAGTCCCCTCTTCCTGCGCATCCTCACCGCGCTTACTGCGACCACAGCCACAGCCTGCAGCGTGCAATTGCGTTCCTTACTCCCCAATACACTCTGTTTAGACCTCACCTGTCCACCTCGCTGCCCGTCTTGCCGCTGACGCTACGTCCGGACCCTCGCAGCTCTACTGCCTCCATCCCTGCACGTCTCGCGACCGACGTCAAAGAGCTGCGCTTGACCCCTCACCACCACCGCCCTCATGTCCCTCCCTCCTGACTACTCCAACGAGATCTCCACCCTCGACCGCGAAATTCTCAAACACAAGCCCCACGACATCCTCCAGTTCTGCGCAAACTTCTTTAATCGCCGTCTCGAGTCGCAGCGAACCGAATATCTGCTGTCGCAACAGCACTCCAGTCCCCAGGGCCGTGCCGAGAACACCTTTCCCGGCAACAACCCCTTCAGCACCTCCCCCAGCAGCGGCAGCGGCTTCACCAAATCCACAATGCAGCGTCTCGAAGAAGAGGAGGAGAACGACACCATGACCTCCCCCACTGCCTCGACCTTTGCAGCCGTCGACTTTAGCAGGTCCCGCGGCAGCAACAACGACTCGGGTGCGAGCGCGTTTGGCGACTTTGGCGGCTTTGGCGGCTCCTCAAAGAACAACATCACCCAAATGCCGCCTCTTTCAGGCGAAGGCCAGAACTTCCCCAGCAACTACAACACCAACAGGCGCACTTCCGTCTCTGCTGAGTCGCTCAACCCCGCCTCGAGTGCCGCCGACAACTTCACCCCACCTTTCCACCAGAAGACGCAGGACCAGCTATCGCGCCTCAAGTCTGCCGTCTCAGGCAACTTTCTCTTTTCACATCTCGATGACGACCAGTCAGCCATGGTGCTCGGCGCGCTGCACGAGAAGCCGATACCAACAAAGGGCATAAAGGTCATTCAGCAAGGCGATGTGGGAGATTACTTCTACGTCGTCGAAAAGGGCTCATTCGACATTTATGTCAACCAGTCGGGTAAGGTTGAGGGTGGTTTGGATGGTGTTGGCAGCAAAGTAGGCACCGTCGGACCCGGTGGTTCTTTTGGTGAGCTAGCTCTCATGTACAACGCTCCCCGTGCCGCAACCGTCACCTCAACAGAGCCATCTACGCTCTGGGCGCTAGATCGCATTACCTTCCGTCGCATCCTCATGGATAGTGCCTTCCAGCGCCGACGCATGTACGAAGGCTTCCTAGAGGAAGTTCCTCTGCTGTCCACCCTAACGCCCTACGAGCGTTCCAAGATTGCCGATGCTCTCGAAACCAAAAAGTACCCTCCTGGAACAACCATCATTCAAGAAGGCGATGTCGGCGAGTCCTTCTTCCTCCTTGAATCCGGAGAAGCCCAGGTCTTCAAGCGCGGCGTAGACAGCGCCGTCAACCAATACAAAAAGGGCGATTACTTCGGCGAGCTGGCCTTGCTCAATGATGCTCCTCGTGCTGCATCAGTCATCAGCAGGACAGAGGTCAAGGTTGCAACGCTCGGAAAGAACGGCTTCCAGCGACTTCTCGGCCCTGTCGAAGGCATCATGAGGCGGAACGATCCCAGCAAGGCTGCTTTCGAAGGCGATCACGTCGATCCGCTGTCTACGACTTCATAAGCTTGACATCATAGGATATAAGAGGACAGGATGCTGCACCCATACGAAAGGTGAGCGGCAATGTTTGCACAGACAGAAGACCAGGGCGTGGACAATGTTGGCCCAGCATGGTGCTGTCACTCTTCGGCGTTTTCGCGTGTATTCCTATACTTCCTACTGTCACTAAACATCGCTTAATGTCATGGAAGAAGGTACGAATTTCTTGGAACGAGGAATAGGCTCTAGTTACGAGCTGCTCTGCTACCTATGTTGCACAGCGTACGATATCATGGTTTAGACTTGTACTTTATGTTCCAATCGCGTGCTGCTAGAAGTTGTTGTCGTGTGCTCTGCCCTCAGCCATGTGATGTCACATAACTGTTGTCGTCCGTGCGTTTTCATCCGCCACGACCACAGGACGCCAGAGCTCCTTCTCTTCACCACTACGCCTCATGATTTTCACCCGCTTCAGCAACTCTAACGTGGCAACGACATAAAATCGAAATTGACAGACAGAAAGACATAATCCAGCGTGAAAACGTATTGGAGCTCGCAGAGTACACCCCTGCTCTACACCGCCCTGACAAATCGTCATGCACAGTCATCGTGGCGAGGCGTTCGCCTCTGAAGACATGGATGTCCAATTCGTTATAGTGCATGTGGACGGTGACTGCCAGATACGACGTACAGAATGTAGTTTCGAGGAGATTCCAATGCGATGCGCACATTTACTGACGGAGGTTTAGGCGATTGAGCGTGAGCGACCCATAGCTTGCAGCTCTCTGCCCATCACCCGTTTTCGAGGGATGCCTCTCTAGAACGACGTCTTGTATGCAGACTGCTCCACTCCTCGTGTGTATTAGCGAGAGGGTAGCACTTCAAGCAGAAATCACAACACGCTTCGTGCCGTCGACGACCCACCTTCATTACCTGCCGAGGTATTTCTCCTTACAGCTCTTGTGTTTCAACAAAGCAAAGAACGGCCACTCCGAGCAACTGCTGGCAGACGCAGGTGTTTATAAGTGGTAACTCACGCTTCACATCATCTGAAGTAGCAGTGATCTACTATACATACTTTTCTGGGGAAGCAAAACGTCATGCGGCACGGCTTTACAGCCACCACATCCAAGACTACGCGATTGCCGGTCCAGTACGCAGCATCTTGCATGCAAGATCGCAATGTTCAAACTGTTGCTTTTTAACGATACAGGCACGGCACACGCGCCTAGCTGATAACCTAGTAGTGGGTAACCACCCCTGCATTTAGGGTGACGTCTTCGAATGATCAACGTTTCTGCGATTCACAGTTTGAGCTACAGTTACGATTGGATGATGCGACTAGACAGGCGGTCTCCAAGAAGCTCATAGCGACCCAATGACCAAAAGCCGCTTCAGTCTCCATCGCGTGCACCTGCAGCTTACATGCAGTGACTGGGGTGCGGCTCAACGCTAAGACTAAACTGGGAAAATGGGTTCATTAACTACAAGCATGATGGGGCCGCTCGAACGAAACTTCGTCTTATCGTTGTGCTTGAAAATGAATCCCTGGACCAAGTGGGCGCAACGAGACGAAATCGACATTCGGATCAGACATGAGAAGCTGGTAGAGTACACGATGTCCCATTGAACGGTACTTTCCGAACCTTGCATGATCACAACGGTTCTTAGTTAGGACTCTTGGCATCATCAATGGCTATTGTAGCGGTCTGTATGCCGTGACAGGCCTGTCCACGTTCCCGGCGCTCGGTCCTCGACGATGTTGCTGCATGCATCAGCCACGCACTACGTTGAGGCTGCTCCTTCCCTCCCGCAGCGTTCTGCGGGTCAGGGAGCTTAGGATGCACCTCGGCACTCCTACGGAAGGGTGGGCGTTCACCGCATTCGCCAGGGAGAGCGAATATGCTCCGCTGTCTGGCATCTGTTCGGGTTTCGTTGTGGCAGGGCAGTCATACCGGCGTGCGCGACGCACGTTGATCATGAGCATCTGCAAACAGCATGTCCGCCTTGTGTATTGCTTGGTCCATTTTGGATCGTTGCTACTGGCTCAGCTTAGTTTGAGGGTGGTTCTTGAAACATGGTCTTCCATTCACAGTTGCATGGGAATAACCGAAATTCAGATGGGCAACGGGCCCGGTTGGAGTTCCACCGCTGTCCCAGTGTGGCTATGGCATGTGGCTTCAGGGAAGGTTAGCACTGATCTGAAGCATCGCATACGGTACCTGGATCTTACGTTATCGGTCGACTGCCTACACGTCCCTCTACCTCCATCACCCAACATTGCCAGCAATACATAATGTCTGAAGCAGCATCGGTTCAAGTCGCTTCACAGTTCTGGAGCAACTTACACCTTCTGATTTTCTTTACGACATGGCTTCATCCAGCGATCCAAAGCCAACCAAGAAACGACCCAACCGCCAACGCAAGCCTCCTCTTGCACCAGGCCCTCCGCTCCAATTTGTTGTCGCCAGTCACCCAGATGACTTCAAGACTGGAGGAACCATGAGAAGAGTACGGTCACATGTTATGTATACACATCGTGAAGGGTTATCGCCTACGGAGACAGGTGGCAGCCGAGAAGGCAGCAGGACACCCGTTATCACGACTCGCACACCCAGCCCAGGAACAGGCGATTCTCGTAACATAACACAGGTAGACACTCCACAGGCGCCTGTAACCGGAAGGCGCCATGACACTGTATGGGAGCAGGATCGCTATGAGTTTCATACACTATCACCTTCCACACACCCTGTGCGAGTGCTTGCCGCTCGAATACATTCTGCGATAGCCGAAGCTTCAGCTCATAGCACGCCTCCAGTCTTCGAGGGGGTCTCTGGATATCCTTTTCCAGGTGTCGATGCATTGAGGCGTGAGCCTTTCAATGAGTTGAAGCGCGATTGGATCCGTGCTACAACCTTCTACTGCTACGGTACGTGCGCATTATCTCTGCAAAATGTACCCACTAACGAATGCAGACCAAGCTTGGATGCAGTATGTTTGCGGCAATCACCTTTCATTCCTCAGTCATGTACACGCTACACTTGTCTATCAAGACCTTGATGAGGGCCTGTTATACGACAGTGACCTTACTGTGTATGCGAAAACCAGGGTTCTAGGATTGTTTCGCGGCCGCTTGAACACCGATGATACCACCATTATTAGCATACTTCATATGCTTATCAGCGAGATCGGAAGCCCCGACGAAGACGCGTTTGGTGTACACCAGGATGGCTTGGTGACCTGTTTGAGGAATCAACAGGACGGACTAGGTGCCAATATTGCGACATTTATGACTTTGTGAGTAAGCCATACTTAGATCTTACTATCGACTAATATTATTGAGGGTTATGCTCACCTTTGCCATCTGTCGAGGACAAGACGTGTCCGCAGAACTCACACCACGAGCGTCTTCTGAGGCCTGGCTTGACCACAATAATCCCATCTCGCCGCTTTTAGCTCCCCAGAATCATACGCCGCCTTCATACCGAGTCTACTCCGCAGCCGTGACTGATATCATATGGAAGATGCAGAGGTGTACCAGCACATTTCTGGCAAGATGGAATCACAAAGGAGAACCTCATATGATGTCAAGCGGTCAGTTGGCATTATGCGACACAGAACTCCAGGACATATACTCTGACCTGCTTTTATTGCCTTCAGCCGAGGACGATCACTCGCTAGATTGGGTCTACGAAAGCTGTCGAATCGCCGCCTTGATCTACTGTAGATCGATAGTTCATGGGGCAACACTTGTGGAATCGGCAAACATTATGCACGCGGGCATATCTGGATCTAGTACTGAAAGCGGCACACTTATATCAGCTTTACACTCCGCCCTTGGAAAGACGAAAGTCCAGACCTGCTGGGGCTCCGAATTGTCTGGCGTTTTCCTCTGGGTAGCTCTCGTGGGCGCAGCAGCATCTCGATCCCCACCGCACTCCTCTTCAGAAGAGACTTTGCAAGCATCGGCATGGATGAGGAAATGCTTTGCGCTCTATGCAGTCAGGGCGGCAGTATCAGTCCCTTTCGATTATGCCGACGCCACAATCCACGCCTTACGCACGATGCTGCAGGTCCAACGGTACATCGCCATCAAAACCGGCCTGAATCTCGCTCACTAGTATCGTCGTATGTTTCCATACCTCTTTGCATGGCTTGTTTCCTCGCTGCTCTTCTGTACTTTATCTGGGCATTTTTTCATTCGGAGCAGTTATGCTTTACTGGTCGGCTGTCGCAGGGCGACACAGATCCAGTGGTTGTTTGCATCTTCTTGGTCACTTGTTTAACCAAAGTTGGTATGGGTAAGCTCGCATTCTGCAATTCTTCATATCATTTTCGGTCTTGTATTAGAATTACTTGCTTCTAGTCCGTCATTGAAGCACGGTGCTTCGAGTCAAATTCCATGCTGGTCATGTAAACATCTCCCACCCTTTCCTTACTGTCAACTCTGACTTCAATCAAATGATTCCAAATCGTCAACCCGGATGTAACAGTGCATGGTCATACTCCCGGGCCGACCGGAGTACTTCTGATGTTCGGGCAACAGCCGAAGAGCGTCATGCAGCATGTAAGGCTGAATCGGCTGCACTCCACCGTTCGTGCACCGTAGCCAGAACCACCAAACGAGGAACCGCACGACACGCGACAATGGTACCAACTCGCTTAAAGCGATCATGTTCATGGTACAGTCGCAGTCAGCTTCTAGGCCCTACGTACCCCTGAGTTCCATCAACCAGTAACATGATGTTGCGAACCCCCACGGTCAGCGTGGGCTACACCGTAGGAGTAGCAGTATGTAAACGAAGTCTATCGGTTACCCTGCGGCTGGGTGAACAGATTACTAGCCACATACACCGCCACAGTAATCGACTATAGAATTGCGGCACGATCTTACCTATCGTTTCTTACACCGCATGTTGGTGAACCGTAAGGTCGTCGTCTCGCTGGCGCGAAGCGCGACACCGATTATCACCCTTGCCATGGCTTGCCATGCCATATAGGGCTGACAGGGTATGGGATCCTTCTACCTAGCTTGTGGCGGGCTGAGCTGCTGCGGCTCGCGGGTTGAGATATGCAGCCTTGTGGGGCAGGGCAAGCTGTGGCGGGGTTTTCGTCCGCACCCTGCTCTTCAACCCATGCATACATATCACGATGTCGGAGCGCTTGCTAATCACGAAGAGTTTGGAGACGTCATGGTCAAGAGGCTTATGGCTGATGACGATATTACGGCCGGTTCGTCGGAGCACGCCGAAGACGGGGATAGGGAATAAGGCGGGCGATATGGTGAGCATGTAGACATCATGCGCCTGCTCTCATCAACTTACATGGGTTCATGCAATCCTCATGATCGGCCATTACTTTGATGACAGCCTGCGGAATCAGAAAACAAAACCTGGACATATATGGCAGTGGGAGACCAATAAAGGCACTGGTGTCCGTTATCTATACAACTCTCCAAACAGTCATCACCTTGCCAACTCACAAAGTCTAGTGGTTGAATAAATGTGTGAATTTTACTTACTCGCTATGCAGATAACCCCATTTTCGCGAACAAATCAAATGATCTTTACGCCTAGCCCATGCATATGTACGTCTCTCACCTCCTTTGCGACCTCAACTCCCCTCTCTTTCCATCAGAACTCAATCACAAAGCATCCCAACCCTCTTCAAACATCGTCTTCTTGACCTTGAGCTCCTCAGCCCCAAGATACAATGGTCTGACAACTTGCATCGACCCAGTTCCGAGTTTGACACTCTGACCCATAATGATACACTCACTAACACCATCGATAGTATCCGTCTTACCCCTCGCGGCTGCCTCGAACAGATGATCCGGCGTCTTCTCAAACGATGCAAGCTGCAAGACGGAATCACGCGTCTTCTGCAGACCGAAACGCGTGATACCAAAGACTTCACCCTTGAACGTCATGACATCGGCCAAAAGCTGCATGTGACGAGGATCAATGTCCATGTTACCCATGACGTCGCCGATTTCACGCACGATGGTTGCGCGGGCAGCTTCGATGCCGAGGACGGTTTTGACTTCCATGACGTGATTGGACTTTGTGCTGTAAGGTTCTATACCTGGGGTGGTCATACAGTCGCTGAGACCGTAGCCTTCTACGAGGAGTTGACATTCGTATTGACCTTGGGCGTTGGGGCTGCTTTCCTTTTTGATGATGGCTCGGGAGCAGTCTGGGTAGCCCTTGATGACGACGTCGGGGATAAGTGCCTTTACTTGTTGGACGCGTTCGAAGAATTCTTTGTGGTTGCGTGTTGTCTTTGTAGGACGCTTCTTGGCCGCGTTGGGGTCGGGGACTTCGACGCGAATTATGGATGAGGATATGCGGACTTGGGCGCCAGCTTTACCCCATTTGAGGGGTTTGTGGGCGTTGATCGCCGCGGCGATCTCGTGGGGCTGGACGTCGACGAAAAGCTGGTTGATGGTATCCCAGTCGATGCGCATAGCAATGTACGCGCCGGTAGGATGCCAGACATCTTCAACATACGAAATGACGTCGCGAAGGTAGGTCTTTTCGACACGCGCTTTGACGATTCGCGCCGCAGATTCAGAGACCTTGTTCGAAAGGTCGCAGGCGATGACAGGTGTTGAGATGGTGGAGGAGGCGTTGATAATCTCCTTGATACGGGGCACACCTTGAGTGATGGACATACCGGCGACACCAGCAAAATGGAAAGTCTTCAGCGTCATTTGCGTTCCGGGTTCACCGATAGACTGAGCACCAATAGCCCCGACAGCGTGACCGGGCTGTACTCGTGATCGATGGTATTTAGTTAGACAGAGTGTTATGAAGGCGTCCAGTGCGCTATGTGAAATCTTTGCAATACCATCGGCAAGACTGTACTTCTCCGCATCAGCTGCTGACTGTTTCCTATCCTTTCTGCCATCCGGTTGTACCACCCCGAGGTAAGCAAGGGTAGTCTCAAGCTTCTTTGCCTTCTTGAAAACGTAGTCTTGAACCGTATCGAGGAAGTCACGCATAGACTCCTTCTGGTCGATGCCAGCGTCGGTCCTGTCGCGATACTCCAGCGGCGTCACACCGTCTAGCTTGTACCTTGGGTACTTGTTTCGTTCGGTGTTCAGCCTTGCTTCTGTGTACTCCTTGACTTCTTCAGGCGTCAATCCCGATTCAGAGTTATCCCAGGTCGATGTGACGGCATGTGAGAATGTCCTGTCAAAGTGCACAGGTTTGGCCTTGCCCTCCATGTCCACGGGATCGAGGTTGTCGTCTCCATACTGGAACTGGACTACAGTTCCAGACGAGTTCCGGACAGTGTCATCGTATTGTGCAGAAAGATCTTCCAGTGACTTCATCAATCGTCTACTCATGTAACCAGTCTCGGCGGTCTTGACAGCTGTATCGACCAGACCTTCACGACCACTCATAGCGTGAAAGATGAATTCGGATGGTGTCAGTCCCGAGAAGAAACTGTTACTAACGAAACCCTTGGACGCAGGCTGACGAGCGGCTTTGGGAAAGTGGGGTAGCGTTCGATGGTGGAATCCATCAGCGACACGAGCACCGCCAATCATTTGTTGTCCGACGGAAGCAACCATTTGAGAAACGTTAATGTTGGATCCCTTGGAACCACACTTGGCCATGAGCAAGGGCGAGTTCCATCTGCTGAGCTCTTCGAAACAAATGTCACCAGCCGCTTGACGAACACCGGACAAGATACCACCTATCCTGTTCTCCATTGTCTGCTCTTCATCGCAACCGGGATCGCGCTGCAGCTTTCCCTCCTTGAAATCCTTGATCAACTTGTCGCACTTGGCGTAGGCTTCTTCGACAAGGTCTTGCTTCTTCTTGTTGAGCTTCTCTCCAGGAGTAACGTCGGAAATACCAAGAGAGAAGCCGTTGTTGGAAAGCCATCGCGCGGATAACTTGGACAATCTGTTCATGCCTTGGACGGCGTGGTCGGGGCCGAAATCTCGCATCATGACATAAAAGACGGAATCCTTCTTACCATCACCAACAGTGGCCTTGTCCATGACACCGCACATGACTTCGGAATTGCGAATAACAAGGTAAGCATCGTTCTCGTTCAGATCAGGAGCCTGGTCAGGGGTGTTCTTGAACTGCTTGCATGCAGCTTCGAGGTTGATCAGCACTCTACAGCCCTTGTATGGCTTCATCAAAAGATTGAAAACCTGCTTTCCAGTCCAAAGTGCTTGAGGCTTCCATACCACAGGAGGCGGAATGTCGATAGGGTGCTTCTTTCCTGTATCTGGATCAAAAGCTCCTTCTCCGTTGAACATGTAGTTTACGATCTGACAGAATGTCCGTCGATCGTAGAAGTTGTTCTTGTTACTTAGAAGGTATGCTGCAGTAATGAAATCTTGGATAGCTGCGATAATTGGTGTTCCGTTCTTTGGGGTTGCAAGGTTGTACTTGACGCCCATGAGCTCTGTAGCTTCAGTTCGCGCCTCCTCGGTCTGTGGTACGTGCAAGTTCATCTCGTCACCGTCGAAATCGGCATTGTACGGATTGCAAACACACTCGTTCAATCGGAATGTCCTCCATGGTCGTACTTTCGCTCGATGACTCAGAATACTAAGCTTGTGTAGAGACGGTTGTCGATTGAAGAGGACAATGTCGCCATCCTCAATATGGCGCTCGACGATGTCGCCGATCTTGAGTCGCTTCGAGGCGCCCTCTAGTCGCTCACCGGTTGTGTCGAACCGCGAAAGACCGATAAGTGACGTCTTGCTAGGCTCCTTGTTCGGCCCTTGATCGCTAATGATGTAGTTGGCACCGGGATATCTGTTTGACCCGTTCTTCACAAGTCTCCTTAGCTTGTCGATGTTGTATCGTGTGGCCTTTTCGGGGTACGTGAGGTTCTTCGCAATGCGCTCTGGGACAGCGACTTCGTCAATGCTCAAATTTGGATCGGGTCCAATGACAGTACGTCCAGAAAAGTCGACACGCTTTCCGGAAAGATTTTGTCGGAAACGACCACCCTTTCCCTTCAGGCGCTGAGAGAAACCGCGCATAGTCTTCTGCAAGCCTTGCTGTTTCAGACCAGGCGCGTCGCTGTTGATGTACATGGCTATCTGCAGCTGCAGGAAATCCCACTGCTCCATTAAGATCTGAAGTGGAAAGCCTCGCGCAAGACCGGCGCGTATTATACTGCTAATCTGGCAGATGTCTCCAATCTTGTTCGTTACATCGTCCTCGGTGGCGCCACCTTCCTGCATGACTGACGGACGCAGCGCCACGGGCGGTACAGGCATGTACTCCCAGATCAACATCTCAGGTCGCGCATCCTCGGGTATCATGGCTAGCAGCTCGCAGTCCTCCGGGGAGATCTTTTTGAAAAGATTGAGCGTCCTCAGCGGATGCATATCGTCTACAGCCTTCTTCAGGTGTTTGTCTAGGTCTGGGTTGGCGGATTTGGCGGCATCGAAGGACTGGTCAAACTCGATCTTGCCTGCCGGTGGCTTCTTCGTCTTAGCCGTGGATCGGTTGAAGGCATCGTATCGGTTGTGGATGATCTTGAGCGGATGGCCGGGTACTTTTCTGACGGTACCCTGCAAAGCGCCGCAGTACGGGCACGTCTTCTTCTTCCTGCAGTCGTCGAGGATCTTCTTGGTGACGGCGCCCTTTCGCAGCGTGTCCATGTCTGGCCGGCGCATACTGCGCAAGTATCTCCGCCGCTCCACCTCATCCAGCAGTACGCGCGAGCAATCTTTGCATATACAGTTCAGCACCTCGATGATGTGCTTCAGGTATCCGACGTGGAATGCGGGCAGCGCAAGCTTGATGTGGCCAAAGTGACCGTTGCACTTGTCCAGGCCTTCGCCGCAGGTTCCGCACTTTCCCTGCTTGCTCGATATGCCCATGTGCGTGTCCATGGGCCCGTTGGCCGTGAGGGAGCGCGTGCCGTCGGCGGCGGGCTGGAGGTCGTAGACATTGCGGTCGGAGACTTCGAGGACGGCCTGGTTCACGATGTCCTGGTTGGAGCTGGAGAGTGTTACTATGCGTCTTTCAGTAGAGTTGGCACAGTGGTGTCCTACTAGATGCCGAACTGGATGTGCTTGATGCGCGCGGGGATGCGGTCCACGACCTGCTGCTTGGCCGAGGTGCGCGGCGCCTCCATGATGGCGGGGGTGGGTGTGGTGGGTTAGAGGGGCGAAGTTGATGCTACCGGGAGTCTTCACAGTCGTTGTCTTGTCGCATAGTCGTCGCGTCGTGAGTCATGTTCGGGGGCGACAGAAGCCAGAAGCAGCAGCAGCAGCAACTTTCTCAGTCGCGCCTCTGCAGATTTTGGGTGGGGGACCTTCCCGGAGCTAAGCCGCACTAATGCTGGCTAATGCGGGCTGATAAGCTGATAGTACCCCGGAAGGCAGTCGTGACCACGAGTGCAGGAGCATCACCGCCCGGTCGCTGCCTCACCCCTACAACTCACTCTCTGCCCCGCCTATAGCGACGGTAGATCTTGCTGTGTCTTGCTGTGACGCCTCTCTATTACCGCTGTCCTCGCCCCTTGCAGGCAAGCACCACAATCATTATATACATAACACTGGCCGCTGCTGCCTCTTGAACCACGGTACTACCTGCGCAGCCATCCCCGCTCAACTCCACCCCGCCCTCACTTATTGTCTCTCCCAGACCAGGCTGTCTACGCGTCACCGTCTGGCAAGACCACTGCCCCTCATGACTTCGAGTGAGCTTCCTCCTCCACCCTCTGCCATGTTTCGCTCCCGGCTCACTGACCTGCCAGTCTTCCGCATCGTCCTCAGGGATACAAAGCGCTACGACACGTACGGGACCCGTGAGTTTGATCTGCCACTCAACGCAGAGTTCCCTATTGGTCGGGCCTCGAGCAACATCTCCAAGAAAGACCTCATGGCCGCGCCTCACAATGCCTACATCGACAGCCCTGTCATCTCCCGCCAGCACGCCGTCCTGTCCGCCAACTCAACCAGCGGCGTTCCCGAAGTCTATCTTACTGACAAGGGCTCCATGCACGGCACCACCGTGAACAACCAAAGGCTGCCTGCCAACAAGCCAACCAAGTTGAAGGTTGGCGATGTGCTTCAGTTCGGGACTGACGTTAACCGCAACGAGGGTACGTCCTCTCGTAGGCCCTCCACACAGCCCCTTGTCCAAGCTTCTGAGCTGACACTACCTTGCACAGAGTTCTTTGTAGCCCGCACCTACACCTTCGAGTCACAACTTTCACATCCATTCTCTCTCGGCTTCACTGTCCCTGACCCTGAGAGTGACGACGAGGAAGTCGCCGAGCGTCGAGGCAGCCAGATCGATCCCTTCGTCATCGACGACTCAGATGGTGCTGAAGATCAGTCTGAGCAGGATGACCAGGAGGTCACGATGATGATGGAGCAGGTCCTCCACCAATCTGAACCCGGCCACTCCTTCAGTCCCGCCCAAGAAGAGTACCCTGAGTCTGCGATGCGTACTACAGTTGTGGACCAAGACTACAATGAAGAGGACAGACAAGATGCGGGTCTAGTCTGCGACTTCACCCCACGCCGCGATGATTCGCTTGTGCCTGCCAGCCCTAACGCATCCAGTGATGGGGAAGACGACGACGCTATTGGTACCGACTCCGACAGCCAGGCCGGAAGCATTGGTAGCTCAGAGATGATGTCTGACTCGGAACCAGAGATCGGGGATTCCGAGGATGAGGATATGGACGGGGCTGACCATAACAATCCCACCGCATCTTCTTCCAACAAGGAGAACGAGCCTTCTGGCAATGCCGCAATCCCTTCCACGGCTCAGTGCTCTATGCAAAACCCTTCTACTCTTTCACTCCGGGATGTCTATATGTTAGACGACGTAGCCAACGGTCAAGCCTCGCTGCCACGTATCCACATGTTTGGCATGCAGGGTTCTGACAACAACTCCATGTCCAACAGCAACGTGTATGCAGAGAGCGCACCTCCACCTCTTCCACCACGTCCTTCGACTTCCAGAGCAGCACCTTGGTGCAACCCATCCTATTCCGCATTCTCATCGCAGAGCGATCTCCAGGATTGGTACTCTGCTGAGGACATGTCGCAGCCGAATTACCTAGGTACAAACTTTGGCGACAGACCTTCTCTGTTCAGTCCAGCGCCTCCTCCTCCAATGCCAGAGTCCTCTGAGACTCGTCTTCCCATGTACCACTTCGGTAACTGCGCTAGCCAGGCAGTCCAAGCCAACCGACTTCAGACACCTCCACCCATGCCTGTATCAGATGTCGAGACCTCCACACCACTGCAGCCAGGTCGTCGGACCAAGGTCTCCATTGAGGAAATAGTTGAGGAGCAGCCGCCCACGCCTGAATCTGTAAACAACATGAAGCGCAAAGCTGATGTGCTTGAGGCAGAGGAGCCTGCAGTAGCCTTGGATGAGACACCTGAAGTCATCATTGGTACCGAGAGTGCACACTCAGAACCGATAGTCGCTGTTCCAGCCGCCGATGTCACTGCCATCCAGACAGCTGCAATCATCGCCCAACGTCCTAAGAAGACCCCTCGCTCGGTTCTTAGCAAGGTGCTCAACAAGGCTACCTACCCTCTGCTGGGCGCCACCGGTGCGGTCGTTTCTTTCGCTCTTCTTTCTACTCTTCCTGATACCTTCTTTGCCTAGGCTGTGACGGGCGCAATGCCCATGACAGTCCAGCATCTTCCTTCAAGGCGTACAGGGTGGGACCAGGCGTACATGGTGAGGCGATATTAGGATCATGATATCAGTGGAGCATGTACTGATTACGGCGGTCAATACTGGTGGCGTTTCGAGTAACGCCAGAAGAGTCGGATTCTGCGCGCTATGGGTGGTATATGGTTCCGGTTCGGGCGGCGTCCTGACGTTTCGGCTTTATGACACGCCACCATGAATAGCTACATTTCCTTTTGTCATGATAATGAGATATATGCCACGAAAGACACAATTCATGTAAACTGAGCGTAGCTTTCAAGTGATGCGGACGTTTTCCGTAGGTTCGTGTGTTATCTGTCACATAGCTGGCTGTGGAAATTTACCAAAAACGCTTACCCTCAAACGGTAAGGCGCGAGAAGCTTGACAACGACCTAGTTTCCATACAACTCTCGTTCACAAGAACAACAACAATTTGGAGAATACAAGCTGCTCCAAGAATTGATCAAGACCCTTTCTCACTTCATGTAGTTTATTTGGAATGCTGAAACGCTCTCAGGGCTACATTGATCGCTACCGAGTAATCCCAGCCTCATCTATCATGGCCTACACTAGCGGCCTTACTCAACTGTACAGCATCTTCGTTGTCTTTCTCAGGCCGCAGCAGTACGCCCATCACCCTGCGCCTTATCTTTGTTGAGATGGACGTCCATAGTGGCTTGTATATGGGTACACTAGCACACAAGATGGCGGTACATAGGTGAATAGTCGTCCAGAGTTCTGCTCGATGGAAGTAGACTGTAAGGTATCAGTAAAGCGCCATAATCCGCGAGTTTTGGTATACGTACTCTCACGAGGATCTACAAGTTCCATCCTTTAGAGCGCTGATAACAATAACGAACCCCCCAGTGCGAATATAGATGCGACGCCAATCTTTGCTCGCAGTGGCATTTGAAGAGTGAATGCTGTTCGAATGGGCAAAAGGAGGATGGCTACATCTGTGAGCACATCTACGAGGAGGACAGAAAATACCATCGCTACCCAATTCCCGCATTTTGCTCCATCATGCTGTTCTTCTGGTAACCAAACGAGCTTGAGCGGCCGGCAGATGCGTAGTAGGGCCACGATGGCAGATATCAACCAGGTCGATGTGAAGGCTATGAGGCCTAGCGATACATCTCGATGGAAATCGCTAGCGAAAAAGATGTGGCGGTAGAAGAGGAGGATCGATATCTTGCATGTATACTGAGCGGTCATGGCAAGCATGATCGCTGCAAACATATCCTTCAGTACAATCAGCAGACGTCAGATACAGATGCGAGAGCGATACTAACCTTGCGGTATACCGGCGAAGGCACGAGAGATTCTTCCGTCGCTGTGACCTCTATGTCGTCTACATGGGAATGCCTGAAATTGGTAAAGAGCTCTACGACAATTAGTAGACATCCGTCATCTGCGAGCCAAGAGCCTTGCCTTGTAAGACGGTCGCAATGGCGCCGTAGTAAAACAACAGTGTCAGAAGGATGAACATGTCATCCGCTCTGATGCCTTGTTTTGTCTTCATCTTGACGCATATGCGGGTGGCGACTGCGACGCCTGCGATTACCCCGCTGACGAGATGGGCCATAAAGAGTTCGGCGTGGTGGGAACTTAGACCGAACATGATGGCGATGAAATTTCAAACATGGCGGCGTCCGTAGTGACAGAACTGTGAGACCGATTCTAAGGCGATCCAAAAAGGGTAGCAGTGGCGCAAAGGATGCGGTATATATGCAATCAGCGGAATGTAAAGAGAAAGTGACTCAAGTGTAGATATTCCAGCCCACCCAAGTGGTGTGACTGGTAGAGTTGAGATTGAGAAGCAGTGAAAGAAGCCGCTTCTGATAAGTCTGTTATAGAAAGGGTTTTGCAAGTAGAGAGTGACCCAACGCGTACGATGGGTGCAACTATCAGGGCGCGCCTTCCAAGTGACCGTCTTTACGTTTGTTGATGTAGATAGAAAATTCCCGCAATCTCATCCCTGTCACATTCACCTTCTGTTCCTCACTTTCACTATCCGCTTGTTGTTGGCTCTATAGAATGTTGGCTGTGGTATAGATGCGACTTGTGTTGTAGTCCAAAGCATAGAGATTGCAGAGCAAGGCTGACCGGGTGGCGCCATGCATTACCTAGATACATTTATCGTCAGTAACAATGTACTTGTAAGTGACTCGTCTAGTCGGTTGGTCATCGTGAACAGGAGGAATCCAATGACTTGGTAAAATCTTGCAGCTACATATATATGGCGTGTTACTGCGATTGGGAACACCTTTTGTATAGGACATGGTACATTTTGCGAAAGCTGTGACTTGATTGCTGCAGTAGCTGTAAGTGTTGTGCTTCATGAGCAGCAGTTGAGTCTCAAGAGCAACAAGAACGGCAGCACGCTGTTTATATACCTACGATGCGTCACAAAGACTGATGTGCTTTATGTGATGCAATGCTTATAAGTGGCCTGGTAGAAATCTCCTCTTATTCGCCTCTGCCCAACCCTTATCGTGTGCAACTACCACCTCAACCTGCACTTGTCCATCACCTTCCTCTTTCACATTACCCTGCTTCAAGAACCTTGCGATCTTTTCGACAGTAGCTGCTGCCGCATCGGTGTCAGCGTGTACACTTCTCAGGCCACCCTTTCCATCGTCATAGAGCGCGATACCCTTCTCGCCACTCAAGATCCTTGGGTCATGACAGCAATCGCCGCCGAGGTACACCCACTCCTTTGGTCCAATGCGAGCGAGAACATTGATGTGTCCGAAAAGGTGGCCTGGCGCATCGATGATGTATAGTGATCCGTCTCCATAGAAGTCTATCGTAGCAGGGAAGCCTGCCAAAGGTTTCCACTCGAGTTCTGCCAGTTGGTTCTTGAACGCTCGTGGCCCTTCTTCCTTACGGACTGGAGGCAGCTCGCTCGTTCGATCATCTGGCAACTCATCGGGATTAAATATCTCAGCTGGATAAAGAGGCCCACCACCATTCGCAAGAAGATGCATAGTTCCACTTCCGACGACAAATTGCGCTTTCGTAAAATCGCTGGGCGTGCCAACGTGATCCCAATGCACATGACTCAGCATCACGGTGTCCACTTGTCTTGGGTCTACGCCACCTCTTCGCAGACTTTCGGCCACATCTGGGCTAACACTAGTTGGCTGGCGTTGAGCGATATGATGCTGCTGCGCTTCTCGGTAGCCGGCAAAATCGCGTTTGAGACCGAGATCAAAGACGAGATTGGATGAACCATGTCGAATAAGAAAAGAGAGGGAAGGGACTGTTGCACGCCTCTCCGGATCGGCATCTGTAACGAAGAGCTTCTCAGGAAGTGTGAGCTGACCGGCTTCCAGGGCTGATATGGTAACATATGTTTGAGTAGGGGCTGGTGCTGGAAGAACGACGATACCATTACTTAACGTCATGATGGACGACACAAGAAGGGTTTGGCGGGTTCACAAATACTGAAGATGCTGAAATGACGCCAAAGACCACATCGTGATTGGAGAAGCCGCTTGCCTGCATCTCATCCTGCAGCCCCACCCCACCTCTTCACTACCCCGCATGCGGGGTTAGTTCTTCTGACAGGAAGATCTGCGAGACGTTTGAGCGACTATAGCGTGCAATTATACCAAAGAACCATAAGCAAACGCAAACTCGCTACGTTGTGTCAATTTGGCAAGCTTTCAACCCATGATGTCTTTCACTCAACCCAAATCGATGCAAGCGCAGTATCTGGAAGCGTATAAGGAACCATACAAGCTGAGATCGGTTCCAATCCCTCAGCCATCTGAGTCGCACGATATTCTCATTCGCGTGGATGCTGCTTCGTATTGCCATACCGACTATGTTCTTGCAGAAGGACAGATGCCTGGACTGCCGAAGTCGTTCCCACACATTGGATGTCATGAGTTCGCCGGAACGGTAGTGTCGCACTTCGAAAGCCCTAGCAAAGAGGCTAGCACATTTGAGGTCGGTGCAAGAGTTGGCGTACCAGGTCGCTCATTCCATGCTTGTGGTGACTGCTTCGAATGCAGGAACGAACGCGTGGAAGATCCAATCGCGATGGATGAAGGGGGTTATTCGGTGAACTGTATCAGTGCGGAGAACAATGGGCTGAGTAAAGACGGAGGGTTTGCGGAGTATGCTGTGGTAGATGCAAGGCAATTGGCACCCATACCAGACACTTTGACAACAGTGGAGACTGCGCCGCTGATGTGCGCTGGTGTGACTATCTATGGAGCGCTCAAGAGAAGTGGACTGAAGGCAGGTGACAGAGTCGGTATCCTGGGAGCTGGTGGTGGTCTTGGACACCTGGGATTACAATACGGCGTGAAGATGGGTTACAAAGTGCTGGGTATCGAGGCAGCAGACGAGCCCCTAAAGCTTGCGCAACATGTCGCTTCAAGACTCGAGCCAGGGCCGTATATCGTAGATGCCAGGAAAAGAAAAGCAGCCGACGTTGTTCAGGAGATTGGTGGACAGGACGGCAAGAAGACTCTTGGTGAGATGGGGCTAGACGCAGTGATCGTGTTGCCCGAGAGCCAAGCAGCCTTTGACTACGGCATAACACTATTGAAGTCACATGGAACGTGTGTCGTCGTGTCATTCCCTGAGAAAGGGTTTCATGTCAACTCGCGAGACATTGTCTTTCGTGACATCAGAATCATCGGCAGCCTGGTAGGGAGCAACAAAGTGCTTCGTGAGATGCTAGAATTCTCTGCAGAGCATGGTGTTCGCGCATTGTCGACTTCGTTCCCCTTGGAAAAATTGAACGAGCTTGTGTCTGAATACCTCAAGGCCCAGGGTGGAAAGCTGGTAGTGGACATGTCTCTTGAAGCGTAGATCAAGTAACGGAGTGTGTTCGCGCCACCCATCTCTACCAGCATAAGAAGACTTCTTTGCACCTAATATAGTGACAATAGAGTACCGTGATGGGGAACCAGGGTCTAATCCAGGAAATAATCGACCTTCGACTTGCCAGCTTGAGTCGGCTGCTCACCCCGACTCGAGCATATCAGCGTACAGATTGAGAGAGCTTCCAATCACATCAACTATGGCCCACGTTTGTGAGCCTTTGAAGATCATCGCCCAGACCCTGAGCACTCCTGCGCTTAGGTGTCGCGTAAAGTTGGGCGATTCGGGCGTAACGTCGGCTGGAATGGCAAACTCAGTCTCGTCCAACATGCTCTTCACTATTGCAATAATTTTGTGCTCGTCTTCCGTGACCGGCGGGTCTGCTTCTTGTACTGATAGCGCTTCAAGCCATTTGCTCATGAGGTAGGCGCACTCAAGCGTACACAAAGAATGTTGAATGCTCCAGATGAAAGACTGCGTCTTAGCCACAAGACGGTATCCTATCTTGATAGGTATGGAAAGTGCGTGAGCCGAGTGCAGCACTGCTCGTGTAATTTTCGGTGAGCGCCTTATCGCAGGTCCGGCGCGGAAAGCATTGGCAATTAACAAAGGATCCCTTGTTTCTAAAGCCCTGCCTGCTGTGTCTACGTATAGACGAATGTACGCTAGGCGGAGTAAGGCTGTTGAATTGAAAGCAACAGGACCGTTCTGCGACATAGGGTCCAGTGAAGACTCGGGGTTTTGACGCCAACCAATCTGCCAATTCCGCAACGCGTTCTCGAGCGATGTGACATCCTCTGTGCTGAGATCGCCAGGCCCTTCAAAACGGCAGCGAGCCACTTGTCGTAGGAAGAAAATATGCTGTATTAGAGCATGAATCAGAGCATAGTTTCCAGACGAGGAGTTACACTCTGTAACATCCCTACCATCTTTTGTAAACAAACGTTTTAGTGCATCCTGAAACAGAACTTCTGGTGCGCTTTTTTTCCTCGCTTCCCTCCACAAAGCTTCTGTAGGTGCCTTGAACTCTGCTGCACTACACGGTAATGGTAATTTAACCTCGCTCGTTAGCATGAAGGGCGGAATGTTATAGACAATGCAATGTAGGTTAGAAAAGCCATAAACAATAAACTTAGTCCTCTTGGTCGTTTCGCGGCGGACCCAATCTGGCCAGGATATGTTCTCTTGAAGGCTTTCAGTCTCTAACCCGTCGTCTCGAATTAGTGTAGCTAGGATGCTCTGGATTGCGAGCGCTTCTCGGAGAATTTCTTTATGCTTGGCCCAAGTACATAGTGCCATCAGCAGAAGTAGGGCTTGCGCGGTTTGCATGAGATCCTCTCCAAGACTAGGGCCATTAACGTCAGATGGCAGACCCAGAGGTCCCGGAACGGAGTCCTTTCGATGGGGACTCTGCGCATCATTCTGTTGGTTCTGTGGTGACGAGCGATCCGACTCAGAATAATGTTGAAGCTGCACCAAACGCGAATCGCGCTTCCTGATACGCTGCGTCGCAATCGCTTTGCTTACGTTAAACAGCTCAACACCCTTTTCGCCTTCGAAGGTATATTGCGCACCGATAGCTGCTATTGCTAGGAGCAGCTCAATGGAGCATGTCTCCACTGACATTGTGGGTATGTGAAGAAAAGGCATGTGCTCGTGGAATCCGTTGATATATGCAGCGATATACCTGCACAGGGCTAGGCGGGTGGGTAGGACAAAATCGCTGGGTATGACAGTAGAAAACTGGTGAAGCATTTCGATGATACTTTGCCGGTCCTGATGTGAGATATCTGCAAAGGACCGTCTGCGTGAGGGCTGATCTTCCGGTTGCAAAGAAGGGAATCGAGAACCGAACCGCGATAGCGAAGGTGGCTCCTCTAATTGAGTAGGTTTCCAGCCAGGTGTAGGCGCTGTTGTTCTGTCTGGCTCGGTCAAAGCTTGCTGACCGTAGCCAAAAGAGTCTGGCGAGAAGAAAGGCATGGGCTGTTCGGTATTAATCCAGGACGCAAAATGATACGAGTTTAGGGGTTCACTATCAAGAAACGAAGTGAGACTGTCGAGCGACTCGCCAAACGTCGACTCGTAGCTCTGACCAGAAGGCTCTGTAAGCATTGCTGAAGGTGGAACTTCCACCGACGCAGCGATAGTTCCAGTATGCGAAGGCATTGGTGTCTGCATCGCATCATGCGATAAACGGTTTGCCATGTTACCTTGCAGAGCTTGATACTCGGCTGCCATCGACAGTGCTGTCAAAGAGTAGCCGCTATTTTGCCCAAAAGTCAAAGAAGCATGTGACATTGTTGGCTGGTGTTGAGACGATGGCATATCCAAGACTGCGGGTGAGGACATCATGCTGGGTATCTCTGGCACTGGACGTCCAGCATCGAAGCTCGACCGCATTCGCTTGTGCGGCCGAGTTTCGACCGAGCTGTATGTACTCTCAGCTGGGGTATGCTGATGATTCTGCTGGGTAGTCTGCTCTTTGCGATGGGTAAGTCGTTCATGGCGGACGAGCAGGTCACTTCAATGCAGTCTTTAGCCGACGCTACGCATAGATATGAGCGTGCCATACCTGCGTGTGAACGAATAGTTGCATTCTGAGCAGCTGAAGGGCTTCACACCGCTATCTTGATGCATGTCAGAGATAGCTTGCGATACGAATCGCACGACTTACGAATTCTCTCATGGCGCTGCAGATGCTCGAGCCTAGCGAAGGCCCTTTGGCAGTGAGGGCATTGGAAACGCTTTTCCTTCTTCCCAGGCTGAGCTTGCGGAACTTGCTCTTTGCTGGTAGCGGCTTCCATCAAAGACTAATGCCGCCTCTACCACTTACACAAGACCCAATCGCAAAAGGCTTGGTATGTGATACCCAGATTTTGGAGCAGCTTGAGTAGCCAGACGGAGGTTGGAGACTGCAAGTGGTGTTCGACAAGGTCGGAGAACGGTTGTGGGATTGTGGGGAAGAGACGGGAGCGCGAAGACGCGACGGTTCATATGCGGGGTGCTGGAAAGAAGCGGGATAGCGACCAATCATCACGTTTGTGGCATGTGCCCACAGCCCGAGGTTCACGTATCATGATGAAAAAGATTGGACGCAGCAAGGGTTATCGGACAGTGTCTTGTAAAGGGGAAGGTACTGTGAATGTTCGTATGTGTGTGGCTACAGCGATCATCGTATATGTCATCCCAACCCGGGCCGGATCATCCCGGGTGCCACGTTCCCAGCCACCTCCAGGGCTGCCACGCGATCTGACGCGACGCGTTCCTACTATCATCGTCACCAATTGATCACCACTATGCCCTCTCACTCCTGTTGCCCAATTCTCGCGGCATCTCGCCTTTCTCTGCCATGTCGTTTAGGACCTTTTCAGCTGTTTTCATGGCGTCGACGCCAGCTGGCACCCCACAGTATGTGGTTGCGTGAATGATAGCCTCGCGAATTTCGAGCTCGGACAGACCGTTATTTCTTGCCCCGCGCACATGTACAGCAAGTTCAGGAGCGCGGTTGAGCGCCATGAGCATGCCGATGTTGATAAGACTTCTTTGCTTCTTGTCGAGACCTGGCCGCGTCCAAGCGTAACCCCAGCACATCTCAGTAACGAGCTCCTGCCCAGCTCGCGAGAATTCTGTAGAACCATTCTCCAGTGCACGGTTCACATACTCGTCTCCCACCACACTTCGTCTCATCTTCAGCCCCTCATCAAAAAGCTGCTTGTGTAGGTCGTCAAGCTTGGGGTCGGTCGACATACTGGCGGTGGTACGTCTCGATATGTGAGGAGAATCGATCTGGCTCGGGCGAAGTTAGCTTGTTCGACTTGCTCAGAATGAGTATTTGAAGAAGAGAGAAAGATGATTGTTTGTTGTCTGTGGTTTCTCAGTATCAACCCTGCCTACCTAACAAGATATCATGACTACCCCGCGTGGGCCACTTCGTGGCCGGCCTTCGGCCTTTACCCCAAGTATCCCCAACCTACTCCAACTTCAGCATGACGCTAACGGGACCGATCACAAACAGCGAATCGCGATCCAACTATGCTGAGATTGGAGAGGATGTATACGACCAATATCTGCTTATGCGTCATTCGTCTCGGTTTGCCAGTCTTCCTGCCCACCAAGGTAGCGATACACTACACGTGAATCCAAGTCCCTACAACGCGGATCATTGGCAGCACCATCGTATGTCTGTAAACCAACGTCCCCTAAAACGTTTCGTGACCCTACACGCTTCGCCATATCCACCGCCAAACCAAAGTCTTTGCGCATTAGCTGCACTTTAAAACCTTGCTTCCAGCCTCCCGACGATGGAGCCTCAGGGTATACATGTGGGACAGGGCAGAACTTGTCGCAGATACTGTTCTGAGCAGTACCCGCAGCGTATACTTTGGCCAACGTCCGAGGGTCCAGTCCACTACGCATACCCATATCGAACGCTTCTGAGCAAGCTATGGCGATTATGCCCGAGAGGTAATTGTTCGACAACTTTGCCGCAAGCCCTAGTGACGGTCCCCCACAGGGTATTACTTGCCCGCCCATCAGACCCATCAGATATGTAAGACGCTCGATATTTGGATCTGACTCTGCACAGCCTAGAAAGAATGCGATTGTGCCTTTGATGGCTCCTACTACGCCGCCACTGACTGGGGAGTCGTAGAAAGAAGCCGAGGGAAACGTCTTCGCAATGTGATCCTTCACGGCGAGGCTTGTTGCTGTGTCTATGGTGGAGCAGTCGACGAGCAGCTTGCCGGAGATATCGGTACTACAGACACCATTCCCGGGGTGGAGATACACGGATCGTACATGTGAACCTTCGGGAACCATGCTTAAGATTGTGTCCTGCCTGCTTGTCAGCGATCAGCCTAGTGTGACGACATCTAGACCTACAACTTGCTCCGCAACGTCTTTGGCGCTTTTTGCTTTCAACACTCGATCCGGAAACTCTGCACATGCATCGTCTACCATCTGTTCGACTACATCGTAGACCCAAATGCGTGAATCCTGAGGCAGTTTGTTGGCGAGATGTGAGAGCATCGGTTTTCCCATGGCACCAAGGCCGATGAAGCCCAGTCTTTTAAAGTCGTACAAATGCGCCATGGTGGAGTCGTGTGCTCAACGGGCGTTGAAGCGTTAACCCTGAAGCCCCAGGCTCTTCAGCCTGTTATGAAAGACTGGCGATGAATTTGAAAGGTTGTTTTTGGACGTCGAGAAACAAAGCACGTCAACATTGCCGTTCCAGAACGCGTCGTGAACGAGCCGCGGCTGGCAAAGCGGGGTGGGGCGTCCCCAACGGACACTACTGACTAGCAACCCTTACCCCGATGTCTCTCAACATCTGGGATGTTCGTAGGCTAATCAAACAGAGGTCACACGTGCCATTTCTTTGCATCTGGGTGTCTAGAAGAGCACTTACAGATATCGCCCCAGTCAGCTGTAGTCTTGTGACACTATCTCTAATCGACAATCGCTGCGGACTACTTGACTGTCTCTGTTGAAGGAGATGGCTACCGAAAACATATCTATGGATACTGATCTTACGAACACAGCTGTTGTTACTGTGCACGCATTATCGAGCGGCCACTTTTCGCTTCCAGAATACCAATTCGTACACCCTGTTTCTCGAGATGCGCGCCGAACCGTTCCTTCACTGGCGTTTCTAGTGCAACATTACAACCACAGCACAAAGAAGCGGACACGCATTGTCTTTGATCTAGGGTTGAGAAGGGATGTCAAGAGATATGCGCCAGCAATACAAAAGCATGTTGAGACGAGACAGCCAATGAGTACCGACCCGGACGTTACCAAGAGTCTTGCGAGAGGTGGATTAGCACCCAAGGACATTGACTATGTGATCTACTCGCATGTAAGTCATATTACCTCGCGTTACAGATGGTAGGTAACATGGCTGCGGCAGGTACATTGGGATCATATTGGTGAACCTCGAGATTTCCCCACATCGACCTTTGTCGTCGGCCATGGCTCACTTGCATTGCTACGTGGCACTTCACCGTCTCTGCGCGGTGGTCATTCCTTTTTTGAACATGATCTCTTACCAGAGGAGCGGACGATTGAACTATCAGAACCTTCGGCACGCATGTTGAAAAAGCACGATTCATGCATGGCAGCAGGGGACATCAACTTCGGAGGCTCCTGGCAGCCACATGGAAACCTTCCTCAGGTTCTGGATCTCTTCGGAGATGGTTCACTTCTTGTCGTCAATGCACCCGGTCATCTACCAGGCCATATTAATCTTCTCGCACGAACTTCCCCTGATCATCAAATCTACATGGGTGGTGATGCCTGCCACGATAGACGACTCCTGACTGGCGAAAAAACAATTGGAGAATGGAACGATGCTCACGGACATGTCTGTTGTATACACGCCGACAGAAAGCAAGCTGAGATGACGATTGAAAGGATCAGAACTCTAGAAAAAGAGGGCGTGGAAGTCATCTTTGCACACGACATCGAGTGGGAAAGCGATCCGAAGAACAAGACCCGATTTTTCGGCACGCAGGAAGGCATGGATGACTAGCTGCGGAACGCATATATGACTTCTGTTCAATAGCACATGAGCGCACACATCATCTCTCCCATCATTTACGATTTCGTAGGATCTGGCGTATTGGCGTCAGATGCGTTCCCTGTCATTCAGTTAGTAGGTGTGGTGTGTCGATCCCTGTGCTTCCCCACACTGAGGAGTTGGGGAAATGTGGGGCCCTTCTGCTCACCAGCGCCTCCAACAGTACACCATCCGAGGTAGAAGCTAATGAACGCATGAGAGTGTTCAACTCGCGCCAATAGAAGGAACATGGAAACTGGTGTCAGTGGTACTATATGCAATATCTACTCTGGCTTCAACGTTACCATTGCGAAGATTCTTACGACGAGTCCTCCTAAAGTATCCTTTCAATCATCCGTACCAAAACAATAAGTTTGCTACTTGTAGACCACTATGGAAAAGCCCATTCTTTCAGTTTCTCCAGAGAACCAGCACTTGAAAGACCGCTTCGATGCCGAGCTCGGCGCTGCAGCGTTCGATGAGTCTTGGGCTAGGCTACTCAAACACTCCCCAGAGATGTTTGCTGCATCGCTACGCCTGACAGCAGCACCAAGAAAGACAGGTCATCTCTCCCCCAAGATCCAGGCGCTGATCTCTCTGGCTGTAAGCTCAGCATCAACACACTTGCACGTTCCCAATATTCACCGATATACGAGCGCCGCCCTAGCAGCAGGCGCTTCGCGAGAGGAAATCGTCGAAACGCTTTGTCTCACATCCACACTTGGTATTCACGCCTCCACAGTCGGCGTACCGATCCTCTTTGAAGTACTTGAAGAGCGTGGCGAAGCCATGCCAAAAGGCATGTCAAATATGAGTCCCCAACAACTCGCCCTCAAGCAAGATTTCGAGACAAAGCGCGGTTACTGGAATGCGTTGTGGGAAGAAATGCTGCTTCTCGCACCCGAATTTTTCGATGCATATACAGAGTTTAGTTCGGTTCCTTGGACAAACGAGGGTGGCAAAGGAGTACTCGAGCCCAAGGTCAAGGAGCTGATATATTGTGCATTCGATACTGCAGCAACGCACATGTACCAGCCGGGACTGAAGCTGCACATGCGGAACGTGTTGAACTATGGTGGGACGAAAGAAGAGATTATGGAGGTGTTGGAGCTGGCGACGCTTTTGAGTATCAGTACACTGGATGTGGGATTGAAGGTGCTAGACCATGAGATGGGTACCCCCCGAGTCTGAAGTCACCCGCACAACGAAGCGTATACCTTGCAGCCTACATTATCTCCTAATAAGAAAACTTACAAAGATTAATAGCATTGTAGCCTTCTAGGTTTTCTATCTATATCCATATAGCTCTTGAAATGTTCTTTTGTAGTAGGAAGGGGTATGCTAGGCGCGGATGATGTCCATCTTCTCTCGATAAGAGGCTATGAGTCGTTTCCACTGGTGTTAACATGTAGCCTTGGTAAACTTGAAGAATACCGCACTGATCTGCTAAGATGAGACTCGCAGCAACTGCTTGCACTTGATGGTTTGCACCATGCCATAATTCGATTGTCATGCCGTGCTTTTACAATGACCTGTCATGGTTCGGTGCTCACTCTATCTTAACGGGCTTACAGATCTTTCTACAGGACTACTTGTCCTTCCCGCGCCTACACCAGAAGCAAGCAGTTCAAGCCTCGAAGCTTGAACCCGATGTTTCTTCATAACTTCTACCCATTCTTCTTCAACATCCTGCTCTTCGGTCTCATTTGTGTCTTCATTTAACTCCGCCCGCAAGTCTTCTTCCAGCAAAGCAATCATCATGCTGAAGTCACCACCCAATCTACCTAGCGAACCAGCACAGTACAAGACCTGCGTGAGAAGCGAATCTCGTTGCGATCGGTCTTGTACGTTTGGGAGATAAGTTTGCAGAGTGTCGAACAGCATTTCTACGAGATGTAGTGGGAACGTTGCAAGGGCTGATGGTATGGGTTGGAGGGGATTGGAAGTGGTGACTGGCTTTACAGCTGGGGCGCTTTCATCTGATCCTGGTGCTGGTAAGGCGGAGGGGAAGATGCTCTTGTACATGGATATAATGGCGAAACTCTGCTCGCGAAATACTTCAAGGTACTTCTTCAAGTACTTTTCGGTTTGTTGGCCTACCGCCCAGCCGGCGTCGCCTCTGGCTGGACTTGCCGTCCGCTTCTCTGTCTCTTGGTCGGCAAGTTCGCGTAGAGGATCCAGTGCGCTGAGCATCAGCTCAAGGCAGACTAGTCGACAAACGAGAAATAATGCGCCAAGCGTGCCTTCTCCACTGCCTATGCCAGCTTGCTTGGTTGACCATGATTCGTCCAGTTCGGGCGCCACGCGTCTAAGCCATCCAATTGTTCGCATGGCACCTGCCAACTTAATGCCTTGACTCTGGAGTGAGCTTATAAGGTTGGTGGTCATGGTCTTCATTTCCTGTTCAGCCTGAGCAGTGAGCGAGGAGACCAATTCAGAGGTGGGGTATAGGGTGTGGAGGCGCTTGATGTGGGCATGAAGATCGAGAGCCGAGGCATAGTTCGCGTTGGCGGTGGCCGTAGATGAAGACGCTTGCGCGGCGGCTGTAGAGGAGCTGATGGCGGAGGAGAGGAGGGTGGGTAGGTCGAGCACATCGGATACGCGGTCAATGTTCCGAGATAGCAGCATGGCCTTTCTCCGTCTGTCTAGGATTGCATTGTCTGCCCCTCTGCTGTATTTATCAGAGAAGCTCTGTGCAGCTGTTTCCAGCTTTGGTAGTTCTTCCTGGACCGTTCCTGCATCTTGTCCTATTTGAGGGAGTGTCTTGCGTAGATGTAGCAGGTGGTCGGTCGACGATATTATCGGCTTGTGTGAGCGTTTCGAGAGGGCTTGTAATGAGCGTAGTATAGATTGCGAGCTTTGTGACAGTGACTGTTGCTCTGAAGACGAGAGAGCGGCTAGGGGCAGGGTGGTGAGGCGGGCGAGGTACGTGTTGGTAATGGCGTCGTTCGGGGAGGGCCGTAGCTGCGCGTCTTGCGCGTCGAAATAGGGTATCAGCAGTTCGTAGAGGGGGTCGGCCATCGTGGGAGGTTTCACGGCTCCAATGACGCGTGCACAAGTTCAATGGCTTGTCGAGAGTAGCCGTGGGGGTCTATCGGGCGGCGGGCGGAGGTGCCACGAGGCTGAACCCTGTCACTTTTAGCGCCCTTCGTACTTCACATGCGGCCTCTCCCGCTGCCGCAGGACTCATGGATCGTGACGACTCCCACGCAGACGACTCCAATCCTCCGGACCACGGCGCACACAGCCCCGAAACGCTCACCGCCGTTGAGCGATTTCTTGCTGAACTGTTCCAGAGCCGCCTTCTCATAGACAACTCGGCTGCCGACGAAGCTTCACCGATTTCGCCGCGACCGCTACAATCGAATATTAATAATCTCGTACCTTTCTTCAGCGCCTCGAGTACTTTCCCAGTGCCGCAGAACCCACAGAATACTACACAAACATCACACGATACAACGCCGCACGCCTCGACACGCCAAATGCAAAGCGCGCAGGATGTCGTCTTCTGCGTCGAGGATACCGTGGGGCTCAAGGACGACAAATACAGCGTGGGCATAATAGAGCGTTCTTTCGGCGACGTCGACTCACACGAGCCCCGGCCACAGCGCGACTATCCCGACGACATCGAGCGCCATGCCGACATTCCCCTCCAAGATTTCACGAAGTTCATGAAAGACGGCATCCCACCGCGGGGTACAGTGCTAGTATCATGGCAGACACAGTACAAGACGGAATTGATACCAGAGGCAAACCTGCAATTGCTGGATCGTGCGCTGTACGTGGGTGACGTGGTAAAGAGAAAGGCGGAAGATCATATGAGCGGTACTGTCATTGGCACACAGGCAGTCTGCACCCTGTTCCCGGCCTCGCTGTTCAACGGCGGCCAAATCACACAAGCAACCACCGACGACTTGTCGATACGGAACGTACCAGCTGACGAGCTTATCAACGTGCACGAGTTCGTCGAGGGCGCTTTGGTCGTCTACGGTGACTGGGTGGGGCGGGTAGAGAACGTATACGACGAGGTTGCCATCAGGCTGGCCAACAACTCGGTCGTAGTGGTCGAGGATCCGACTGAGTTGGAAATGGACGACACTACACTTGACCGATTCAGCGTGGGCGACACGGTCAAGACCAAAAAAGGCAACTTGCGGCGGGGACGCTGGAGATTCGGCGCCTATGATCCCAGTGTACCACCTGTGGGTATGGTTGTCGAGACACGACCATCAGATATCGACGTACAATGGCTATCAAGAAGCATCGGCGCCCGCAACGTCGCTTTCAACGCCGACGAGCCACCGGCAACGCTTGGCCGAGACGAATTTGAGAGCCCCACCTTCTACAGATACGACGCCTCCGGAGGCACCGCCACCACACTCCCCGTTTCCGAAAACGGAGTCGACAAATCATACCATGTTACTGACGTGGCTGTGGGTGACCGGGTGCGGTTCAAGGACATTGCCGGCGCTGCTGTCAAGTACGATGGCACCAACACATTGCTCAACGGATATCCACAAGGGAAGGTGACACGCATTGCGCGAACCGAAAGTCTAGGCTATGACCTCAACGTCTTTTTGGTCATGCAGACTCATAGTCAAGTCACCGTGCAATGGCAAGACTTGTCCATAACACACGATTTGAGCTCTTCATTACTACCGGATCCTAACGTAGAAGACGACGATGAGGTCTGGCCTGGTGAAGTTGTCTTCTCGAAAGAGGGACGCGATGGTGATAATACCGAGAAATCAGAGACAAAGAAGCTTTCGAAAGTAGGTGTCGTTCAGACCGTTCAGGGTCGGGACCGAATAGCCACTGTACGATGGTTCAAGAATCCTTCCATTGAGTTCTTTGGCCCAGACCTACTTCCCCCCTCCAAGACAGGAGAACTGAGCGATATTGTTGAGGACGTCAGTTTGTATGACATCTACTCTTTCCCAGCCCTTACACGAAGGCGTGGCGACTTCGTACTAGTACATCCCGATTCAATCGAAGGCGTACAAACACCGCTCAACGTTATAGGCCCCGATTGGTTTGGAGAAGTCATAGACTTGGGCCTAGACGGAAAGCTCACCGTTCGTCTTGGCGCTGCGAAACCTGTTGTAGACGTCAAAGTTCCTTACGAGAGTGTTACACTCGCCTACAGCAGCGACATGGCTGATGACTTCGGTAACATGGATCCGCTTGAGGGTGAATACATCGACGACTCTGACGAAGAGGATGATTCCGATTTTGATTCCGCGTCGTTCAATGAAATGTGGATTGAGTACGAGGGCATGGCTGGAGAGCACCCTGTGGGAGACGAAGGAGACTGGTCCACAGAGGAGGAGGACGATGATGAAGACGATGACGGTGATGGCGATACTGATGCATCGATGCCCGATCTGGTGGACATCACAAAAGAAGACGTGGATACATCAAAGACCACTCCTGAAGACAAGTCACCGGAAATCAAAGAAGAGCACTCGATTGCCCAGCCCACCGAAGAAGACGATATAGCGCCAACAGAACAAGAAAACACGGAAACGCCTGCAGATGGACCAGCATCCTTTCTTATCCTCGAAGACGCCCCACCATCTTCTCATCATTACCTCTCCCAATCGTCAGCTTCGTCATCAGCTTTTATGCGCAGGATAGCAAAGGAGCACAAGATCCTCCGAGGATCCCTTCCGCCAGGAATCTTTGTCCGCACCTGGGAGTCTCGGCTTGATCTTCTTCGCGTCCTTATGATCGGTCCCAACGATACCCCTTACGAATATGCCCCCTTTGTAATTGACTTCCACCTCGGCTCGTCATACCCACAACAAGCACCGGAGGCCTTTTTCCACAGCTGGACCAATGGCAATGGACCCGTCAACCCGAATTTGTATGAGGATGGCAAGATCTGCCTAAGTCTACTGGGCACGTGGCACACCGACGAGCGTAACGAGAGCTGGAGTCCTGCAAAGAGTACGCTGCTGCAAGTTCTGGTCTCAATCATGGGTCTCGTACTAGTCAAGGAACCATACTACAATGAAGCTGGCTATGACGTCCATCGCTCAGCACCAGAGACAAAGCTGAGCTCCGCTCTTTACACCGAACGAGCATACTTCCGCGCCCGCGCCTTCATACATCATGCACTCACACACGAGGTCGCGCCGTTTAAAGACGAGCTACACTACCTATATCGAAGTCAAGAAGACAGCGCACCAAGACTTCTCGACAAAGCCATCGAAGCCGCCAAAGACATCGTTGATAGAAGCGCCGATGGCAGCGAAGAAGGGGAGCGCGATGGGTTGAGAAAAATAAGTCTAGGTGCTCTTGTCATGCTGAAGAGACAGGTCGAGAAGCTAGAGGCTTTGAAGCAGTCAGGCGCATGACCGGGTAGTAGAGAAGGTCTTGCGTCGGGCTCCAAAGGATACGGCTAATGCTGCTATGACTTGATGTTCTTATATTTTCGCCTTTAAAAGTGGTTTACACCTTACCATTGTAGCGAAATAACGAAGCAAGAGAAATTAAACAACATACTTTAAAGTGCCCGTCAACTGGCCTCAAATGTCACCATAAAAGTGCTTAGCACACTTCAAGGGTTTTCGATATCGTACGCACTGCTACAGGAAACCTTGAGGCATATCAGGCTATCCTGTCTATTGACAAGAACAAGTCATATAATATTTCCAATCCAGCATACATCTAACGGAACCGAATATCATACGATTCAAGCTTCACTTTCGCTCACTCTCGTTCAACCATTTGTATACCACCCTTGCGTCTTTCCCTTTGTACCTTTCATCTTGCATCGCTTCGCCAAATGCCTCTAACGTCGGCTTGTCCAGTATAGTGCGCGCTCCCACCATCTCGGCAAGTTGACTACCCATGCCTAGTACCTTTGCACAGAGCTCAATGCGAAATCCGCCTTCATATCCCCTCGAACTTGGTACGTTTGCTTGTATACCGGGTACAGGGTTACTTTTGCTAGTGACCCAACATTGGCCACCAGAAACATTGATCACATCCGTAAGCAGAGCGACGTCCAAGCCCATCTTTGAACCAATGTTCAGTGCCTCAGAAGCGGCGAGCGATGTGATGGCGCTGAGGTAGTTGTTAATGACCTTGAAGGCTGTGCCTGCCCCAATATCTCCACAGAGAAATATCGCATCCGGTTTGCCCATATGACTCAGATATTGCTTCACGGTAGGGAAGATGTCCTTGTTGTTTGCGCCAGCCATGAATGCCAACGTGCCGTCCTGCGCACCCATCGGTCCACCCGAAACTGGCGCATCGACAAAGGTCAGCATCTTGCTTGCGCTGGAACTCTCCACAGTCTTCGCGACCTCTAGGATTGTTGCTGTTTCGATAGTACCACACTCCATGATCAGCTTTCTCTCTCCGCCTTCTGGTAGTCTCTCCGCACCAGCAACCACTCCCGTTTCCTTGTCAATATACACCTTCTTCACGGCATTCGAATCCGGAAGCATCGTTATGACGGTGTCTGCTTCTTGTACTGCATCATACCCGCTTTGCACTATTTCTACTGGGCCTTGGCCTGAGGCGTCTGATTGGAATTTCTCAAGGGCAGAGGTGGATACGTCGCATATTAGGAGGGTGTGGGAAGAGTCGAGACCTTTGCGAAGGTTGAGGGCCATGGGATATCCCATTACACCGAGACCTGTGGTTCTTCAGTGTCAGAGGAGATGACGAGATATCTAGCCTGGAAGAAACACACCAATGAAGGCCACAGTCTTGCTTGGTGAAGACATGGTTTACAGAATCAGTTCGCTTTTTCGATCTCTGTACATGTGCTGCTTATTTCTTATAAATATGGGAGTGTCTTTCGCAGGTGATCTCTAAGGTTCTCGTAAACAGACGTTAGTGTGAACGACGTGCTGAGTAGCGTAATGTTTATTTTGGAGTCGCAGCTGCGACAAGCACACCAACATCAATGTCCCCGCAAACATGGTACACCAAAGATGTTCCACCGCAGACGATCTCGTCAAGCTCAAAGCTCTCCTCATTCTGAGAGGCGCTATGGTTCCCCAAGCCTAGCCCCGCATCTCACCCCGCTTTGGAGAACCACATGGTTCTCCACCTCCGCAGCGTTCATAGATTGAGAGCCGGCTAATACCTTGAACCTCGCCACCGACGTCGATATGCAGTTCCCTCATGTATTTTGGACTTTAGGCCTCCTGCGCATAGAAGGAAATGATGGAGTACCCATGGAAGTTGGAGAAGAGCTAGCCAGCCGTGAACGATGGACTCGGGTAATGGACGCAGGAAAGCGCATGGCGCACCTGCGTGCCGGAAAGACGCTTCATGGTCAATCATGCATAATGCAAGTAAAGACTTGGATCTGGCATCGAATGGAGCTTTGTAAATTGTTCTGTTCCTATATATCCACTAGTTCACCTTCGCTCTCAATCTCTCCTCGACATGGCGACAACAGATCTTCAGCGTTCAGTAACCGACGAGAAGCATGAAGAAGTGCAGCGCGAATATCTTGAGCAAGATGAAAGTGCAGAAACGATCGAAAACAAGAAAAAGGAGGATGCGCTGCGGCGGAAACTGGATTGCTTTGTTGCGCCAGTCATGATGATGCTGATGCTCATCAGCTATCTGGATCGTGGGAACATTGGATTTGCTGCGACGCAGGGTATGACGACCGATATTGGGCTGAAGGGAAGCGAACTGAACGTACGTTAAGACACTGGCAAGCAGAATGGGATATATATCAAGACTGACAAAATCACAGACTGCTGTATCAGTGTTCTACATCTTCTACATTCTTGCTGAAGTACGTTCTGCATCTGACACCTTCAGCTCAGCATATCTGATAATATACAGTTTCCAACTTCCCTCCTCGTTAAGCGCCTACAATTCAACCGAGTCATTCCCACGATCACCTTCTGTTGGGGTATTACATGTCTTTGCACAGGCTTTGTGCAAAACTTCGCCGGCCTAGTCACCACGCGCATCTTCCTAGGCTTTTTCGAAGGATGCTTGTTTCCAGCAATGACACTGTTTCTATGCAACTGGTACACGAGAGAGGAGCTGGGTATTAGAATCGCGTATCTTTTCATAGCATCAGCACTCTCAGGAGCTTTTGGTGGTCTTATCGCATTTGGTATCCTCTACATGAACGGAGTTGCTGGGTGGTCGGGATGGAGGTGGTAAGTCCCAGGCATCAATACCTTTTGGAGGCCCTATCCAACTAATAGGCATTCAGGCTATATGTCATCGAGGGCATCATTACAGTAATATGGGCATTTTGTTGCATCTTCCTTGTACCAAAATCATTCGAGACCGCGTATTTCCTCAACGACGAAGAGAAGACACTCATGCGCCAGCGCGCACATCGGACACAAGCATACTCCGACTCTGAGGGCTCTGGTCATTACGGAAAGGCTGATATCAAAGAGGCGGCGAAGGACATCAAGAGCTGGGTCCATGGTCTCATCCAGATCGCAGTCGTGACGATTCTGTATGGATTTGGTACATTCTTGCCCATCATCATCAGGAATGGATTCAATTTTTCTACGAAACAGGTATGCTTAAGTGCCTTGTATCTTTCAACACAACGCTCACATGGTTAGGCGCAATATCTCGTCATTCCTGTCAACGTCTGGGGAGCAATCGTATATGCGATCGGCGCATATCTGTCGGATCGCTACCAAACTCGATTCTTACCACTGATCCTGATGGCGCCTATAGGCATCGCCGGATACGCCATTCTACTATCTCCTGTCAGCCCGTACGTACAATACTTCGCTACTTATCTTATCGCGACTGCCTGTTTCCTCTGCACTGGCGGGAACATCACCTGGTTATCCGCAAACTGCGCGCCCGATGGCAAACGCGCTGCATCTTTGGGAATCCTTCTAACCCTCACCAACATCGGCGGCGTGGTATCTGGCCAAATCTACCAAAGCAACGCAGCGCCCAAGTACACTTTGGGTCATGCGTGGAGTTTGGGCTGTTTGGCTTTTGCGTGGTGTGGGTGGTGGATTATCAAGGCGATCTACAGAAGGAGAGAGAAGAGAAAGGATGCTAAACTTGCACGAGGATATATTATGCCTGCTGGAAAGCAATACACAGATCGCGAACCAGACTTTAGGTATCAGATCTAGGTAAAGAACATCCTAAGCCGTAATGACGAACACAGAGTACTGCGATACGTGTTGTTGTATGCTTCAGAAACCTTTTGAGGGTTTCGTGTTACTCACAATCACATCGAGATACACCGCGTCGCATGAAAACATCAAAACCGTCTGAGAGCAAAGAAACAGGTGAACAATGCTGTATGAGAACCTATTCGATAATTATGCGACAGTCACTGAGGTCGCTCCCAGCGAACTGTTGTACGACTGCCCCATTCATTGCGCCGTGTATATAGCAACCGCTTACGAGCTTGTGCCGGCCCTCTTTCGCTGGTGTAAGAAGAAAAGGGACGATTGCACCAAAAATGATACAACATAAATCGCCAACCTTGACTAGTTCACCGTGCGGTATCATCCCTAATCGCCCGTTTTCTGTCAAAAATATCTTTGAGCGGTCGCATGTTCTCAGATTCCGTTCGAAGTCTAGTGCACGTTTCTTCTCTTTTACCATCCACTTCGCCGTCTCCACACCACTCGAGCGGGTTAGGCGGGTCTTTTTTCTGTATGCTTCCAGTTCCTCTTCTTGACGTCTAAAAGAAACAGAACGACTAGAACTTTGTGCCGGATAGCCCAACCCCAATGTACGAACAATGTCTTCTCGACGTATTGCAAGTCCCAATCCAGTCGCTGTTTGAAATACATGATTCAATAAGGTATCGATGGGCAACTCGTCTGATTCGTAGGCCGTTGGGTTCGGATGTGTGTAGCTCAAGCCTGTTCCATCAACCTGTATCGTGTTGGAACTCCAGACGACTTTGTCAAATATGAAACTTCCGACCGTCAAGAAGTCTTCTTCGTCAGGGCTAATGGTTGCAAAGAACTTCGTAGTCCCACTCGCGCTGTACCAGTATTTTGGATCCATCACTCGGATGTAACGCCCTGGATTAATATGCCATGCTGGTACCCACGATGGATAACCACTGTTCAGAAGATTCTCTCTACTCTTGTGACGAACGGCTGAGAGTAGAGATGGTCCTTCTGTGGGGCTTTTCATCAGCGCGTAGGCGAGACGAATATTTAGGACGTGTATCGAGGACGTGTAATCTGCGTCTACCAGCGTTCGACCCTTTCCGTCCTTGGCGACTGGACAGCCCAAGAATGCGTAGACGTGATCTCTAGGATCTGTAGCCTGTAGAGTTCGAGAGGCAGCAAGGATTCCACATAGAGTCTGTTCTTTGTACCTAATGGCTGTATAGGCTAATCCAGCTCGAGATTGTTGCCATGATACTGGCCGGTTGGTATTATAGTGAAAGTAAAGTGCCAGTTCGCGACCATAACGATGTTGAATGCTCCCAACAATTCCTTGAACGGTGAGGTACAAGTCTGGTTTTCTACTAAGCCACACACATATCTCCAGTACATCGGCTATGTCGACGCTGGCTGGGCCCCAGAACATGCGACATTCGGCGGCGACAGCGACTTCCTGAACAGTCCATACTCGTTCGAACCATGGAAACTTGAAGAGGTTGACGACCCCTGACCATCTGTCCGGGTCCATGCTGATAGGATAGGGTTTCTCGAATAGGTCCATTCTGGAGGCTTTCTTGCCCGCCTTCACCAACGAGTCCCCAAAATAGGCGTTGGCCTCGCAAATCAGAGCGAACGTATCTGCGGCGACATTGTTGACATCACATCTGAGCCAGACCAGTACACACTTCGCGTTGGCGTACACTTCACCCATTCTCTTGACCTGATGTCCCTTTTCTTGGTCATCTTTTTGGTTGATACACAGGGCATCCGCCCAAAGTAGTCGAGGCTCGGAAGGATGTCGAAAGTTTCGAAGAGCATCCGCAAGGCTGACGGTAATCAGAACCTGCACCCCGTTGCACCATACGTCGACAGTGTGTTTGGTGTCGCCCCAAACGTACGATATCGCCTCGTATGCGTCCTTTGACGTTCCTATGTCAATGATTTCGAGGCTGCACTGGATGTCGTCTTCGGTTTTGCCAGGCTGGAGTTTTAGAACACGTATAAACTCGCCATGTGGGAGTGGTTCGTAGATCGTGTAGGCTAGTTCTTCATCGACTTTTTGTTGTCGCTTAGCTTCAGGAGGTGGAGAAGGCGACGTAGTGCTGCGTGTGGACATCCTTTTGGTAGCAAGTTCCCATAATACAGGAAGTCAATAGGTTTGTCGTATCAGTAGGGGAAGATCAACTCAGAAGGAAGGCTGAGGCTGTGTTAGGGCGCAGCTGCAAGCCACCCACGTGCCAACCCACGAGACGTCACATCCACCTTTTTGTCCCAACTTGTCACATACGCTCGAAATACCTCAATGGAAACCTACTTGACAGTAACGAGTAGATGTAATTAGACGCTCTAAAGAAGACGCTGTGCCCCAGTAGTATCTAATGCTGAACATAGGAAAAGTCCCAAAGCCGTGTATATGCCCAATACCGCCCCGAGACCAACCAGCCCCGTGGCATCAGAGACCAAACCCAAAGAAAAGTGGTATGCTGTGGTATCATCCATATGCGAGCCAAACACCAAGAAACGCCATGTAACACCCTCGCAATCGACACATTCCCTGCCGACTATGCGAAGTAGTTGTTTACGGACAGGTCAGACTCCTTGTCCTCTTGCTATCGCCCAAACCCAGCACCTCTCCTCTGACATGCTTGGGTACCTGAGCCTTGGCCCAGCACTGCATGGCAACTCTGCGCATGAGCTCCACCTCTTCGTCGCGCAGTCTCAGTTGGCGCTTGGCCAGCTTGCTCTTCCTGAGCTTGACGCCCTTTTCCTGAACTGCTTGTCCTGACACAACAAAAGGAACGGTGGGATGTGTCAAACCACGCTTTGAGCCGGGGCGTTCGGTGGTAGGTGATGAGACAAGGGACTCGAGGTTTACGCATTCGGCGATGAGGGCTTGGATGCCGGCGGAGAGTTGTGTTGCGCGCGAAAGGATGTAGCCCCAGATCTCTGAGCCTTCCCAGAACGGATCGTTGATAACGGCGTGCTGGAGCGCGGGGAGGATGTGAGGGAGCGGCGGAAGGGTCTTGTCTTCGATGTCCTGCGGTGGCTCTTCTTGCGTTGGGGTAGCGATGTTTGCTGTGCTAAGCAGGCTGGCTGCAATAGTCAATCGGATGTGGCTGTCGGTGCTCAGAGTTGCGGTGACGACGCATGCGGGACATCCACGTGTACGGCACCAGTCTGCCTCCTCTGTGATGAAGCATTGGAGGCCAATGAATGCGCTGCGCGATTCGCCCGAGAAGGCGAGCTCAAGATCAGAGGCGCGCTGTGTGCAGAGTGCGGCCGAGGCCAGTGTTGACGCGCGGGAGAAGAGGGTCACGACGGGCATGATGAGGGCGTGGAGCATGTCGCGGTGGAGGAGATATGTCTGCTTCGCCTGGGGAGAACATTGCGAGTGTGTTGCGCAGAAGCTGCCATGTCTGTTAGTGCTGGCTCCTCGAATTGATGCTGTCGTGAGGCTGGGGCAGGAATGTGGAGGTGGAGAGCGATACGGCAGCGCGATAGATAAGCTTGCTTCACGCGGCAAGGGAACAACATACTCAGCATCTCTGGCCAAATGCCTCCTCAGCGCACAAAAGGCCTTGGAAGTGCCCAGCGCCTCGACATCCTCATGTGGGATCACAAAAGGGCTCTCCATGGGTGCAGCGTATCCGTAGTCCATCGTATCTCTCTGTCGGCGTGGCTGTCTCGCTTCGCATCGGTATGCAGTCGGTCTATCTCGAGTCGGCACGAACAAGCTTCTTTAACGAACAAGGCTAAAAAGCAAACAAGAGGAGAAAGAGGGGAGCAAAGCAAAGCAAGCAAGATGCTAGGGAAAGAAGACTCGACGTTATTATTATTATTATTATTAGTATTCCCTGCAACGGACGCCGTTCCCTATTTCACCCCCAAATGACGCGAACGAGCCTCCCTCATGCCAGGAGTCCCACCCGCTGCTGCTGCCGGGGTGGATCCCATTGTAGATCTAGACTTGCATATGGCGCACCCCCCTTTCCTTATCCGCCCACGCTTGTGCATTGCCCGTATCCCACGACAACTTTATGTAGCCAACTAGCTGGCGCCAGATGGCTTCACTGCCGGCCGGGGACTATCTGCGTTCCGGATTCGGAAAGAAAACGCGGCGTTGGCGGTTAGTCGTTGTAGCGCATCAACAACCTTTTACTTTTCCACCGACCTATCGACCGACCGACCAACTTCACCCTCGCCGAAAGGGGTCGACTGTCTCCGTTGCGTCTTCGTTAATTTGAGGGGCGCCATGTTGCTTATCTCATACATACACGCGTACGTACCCTCGACCTTCTCGCGCTTCTTCCCCTAAGCCAATTTGCGAGCATGATCTTCAAATGATGCAACCCAGCTTCACCGACCCCGACCGCACTGAGGCCGATCAAACCGCGCATCGCGATCGCACGACTCCCACGTCGTGGGTACAGCAGTTTGCTGCCAAGGACGACCTTGTCTTTGCTGCTGCAAACCCCACTGAAACACGTTTCGATAAACATAGTCCCTAGCCCGAGTGTTTGCGAGGCCACTAAAAACATCGCGACAGCGTTGACTGCCGCACTATTGGAATCGCGTAGCGGCAGAATGACAACATCAGCTGCGCCATTTCTCCTCATTCTGCAGAGGCCATGACAGCATCGTCTACACCTCAAGCACGAGGGATACAAAGGCACGACTGAGAAGGAGTCGGTCATGTTGCTGAACATGTCGTCTAGTTTATGAAAAATGGATCCGAATTACGCGTATCACTTGCTGTACCGCGGCCGTGATCGGTCTCATCACTCATCATGGTACACAACATGCTACATGATGAGTGATGAGACGATGCCATATTCTGTGGGACCGAAAAATAGTCGCGACATCTTCTTAGTCAAGTTTTTGGTGACACTGCCATGATAGATTCAGGTGCGAGCTGAAAGTACGAGTTTGCTGACGATAACGTTTACGCTACGGGCGACGGGCGCTCCCGTGATCGACACTACAGCACGATACATTCCCATTTTTCCCGCTCTAGATACACTATCTGCTGTCGTGGCGCAAACCATTCATCTTACTATTCCAATGACGCTGCCCAGCCAATATTACTACTGCTCATGTCCACAATTCTAGTCCTTGTTCGTTGTCGTCACTTTATCCTACGCGTATCCACCTCCACAGCCGATGGCCCCCTACCACGTGTATGTGGAGATGCACCAGCTTGCAATCCATTAGAATGGTTGCTAGTCAGGAACGGCTGAAACGTGCAATTGCGCTATCGATCAGAATCTTGTCGCGCAAGCCGGAGTGGTGGCCGTTGAAGCATGGCGCCATATATAGCAGCATGACAGTTCCGTGTCGCGGGAAGCGACCCCAAGCTGGTGTAGACTTTGGGTCTATCGGACTTGGCTACCAGCATACTGGGCACCATGCACCAGGTTCCAACTAGTCAAGTCGACGCGCGCGTGGTACGCGTCTGTATCGCCATCTCAATAGTGATAGTTCCAACGAATCGTAACGTGTATCCGGGTCAATATTGACGTCCAAACCTTCTCTGCCTCGTCAAGTCGCCGAGAAGTGGAGAACATAACAATTCGGACGCTTCCTTCACCTGAACCAGAAAACCGAGTATGATCCATCGTTGCTAAGGATGCGCCGTTGGGTGCCGTCGGTGGCCTGTTTTCTTCCAAAAGGATCCGTAAGGAGCATTGTAAGCTTCTCGGAAATCGGTCCCATTTCTTGCTTCGATACTGGTACAGGTGGGCTCAAAAGGCTCGGGTCGGGCTGGAGGATGGCGAAGATGCTGCTCTTCGACCTGCCGACCATCCGACGATGGACGTCCAGCAAATGATCGTACAGCGGCCAGAGGGTGTCCAGATAACGTGCCGCAACAGGTTCGCATGGCTTGCACGGCTCGAGCATGTCCATGCACGATTTCGCATACGCGAGATCTGCCTCAACACCGTCAACCTGACCATCCATGAGTTTGGTGGTTGCGCTGAAGAGGAGGCAGATTGCGGCTGAAAAAGACCAGTAGATGATGATCCAGCAGCGCTTGGTCAGTGTGCCATCGAAGGAGATCAGTCCCAACATGCGAGCAATGTTCTGAGCTGCCATTGCACACTCCTGCCGATATCGCTTAACATCTTCGACCGATATGTTGTTCAAAGGAGATGGCGTGCTGTCGATAAGCTGGGCTTCAGCCGACGCGACTAGCAGCTGGCGATATAACAAGACTAGTGCACCAAGATACATGATATGTACCATGAATACTGCACGTCTTTGGTAGACTGTTAGATCCTGGGCTTCGCTCGAAAGAAGCGTGGGAATTTGTAACGCGTGTGGAATCTCCTCGCGCCACTTCTCCAACTTTGTGGCAAGCATCGTGATGTTTCCCTTGGTAGTCAATTCAGGAGAGGCCAACGTTTTTGCAACCTCGGCAGCGATCAAGTTGATCTTGCTAATTTGCATATGTATGAGCTCGTCAATGGGGAGCTGATCTGGATGGTATACAACACAGGCAGTCTGGCTATATTAGTATCATGGTCACCAAGTTATGTGCCTAGCGACATACCTGGATATCATTGGCTGTCACCTCGGAGGGATAACCAAGGGTGTAAGAGAGCCAGGAATCCATGAACACGAGGCTACGGAAGATCTTCTTCCAATTCTCGTCCGAGGCTGAGCGAGACCAAGCTTGCGCAGACGGACACTTCCAACGGGCGATCTGCAATCCCGCAGCTGTGGCTTGTTAGCTCGGTGGCGCGGTTGTCAAGCGGGAATGAACATACCGATCAAGTACTTGGCGCTCATGTGCTTCTCGAGTAGCGAGTAGAACGACAGAGAGAGCAATAGACGCATTGTACGGAAGTAGTCTTGTCTCGCAGTCTGCTCATTGAACTGGAGCGTTCCAGATGCGTATAGCAATCGTCGCATGCGGTCCGGGAAGGCATCAATATCGTAATGTGCGCCCATAGCCGCGACCGTAAAACACTCAGCGAGTGTCATCTGATCCACCGGCTTTTGAGGTCGGTAGATGCGGTCAAGTATCTCGTTGACCTGTTCGTAAGTCCACATGAAGAGAAGCGATCCAGTCCCTCGCACAAATGCATACATGGACCGTCGGACACGATCTTCAGGAGGTAGAAAACCTTGATTGAACTGCTGAACGCCACCTCCGTTAAGTATTTCGCCCCTGAGGGTGACCAACTCACTGAATGCGAGCGTCAATGCATTATGACATGCTTCTGCTTCGGGTCCACCCGATACACTGGACGATTGGAGCGAGACAGGACTGTCCGAGGAGATTGGGCTGGCACGTGAGTATGGTCTAGTGTTGTTAGAAGTATCTGTCGTTGAGCGACTGTTCCCCGGTCGTTGTTTGCTGGAGACTGAGGTTGCTTGCTGTGTCTTGAAGTCGTTCAAGTAAGCTTGATACTTCCGCCAATTGTCTGTTTTCTTGTATTCATCCATCTGGGCTTCGAATTCTTGCATAGCTCGGGCGGCATTGCTCTCCCATACCCGCTTCCTCTCTGCGGGGAGCTCCTGCCATCTTCGGCCGACCTCTCGAGCTATATCCACAAAGGACAGTTGGCTGACCTCAGGGTCGGTGCGGAGCTGGTCAGCGAAGTTGACATCTGACGGCATGTTAGATCAAACACCGATGGTACTTTCGTAAGAAGAGCGTACAAGCCGTTTTTGGCTTCTTTGGCGCGTTTGGATCTGCCCGAGGATGCCGCCTGTACCTCCTCTTCTCTCGTGGTGGTGGGGTTGTTGTTTGTCTCGTGAAGCTTTCCAAAGCGGACGTCGATAAGGAAGTGGGTTCTGGTGAATTGGCTTCTGGCTCCAGCGATAATGATTGAGGAATCCCACGGTACGTGGCAATCTCGCGCTGTAGTAATCTCCTATGGCCAAGCTTGAACTCGAGCGCCGTCAGATCATCCTCGGTAATGTCTGCAACGCTCTCCCAGTTATGGAAACCATTTTCGGATAGTACCTGAGCGTACTGGGTCAGACCAATCCGCTCCAGAACTTCGGTGAGGTCTGGGATGGGGGAACTAGAAAAGGTAGAGATCGCCATGAGGAGTGACGTCTGTGGTGGGAGAAGATGGGAAATGGGAGAAATGGCATATATGAGGGTGGCCACACGGCATGACAGATGCCGCGACTACGGTCTCACGGACAGGCAGAAGCTGAGAAGGACGTTATAGGATAGCGCGCAGTCGTGTCTGGTGGTCTGGACCGTGTAGATGAAAAGAAGGGTGTTCGAGGCTCTCACAGCCCCGACCCACTTTTGACACCCGCTAGTGGCAGCAGCCGGTTTCTGCCACGGGCGGGAAATTCCATGGGAATTCAAGACGCCGCCACACGGTGCGTCCATGGTATTTGTATTCTTCCATGAGAGCATTGTTCATCAGATCCAAAAGCCATATTATTAACTCTCCGATTCTTCTTCTGCTACTACGATTGAGAGTTTTGGCCTCGTCCAGTGCAGAACATGGCATCCCGTCAGCACCGCGCGCTGAGTCCAGACCTCGCATCTCGATGCAAAGACAACCATCAGAATCATGTGGCCCACAGACTCATCACCAGGACGCGCTGTCGCTCAATTTAGCTATCCGCGTCCAAGAGACAACATACGATGCTTCTGCACTATTTGTGGAAGGAACGCTACCCGAGGAGTTTAACGTTGACCGCCTTCACACCATTCGAATACCTGAAGCACCTCCGGAATTGCTTTCCACCTCCCTCTTCCAGTCAGAAGCCATCATCTGCACTGCAGTGTCCCATGAGCAGGTAACGAACGACCGGGGGCCGCTGATCGAAAAAGCTGCTCGACGATCGTGTTCGTAAAAGCAACCTGGGAAGGCCTAGACTACTGGTGAAGCTCCGGTACAGCGGCGCAGCACCTCGCCAGTCTTCTAGCCCGCCCACTCGGCTTCCCGCTTCCCATGCGTGTCTGCGCCACAACTCCGCGCGATAATTAAGGAATATGCCTTCCCGTCAATCGGCACGCTTTCTCCACAAACTTTTGCTGATCTCAGACATCGTAGATCTACGCATCCCGGTCATTGGTAGATGGCATCTGGCCTCCACACACTGAAACAAACAGCCTTGCGACTGTTGTAGCACGTGCGCGAAGATCCATTTATGATCCTGAAGCATGCAGCCACTTGTAGTCAGGCTCGTGCCTGAATCACACAACGATCCACGCTACACAAGCATTAGTATTCAAATCGTAACGGAGGGTACAGCAACCGAAACTAGCACGCCTGCCTTTGCACATGAGGCTAAATGGTAGGCTTTCTTGCATTGGTATAATTGGTACTTGGCACGACAATCCAAGCCTCGTGCAAACAACTGCAGATGGTTCTATAGACAACGCTCTACTAACGCATTTTTGTACGCATCATATCCATCGAACGGAAACCGTATTAGGACAATATCCTAGACGCTACAGGTACTTCTGCATAAGCTCCTTGACTCGACTCAGATTTAGCCCTTCGATCTTGTTTCCGTTGCCTTCCATCGTTTCCGCCATACAGACCACGTTGTATATGGCCTCTTCCACGACATCGGCACTCGCCTCGAATAAGGCATTGATAGTCTGGTCATCAGTCATCTTTACTGGCACCTCTCTCGCTTTGTACGGATCGACAGAAGCTTGGCCTGCTGTGACAGTCTGAACGTGCAACTCGTTGGCTGTGGAGAAGGCAAGGAAGACATCGCCTGAAGAATTCGTGCCATAGCCGCCTACGCGTGATAGTCCAACGGTTGCACGTTTAGCCAGTCGTTGCAGTTGTTGCGGATGGAGCGGAGCGTCTGTGGCAAGGACTATGATGATAGACCCGTCTTTCTTGTCCTTCTCTTTCTTCACTTTGAACAGCAGATTCGCTTGCGCCATCAGATCTGGATCATCGGGGTTCTCTTCGATCTTCCGCTTCTGCTCTTCGTAGATGATTCTGCCAATCGGTGCGCCTCCAATCTTGAAGTCCCACATCTTGCCGTAGTTTGCTTGAACCAGTGCCGCAACGGTATAGCTTTTGCCATCTTCACCTGGCACTACACGAGAGCTCGATCCAGTACCTCCTTTGAAGTAATGGCAGATCATACCCGTGCCACCTCCCGTGTTCCCTTCTTTTACTGACTCGCTGCTCGCTTTGTCAATGCCATCCACAACATGCTTCGGGGTCACAGCGAACTTGGATACATCGTGCAAGAAGCCATCAAAAGTTTCCGCAACGACAGGCAGCAAGAACCAATCGACCTTGCCGCTCTTATCGCAGTTATCACGGATGGCGGATTCGTAGATGCCGTTATACGCTGAGCCAACGCCGAAGCTACCCGTGATGATGATAGGAGAAAACAAGAGGCCCATCTCCTCGATGAGGTGAGCCCCAGTCATCTCTCCAGAGCCATTAAAACGAAATATGCCTGCAAAACAGGCTTTGTGAAACCAATCTTTGCGCGGCAGAATGGTTGTTACGCCTGTGTTGATGTCGTTCGGCGGTGCGTCAGGATAGGCAGGCGATGAATGGATGGATTCCGTATGCACGAGTACACCAGGAACGTCTGTCAAACTATTCTTGGGGCCGGGCTGATAACGGCCAAGATACAGCGTTGGCAACAAATTGCGAATACGCTGGCGTGGAGTATCAGATGCTGACAGAGAAGACATGGCGGGCTGGGTCCTGTGATTACCAAAAGCGATGATATTGGTATGGTTGAGATGAAACTTAGAGGAGAAGTATAGGGCAGATACGTGGCAGCCTGGATGCCTCACAATACTTATACCTTGTCTTCAACCATTTACCCGCCTATATCAAGCTCACAGTCGGCAGGTTTCCGCCTGCGCGCTTCTTGCAGGCACCAGCATAACATTCCTCAGAAGGGCGCAAGGCATGCAAACACCTAACGAGGGCGCCACACGGATGAAGGAGCTGCATCTGGCAGGTACGAAGGATTGTGGACCAGTTTTTTCGTCGGGGTTCGCGACGAAATTCACTGGACTATGAGGTTACTCACCTTAGAGAGGTGGTAGATGTATGCTAGCAGCGAAGGAGCCGCGAGACGAAAGAGTCATACACGACGATCCGCTCCTTCGTGCATGATTAGCGTAGTGGCTGCTAACCGGGCGTGGCCCTCCTCCTCATTTTTGACTGTTCTCACCGAGCATCGACTGCATCTGAATGCAACAGTTGTCATGGGTCATCATGACTGCAGATGACAGAGATTGCGAGCGGACAGACTGACATGCGTAGTGAGCGGCCATTGCGCCCGCACATACAGTGCCACGCCAAAAGTCTGTTCGCCCGTAGCGCACGGGCCACGAACGCAGAAAATCTCACACATTTCATCTCAACACAACTCCATCAAAGTAGCTCTAAATAGAAATCTAAAACGACAGAAATAATCGCAATTCTCTTAATATCGTGTCTGGTACCCCTTTGCTTGAAGAACTGCATTAATGCGGCGCGGCATAGACGTAATGAGGTCGCGCACTAGTTTCTCGGGTATGGCAGCCCACGCCTCCTTCAAGCCCAATTTAAACTCAACCCACTCACTATCTAAGTCTCCTATATTATCAAGGTGAGGCTTAAGCTTATGGAGTTGCTTTTTAAGAGCCCACCAAAGGTGTTCTATTAGGTTAAGATCGGGTGAGTATGGTGGCCAATCGATTGTATGAACTCCGTGAAGCTCTAGCCACTCCCTCAAGCAATAGGCAGTGTGTATTAGTGCGTTATCCTGCATAAACAACTCGCCTGGTCTATATTTGTTGCGGAGTCCTTCCTTGAGTGCTATAGTGTAGCTGAGGCTTGTATAGCTGTTGCGCCTTGCTGATGCGTCGCGGGCCATAATTACTAGAGGACTACGCCTAATACCACCCCCTAGAGTTATCCAAATTGAAGCCCAAACCATACGAGCTGGCTGCCGGCTAGTCCCTATCTCCTCTACTATCTCATGCCTCCACTTATCGGTTAGTAGACGCCAAACCTAGCGAGGATTGCGGCCAGAACCACGCGCAATACTACACTTATCGCTGAACTTTAGAGTAGTATGATCCCAGTCGAAATTAGCCTATTGTAGAGCCTAGTTATAGCGAAGTTTGGCAGTATTTGCGTTGATCTTTAGCCTCTAGGCGGCTCTATACTTAGAGTAGTTTGTACTTGCAAGTGCGCGGGCGATAGTTCGAAATAAGACTGGTGGTGTCGTCTCATCACTGTTAAGGCCCGCGGCCGTACGGAGAGTGCTGTACTCGATTGTAGGGTCTCTCTTTACGATAATAAGAAGCTGACGATGATCTCTACTAGTTAAAATAGGTGGGCGGCATATACGATCGTTCCTGGTGTGGTGGGTAGTTGATTTCCATCGCGCGATAATCTTCTGTACAGCGCGTTGTGTACAACTGAGCGTCTTACTGATTTCGCGCGTTGATACATTAGCGTTAGCCTAGGCTAAGATATACACGCGTTGCGCTTCTGATAATTTACCTTTGGGCATTTAACTGCCCGAAATTTCAGTGCTAAAAGACATTATATTGATGGAGTTGTGTGGTGTTGGAGAAGATATCCGTCTTGTGATCTTATGTTGTTGTTGGGCCCGTGCGTTTAGCGCGAACAGACTTATGTCTTAGTACTGTATCTCCGAACCCGTTCACGACTCAGCTGCCAAGGCCCGTCGAACCGGTTCCTGGATAGCGTATCTCCAACACTACAAGCTTGACCTTCTCCAGTCGATTTGATCTCCGCAATATGCCGTCTCGGGGTTATCTGACGTAGTCGGTCCGCTGTAAGGTACCCCCACCCTTGCAATGGAGAAGAAAAAGGCTGAGGTTCTCTTTGGAGGTTCTTGCGACCCAATCTTCATCACCAACCCACAAGATGCTCACACGATTCCTTGCGGTAGGACTCCTGAGCCTCGTGAGGCCTGCCCGAGCCAGCTATGGATTCTATGTCGGAAAAGGTCTGACGCAGGATGGTAGTGTCATGCTAGGTGGAACTGGAGAGGAAGTGTCTTCGCATTGGCTTCAGATTTTCCTAGCCAAAGATCACGCCCCGAACGCGACGATTACCGTCGGAGTAACCGAAGACGCATCGATGCCTGGCCAGTTGATGAACATCTCCCAAGTACCACATACCTTCCGTTATCTCTCTATGGAATACTCCGACTTCGAAGGCTTTCCCCCTCCTCTAACGAACGGCGGCGTGAATGAGAAGGGCGTTGCTGTTCGGGACATCTGGGCTCAAAACCGTGACGACCTCATTGCCATTACGCCGAACCCTCAGACTGGATTGCAATACTCCGACCTAGCTCGTATTGTGATGGAACGGGCAAGCACCGCTCGCGAAGGTGTCGAACTCATCGGCCAAATGATAGCAGAATATGGATACGCCGATTACGGCGGCAACTCGCACCTGATCGCAGACGCGAATGAAGGATGGGTCGTATGGCAGATGTCAGGAGGCAAGAAGCTCTGGGCAGCAGAGCGCCTAGGAGAAAATGACGTTCGCGTGCTCTATCCGGGCTACATTGAGGATTTCCCTGTCGATTTCCAGAACAGTTCAGACTACATGGGCAGTCCAAACATTGTGAGCTTCGCTGTCGAACAAGGATGGTGGAATCCGAATGGTACTGAGCCATTCAACATTTTTAATGCATACGCACCTCAAGAGGAAGGATACACCGCTCGAGACGGAGGCGCGAAGTACATGTCGCAAGCCGCTCTCGAGGACGCTACCCGTGCGATGGCTCCGGTGACGGAGAAAGATCTCATCGAACGCGTTCGCGATTACCGCATCTCGGACGACGAAGCCGGGTACGGCCAAGTTGTCTCCCTTCGCGCAGACATGGATCCGGATCTGATTCGCATCTGGGTCGCACCGACTGGCTCTGTGACGGCACCTTTCAATCCGTGGTGGCTGGGTGTGAAGAGCGTTCCACCTGAGTATGGTCTGCACCGCTATCTGTACAAGGACGCCGCCTCGACTTTCTTGGATACCGACTACCAGTACCAGGAGGCCACTTACTTTGCTGGTCGCATCTTCAAACAGGTGCTATATTACACTTGCTCGGATCCGGAAACATACCTACCCATTGTCCAGAATATGTTACATGGATTTGAAAACGCTTCATTTGCGGACATGGAATGGGTAGAGCGCACTGCCAAGACGTTGGTTGACAATGGAATGCGCGATGATGCGCTCGAATTTCTGACTTTCTATTCGCATACTAGGGCGGAGAAGGCATTGGCTTTGGGGAAGACTATGGTAGACGCGCTCGATGCATATGTCAAGCTCATGGGACAGTTCCGCATGCCGACTGGTGACCGCATCAACGACCCGGGACTTGGAGCTGAGACTGTGAACTGCCTAGTCGGTTGGGATCCTGACCAGCCAGCTGATAAGCAAAGACCGTTGAGGAGGTTCAGACGTCAGGTTTGAGACCATGATAAAAGTGGTGTGAAATAACCAGGGTCTTCCTCTTAGTCATGGAAGAATTCGAGTAACATTTACACTGGAACTCCCTTGTATTTAGTCATGGAAAGATACAAGTGACTTTGTCCGTGCTGTTGAACACCGTCATATAGCGTCCCACACCTACACCTGCTCATCAACCATCACAGGCACAACTAGCGTCTAGGGTGATTTCATTCGCAGGTGTTGATGATGCTCAGTGGCAAATCGCGTGTTACACGCGTTGAGAGGAGACTATTGCAAAGGCTGGCTTACTAAAGCCATATGCGGATGAGCCTCGGCGACCGACCCGCTTGAGCTCCGTATGGCGCATCCACGCCGCAGGCTGTCCTCCCCGCCACAGCATTCACCATAGCAACTCAACTTCACGAACTCCCTGATCTGATCCCCTCGAACGCTGCCGTAGTAACCGATCGTATACTAGAAATCAATCTACGAAATTAAACCCCGCCACCATGCCCGGCAAGATCATACCCGTGACGTCGTCTTCGCACTTCTCCCAGCTCCTCTCGCAGTCGACATACACGGTTGTCGACTTCTACGCCGACTGGTGTGGGCCATGCAAAGCAATCGCGCCCGTCTTCCAGGGCTTGGCAGAGAAGGAGACCAAGCCTGGCAAGATGCAGTTCGTCAAGGTGGACGTGGACAGTCAACAGGAGGTTGCAAAGAAGTACGGCGTTAGCGCGTAAGTATGCCACCACGGACACATAGGGACTGGGAGCTAATGTCGATTGTGTAGTATGCCAACTTTTCTCATCATCAAATCCTCATCTGTAGTCGAGACTATTCGCGGCGCCAACCCCGCCGCCCTCACAGCCGCCGTCCGCAAAGCTGCCAGCGACACATCTGGCCCAGGTGCCGCCTCTGCTGTTTTCCAGACCAAGGGTCGTACACTCGGCTCGGCTTCCGAACCTAGTCGTCCCGTCGGCGAGAGCCCGTTTGCCAATCTACAAAGGATGCTGCTCGGGAACGGCGGACTGAGCGACTTGGTCGTGAGGTTCGCAGCGCTGTACTTTGTCAGCTTGTTCGCGTTCGATTCATACAAAGCTGCAGAAGAGAGTCCCTTCAATGTCCGTGCAAGGCGGTAGATGATAGCTGGAGACGGAACGATTAGTCGTGGAGAGCAGGTCGGACAACGTTCCACAGGGGCAGCGAGTTCCGCACTCCATCGGATATATGGCGTTTGGAATAAGAGCATGGCGTTCATGGTATACCATTTCGAGTCTCAGTGCCTTTTCAACACAAATGTTGGCTACGGCATCATTTACACAAATCACCTTGGATTCATCTTTAAATTTAGCAACTTCCCTCCCATTGCGTCATGCCAAACGTCTTGGCTTTTCTCTTTTGCACTCTTTTACGAATCTAGTGTTTTTCTTCGCACGCCTGTCGTGATATAGGACTATGCTGGACCCCGCCACGTCTATATTGGGAGCGAGACACATGGCGCAGTATTTCAAACGCATCATAATTCTGGAGCAGAACTCTGCGGATCTTTGTGTCGCAGCAGTTCAGCCAACCTGTACTCAGCATTGAGTGAGCAGATTTCTTGTCGCCGGTGAACTGTATAGGGAGGATGCGGTATGTCAGATGGATGTAGTGCCCTCCGTTTAGAACGCCATAGCAGCCGAACTGTAGTCTGCATGCTTATGATGCCGAGCTTTCACTTTATCAAGTATTGCTGGATGTCTTCACAATACGGTCCGCCGACGCTCTATAAATTGCCACAATCGGAACTTTACGCGTGATGACTTGAGATCATGTAAGTGCAGCAAACGTGGCACAAACAGCCATGATATACCATTCAAGTATCTTAACACTTGATCTCTTCTCTGCATCAAGCATCAATTCGCCAGATCCGCCGACCATGCTATCCACAAACCCAACACACTTCACGCCCGAAAAGTACGATGACGCCTGGGAACGTGTCGACCTTGAGAGGAGCTACAAGAATCTTTACAGTGAGTATATCTTTCTTTCCATGCAGCTTTCACGCGCCACCCGCCCTTTCGGAAGGGAGCGTACGATCCACAACCTACTGAATGCACGACTAAAACTTGAGCATGATCTCAAAAGCCTCAAAAACAAGTATCGAGAGCAGCAAACGGACTTGCAGCGTAATCAAGTAGGGTTGAAAAATGAGCCTCCAACGGACGAAGTGAATTACGACATTGTAGCGGAACTCCGCAAGGAGCTCCAGAGTAGCAAAGATACACTCGAGGATGTTTTGAATGGAATCAACCAATCCCAAGACACTAGCGGAACGGTCCAACTCATGAATGATATCGTGCAATTGCGAGTTGAGAAGATTAAGCTGCTTGGGCGGCTGACAGACTTGGAAAAGAAGAAAAGAGACCTGGAGAAAGTGATTGACAAAACAGAGATTGGGAACATGTTGCGACATACACGGCTAGATGAGGAGGAAGATGAAGACAAGGCGCAGCTGTGATTGTTGCTCAACCAATCTATGGACGAATGTGAAACATTGAAAAAGCGAGTCGAATATTATGCAGAGCTTCTGGGTTGAGTAAGGTACACAGACGCGGAAGCTATAACGGCGGCTTGTAGCAAAAGGAGCAAGAATCTTCGAGAGCATCTGTAATCTGGTAATAACATTATCGCGTTACATTCATCCTCATATCCTTCCTTTGATGAGACCACCAGGTCTGTTCCTCGTTGGATGCACTGGTGTATCCCCTATGTCCGCCATCTTATCCTCCAGCAACCGTGTCATATGTTCTACCACATCCCTGTATCCTGCGTCGGCGTACACGTTGAACAGTTCCAACGGATCTTCCTGACAATCGAACAGCTCCCACTCTTTATGCTCGGCATCCGCTGGTCTCGCACCCTCAATCCCAAAGTCCTCATTGTACCAGTAAATGAGCTTGTATCGCTGGTCTCTCACACCGTAATGCGCATATGCCGCATGAATCATGTCGTTGTGCATCCAGTACCGGTGATATGCAACTTGTTGCCAATCCGAAGGTGTCTGGCCTTGTAGCAGTTTGCGGAAGGATACGCCCTGCATATAGCTCGGTATGCGCAGACCCGCAGCATCAAGAAACGTTGGCGCGAAGTCCACGTTGCAAATGATGTCGTCGCATACGGATCCTGCTTTGATCTCCTTGGGCCAGCGTACCAGAAACGGCATCTGGAAACTCTCTTCATACATGAAGCGCTTATCGAACCAACCATGCTCTCCAAGGAAGAAGCCTTGGTCTGAGGTGTAGATTACGATTGTGTTCTCCGCGAGACCCTCTGCGTCCAGGTAGTCTAGCATTCGGCCCGTATTATCGTCAATAGATTGGATGGTGCGAAGATAGCGTTGCATGTATCGTTGGTACTTGAACTCGGCGAGTTCTGCGGGGGTTTTGAAAGTAAAGACGGTTCCGTCGTCTTTATCGAGAAGGCGCATCTTGGTAACATCTTCAGGGTTAGGAATCTTTCGATCATCTAGTAGGAAAGTCAGCACGCCAAGAAGTAGAAACGAAATGGGCTGCGCTCACTCCACCAGTATATATCGATCAGTTTCTCACCGACTTCGTTGCCGCCATCAGGCTGGACCAATCCCAAGTCATGATATGTGATGTCGTCTGCAATGCGCATCTTTGCGATCTTGGCAGCCCTGGCTCTATTCTTGTAGTCGTCTGTAAAGGTATCTGGTAATCGAACTGGATCTTTGTACAGATGCTTGTGCTTCGGGTCGCATTCCCAACTACGATGCGGCGCCTTGTGATGGCACATGACGAAGAAAGGTCTCGATTTGTCCCTGTTCTTGATAAAGTCCAGGCTCTTCTCGGCAATGATATCTGTTGCATATCCTGGAACCCGCTTTGTACCTGATGGCTCGATAAACATAGGATCGTAGTACTCGCCCTGCCCAGGCACAATACTCCAGTAGTCAAAACCTGTTGGCTCGTGTCCCTTACCTTCGCCAAGGTGCCATTTCCCCACCATTGCTGTCTGGTAGCCTCCAGCTTGCAGGGCTTTGGCCACGTTGGGAAGGCGTTCATTGATCTCGGAGTTGAGTGTCATGACCAGATTGACGTGGTTGTGGGTTCCTGTCAAAATTGCAGCACGCGACGGCGTACAAATACTGTTCGTTACAAAACAATGATTGAATAGCATGCCCTCTTTGGCAATTCTGTCAAGATTCGGGGTGTGGTTGATGCCAGCGCCGTAGGCGGAGATGGACTTTGAGGCGTGATCGTCCGCCATCATGAAGATGATGTTTGGGCGGTCTTGTGTCGCCATCTTCGGTATAATACTGAGAAAGCTTTTAACGCGTGCTCACTTTCGTAATCTCTGTCAGGATGGTTGGAATAACTTCAATAATCATAAATGAAGGAATGGTGGAAGAAGGGAGATGTCATGCTAGGGCACTACGCGTCTCTTAAACGCGTGATTAGCCGTCATGCGGACAAGCATAAGCCGCAACTGGCTCGAAGAAACTCGGGAATGCATTCTGCACTGTCCCATCGGTAATGCAAACTGATAGTAGCTTGGGCGCAAGAGAGCAGACGGGCTGAGGAGACACGCGATGCGGAGGTCTGAGTGGAGCGAGCCCACGCTACGGGTGTCGGGCTCGTCCAAATCTGGTAACCGATGCCTGTCGGTGGCTCAACCAAGTGAGAACTCGTCCGACAAGACTTTGGCGCGTACCACATGATCTTGAGAAAGTACCGCGACTCATGTGGTATCGGATATCGTCATTATGGCTAGAAGCACGACTTGATCGCTGCTTAGGCGCGACCAACCGGAGCTGCAAACGGCCGACAATCCTAGGTGGCTTAATGAAATCCTGCAGGACATCTTTGCATCCCCAGATTTCGCCCCAGCTTCCATTACCCGCTTGCCGAAGAAGGCCCAATGAGGCTTGACCCAGTGCTGTATATAAGGTTGACTAGAAGTGATCCATGCAGATATAACGCAGTTCAAACGCTGCGGAAATCATATTTCACTCCTGCCCAGACAAGAACGAAGTACATCGACAGACTCTGATATTATGGCACCAGATACTTCACAAGAGGAAAAGAACACCATGACCACGATGGAAGCTATGGAACCAGAGAAAGACATTACAGGGTATGAAGACGAAGCTGTCCGAGGCACAGAACAGGAGAAGACAATGCCTCTGAAGGCTGCCTTCAAGTATTATCGAAAAGCCGTGTTTTGGTCTATCACTATCTGTGAGTAAGCGGGGTTGTGATCTTATAATTGCCACTTACATTGTCAACAGCCATGGCCACCATCATGGAGTCTTACGACATGCAGCTCATCAGCTCCTTCTACGCATTTCCCCAGTTTAATCGAAAGTACGGTAAACAATTGCCAAACGGTACATGGCAGGTCGATGCAGACTGGCAGCTGGGTCTAAGTCTAGCATCACTGATCGGTCTCATCTTTGGCGTGTTTGCCAGTGGATACCTTGGTGATCGCTACGGACCCCGATATGTTATGATTGCAGCGCATTGCTTCCTGGCTGGATTTGTCGCTATAATCTTTACAGCGCAGAGCGTTGAGATACTGTTTGCAGGCGAGTTGTTATGGTATTTGATGGCACCCAAAAATGATGTCTGGAAAGCTCTAACAAGCGTAGTGCGTGTACCTGGGGCCTCTTTGCTGCAGCAACACCGACATACGCCGCTGAGATCGTCCCTATGGCACTAAGAGGATACCTCACGACATACGTCAATCTTTGCTGGGTCATCGGACGAATCCTTGCGACCGGTGTCCTACGAGGCATGCTACCGGTGCAGTCGGAGTGGTCTTTCAGAGTCCCGTTCGCGCTCCAGTGGATGTGGCCACCAGTTTTGATTTTTGCCACCTGGTTCTCACCAGAGAGCCCTTGGTGGCTCGTTCGCAAAGGGCGTATCGATGAAGCAAGGAAGACGCTGGACCGCCTGGTAAGCGCACCTTCTGGGATAGTTAACAACGACCATCGTCTTGCCATGATGCAGCATACCATTGCACTGGAGCGTAAATTGAAGGTTGGTGGGTCTTTCCTGGACTGCTTCAAGGGCACGAATCTGCGTCGGACGGAGATTGCAATGCTCTCTTGGGGCGGACAAATACTTCCTGGCTTCATCATCCAGGGATACACGACCTACTTCTTCACCCTCGCCGGACTTGCTCCAAGCGACTCTTTCAATCTTACGATGGGCGTCTTTGGTATGGCTTTTGTTGGCACATGCGCGTCGTGGTTCTTGCAGCCTCGGATGGGGCGGCGCACCATCTACATTGCAGGTCTAGCCATCATGCTGCCGATCATGTGGATTGTTGCTTTTCTCGAGTTCGCGCCAAACGCAGGCAGCAACTCCAGCATCAAATGGGCACAATCATCCATATTGATGATTTGGTTCTTCACCTACGGTAAGTATAAGCTCCTGATTTCCAATACTTGTCAGAGCTAACGCTGTGCTAGGCATAACGATTGGTCCAATTCCTTATGCCATCGCCGCTGAAGTCGGCGCAGTACAGTTGCGCTATAAGACAATCGCTCTTGGTCGTAACATGTACTACTTCCTTTCCATCATCAACGTCGTTATCTCGCCGTACATGCTCAATCCGAGCAACTGGGATCTTAAGGGGAAGGCAGCGTTTCCTGCTGCTATATTGAACGTATGTCTGTTGATTTGGGCCTACTATAGGCTACCAGAAACAAAGGGCATGACACCGGAGACCCTAGATCATCTGTTTCACGAGAAGATCAGCGCTCGGAAGTTCAAAGCAGAGGCATCCAGGTTCCAATAAAATATCATGGAGCGCAGAGTCGCTTGAGTTCGAGAACATTCAGGCGCGAGGATATGAAGTCCATGTAACAGTCCAGTAGATTGCATTCATCTGCGGTATATCAGTCCACAGCCATGAGGTGATTAGAACTAGAAAAGTATTATCATTGCATTCATGAATTGGTTCCCGTTAATGACAAACCTGAGAGTGAGCAGACAGTCCCGGGTTGTACTTCCAAGAACCATGGACGCGCTCGCCCTGGTTGTGCCTCTCGAGGATTGAGTGGATTGGTGCCACTGACAGCTGTCCGGGTCGCACTTGATGAGTGGCAGTTGCGGTGGGGTGATGATTCCCTAATCGTCGTTGAGAACTACACAAATCATGGTGCATGGAAAAAGGCGACGAGTTTTGGTGAGCTTGGCTGTCGACTATGTGGTAGAATGGATGGGATTGAACCTTGCAGGCGTCAAAGTCGTCGGGCTTGCTACAGACTGTGTAGTCCGCTCCAGCAATGTGGCCAATCGGCGCTCGTAGATGCCGACAGCCGGACGCTAATTCCTAGTTCGGCTTCATCCACTCTTCGCCATATGCCCCCTGTTTAGACACATCCAGCACGACCCGTAGGCCCGTACCGGGTCTCAGTAACCGATGGTCTTGAGAGTATGATCACTGTCCGGAACTGTTGTGTTGCTACCATGTGGTGGTGGCTAGGATCTTTGGCGGCGACAACTCGCTCGGAAATTTGATGATAACGAAAGACCTGGTCCCACCTAGCAAACCTGTTCTGGCTGCAAAGAACGTCCAAAATGGTAGCCTGCGCTCAGTGTAGGCAGAGAAAGGTAATGATCCTCGACTGTCTATACAGTAAATGCTTACCTCAGGTTACAGGTTCGATGTGAAGGCGGCCCAGTTAGTTGCGATGCATGTAAGCGACTGGGGTTTCAATGCTCCTTGGGCCTTGCTACCACCCCAATCGCCGACGTTGGCAACCTACCGGTGGCATCTCGAAAGCGAGGCACGCGAGCATGTGATGCATGTCGTTCTCAGAGATCGCGATGCACAGGTGAAACTCCTAGCTGTCGACGCTGTCGAGAGCTCAACATTCCATGCAACTATACGCTTTCGGTTCGCCAATACCGCGCTGGAGAACGTCACAAAAGAAATCTGGTTTCTGTCGAACAAGTTATTAACCAATCGGGAGGGGATGACGTCGGCAGGGCAACGCATGGCACGCCGACAACCGGGAGTGAGGTCACAGCGAGTCCAGATACTTCTGCCACTGAACATATTGACAAGTACATGAACTCACTCAATTGAGACTATTATAGCTAATGAACCCAGAATTCTTGGGTGCGATCGAGCCGTCATCCGGCAGCATATTGACGCTTATTACGACTACATCTATCCAGTTCCAATTTTCAGCTTCTTGCATCGAGCAGAATTCTTGGGACAGTACACGGCTGGCATTGTTTCACCAGCGCTGCTTCTTGCCGTATGCGGTGTGTCGTCGCGCTTCCTGCCATCTGCTAGGGAACGAGCCGGCATGATCAAATCATGGATCGAGCAGGCTGAGACGATCATATTCCAGAATATGGGAAAAATGAATGTTGCTGATGTTCAGGCGTTGATGCTCCTTGAGCTGCATTGCATGTATAATCACCAGAACGGCAAAAGTTTCACTTATATATCGTTGGCAGTCAGGATGGCTTACTTACTCAAGCTGCACAAAGAGAACAGCCAGCTGCCATTTGTTGAACAGGAATCTCGACGGAGGCTCTTGTGGTGCATGTTTGCATTGGATAGACTCCATGCTGGTGGTGTTCCGGTAAGTCCACGCCCAAGACGTCAATCTTCAGCGTTATCCGCTTGAAACTCTTCTATAAAGAGAGGTTGGTGGACTTTGCATGACTTCGCTCACTTGATGCTGAATCAGTGTTGATTTGATAGCAGGAATACATCCTTCTGCCCGCGACCTCAGTACATGTACAACTTCCGTGCCCAGAACACTTTTTCCAAATCGACACTCCTGTCGCGACACCACACATCCATGAAACCCAAGCGGACAACTCCAAGCTTACACCCACGGCGTTTTTGCTGCGTATCTTCAACGCCCGCAACCATGTACTCCAGTAAAGCTACCCGACTATGGCCCTGTGTCGAGATTTCGCTAACATGGCAGGTATACGAAACAACTCCTGGACGCTTCGCTTAGCCCGGAGACTTCTCTAGCACAGTTCCAAATGCTTGAAGGAGAGCTTAGGGAGATACACGAGTCTTTGCCCGCAGAGCTTGTGTTCAGCACACGTGCCTATCAACTCCGGACGTTCTCTCCCGAGCGCACGACTTTTACTATTTTACATCTTTACTTCCACCACTGTCATTGCGAACTTTATCGGTTGCTCAATCCAGGATACCGCGAGGCTCTTCCGCAATCGGTTATCTACTCCAGTTCACCCGAACTCGTTGCATACGCGCAGTCGAAATGCCTCGAGCACGCAATCTCCGTAGGCGAGATCGTTGCATCAACCTACGGTCTGGTGGAGATCAGTCCTTATGTCAGCGATACATCTTGCTTCGTTATCTTGTATCAGGCCTCGTGTGCTATACTCTACGCATGCCACCGTGACAGTCCTGCTTATGTCATGAAAGCCGAAACCGCACGGCGATACCTAGTCGCATTCATCGCGACATTGCAAAGTCTACTCTCTTACTTCCCAAGGTATGCTATATACGTCAAGGACATCCGTAATATGCTTCGTAGCATTGACGAGCCGAATGTACCGCTCCCAGCTCAGAAGGCGTCAAATGAGGTGGACTTCCGCGCACGTATAGTACCTAGCGAAGAGAATTCGGATGAGGACAATTTGGTCAGCGAGATTGCGGGCTCTACTTCTAATGTCAGAGACGATACAGCGCATTCTACGTCTCAGACCGCTGAGGTGCCCGTTGGACCACTACCAGAACTCGTGGAAATGTCGCTTCATACACCATCCACCCTGGAAGGACAGGATCATTTGTTCGCTGATTTGGAGACATCTCAGTACAACATGGACCTTACAATGGATCTTGATCAGGGCTTGCTGTGGGATTGGGCAGATGCTTTGGGATCAGGCTTCAGCATATGAGTTCGATTGGTGAAAGCTCGTCTCAAGCTGTTGCGGCACTCCAAGAATACACCGTTCATTGAATAACATGTGTGTGCGTTCATCGGTGGAATACGCTGTATAACTTCCACCAACGGTTCATCATTCGAAATTATCTACACCTGAAGTTCTACCAAGTCTATGCATAACCTTACATTCGATTACAACTAACCACAGCACTGGCTGTACAGCTCTTCCACAGGCATCAACTTTGGAATTAAGCGTCTTCCCCGTCGCCACACCAAAATTGTCGATCACATCGAATGGGTGGCTCACATTCGCCTATACATGAACAACTTCAACTGTAAGCACAACACCAACGATCACTGGCGAAGGGTGAGACCCAATCATATTTCCCCCACGTCAACGGGGTGCCTCGCGAAGGAAGAAGAAATCACGTTTCTTTATGCCACGAGCGAGGGTCCCATCTGTCGACGCAGGATCACTAGAGTATATGGGATTGACGAAGCAAGCATAATTGCAGCAGGTTGATGAAATTTACCAGTTCCTAGGAAGTTTCATGTGGCTACAAAAAACACATATCATTACCTAGTACGAGGATTTTCGCTTGCTAGACGAAGATGAGCTTGAGCCACTTGACGTGGGTCTGTTGCCAGCAACCTCGGCCTCGTCCTTCTTGCTCCGGACGACACGCTCACACCAGGAGCACCAGCTTCTGAGCTCACCTTTGACCTCGCGCTCGAGATATTGGATCGACTTGGTCTTCTCATCTTCGTATAGCTTGACACACTCTCCAACGCGCACCTGTTTCTTGTGTTTGACTTTTAGTACCCCGCCAATGCCTTCAATCTCCTGAGTGAGGTAGCAAGAACCCCTCCAGCGTTCGGGCGACTCTGGAGTTTGCGATCTCTCGATAGTGTCCAAGAGGTTCTGCTCGCAGGTCTCGTGCTCGACAATACGTGAACCCAAGCACGCACTGCCTCGCCCGCACTCTACGCCCTCAATACCCTCGCCAAACCCAACGCCTAAGCCGCCCAGCATGCGAGTGTACGTCGTGCGGTAGCTCCAACCGCGGACATAGTGGGTGTCTGCATTTCGCAGGTCCTTGCCACATGGCGCGCAAAGCCAGACCACATTGTCGCAATTGCAGGGCGTACGTTCGAAAGCTGGAGCTGTGAAGGCTCTCGGCTTGTCACCGTCAAAGAGCACTGGATGTGTGTCGGGGGACCCAGGTGGCGACGACGACGACATTGACGACGTGCGCTGCTTTTGTGCAGCCATCAGCAGTGGGAGGGGCGCTTTGGCGCATGTCCGGCATAGTCGACGATGGCGCGCGCGAAGTGTGGGTGTTGGTGGAGGTTTCATGGTGCAGTTCTACGAGGCCCGTTAGCTTCAAGCCTCTCCCTGTATGTTCGAGCGTCATACTCGGCACACGATATCTCCACACCGCTGACAGTCGCCCACCATATCGCGTGCGCACTTCCCGACACGACCAGTCGTCAGTCTATTCTCCAGGACCATACCGTGTCGCCCCTCTTGCAGTCGCGACTCCAGCTTCTCGCCGAGTTCGCCGTCTTCATTCTCGCAATGAAGTGTGTGCTTGACAAGTTGGCTGCGATACTCGAGTAGGTTGGCGCGGAACTGCCTGCAAGTGCGCGAGAGGTCATGCAGCGTGTTGAGGTCGAGCTGAGCGGCGAGCTGGCTGACTATTCTGTGTGGTTAATGTGGTTAGCATACATCAAGGCGTGGAGTCAAGTCCATGCTATGGCTGGAGCTCACGAACGGATAGCAGCTCAGTGCCTGGCTGAATCCATTGATATTCGGGTTCGGCCTCTCGTAGCCCGCCGTCACGCTCCCTTCTGTCGGCGCATCAAGAGAGTGATACAACGGCTTAACGTTAAACCGGCCAGAGGACGGGTGGGGATTCTCTAATGAGGTCGGTTCATCGTCGTCCAGATCAACTAAAACCACCATCGTGGGCAGCCGCAGAACGAGTGTGCAGCATCGAAGCCACACAAGGCTTGTATGTTCAAAAATGAGAGTGTTGATGGATAGAGCGATGCCGGAGTCATGACGAACTGGAGACACGCTCCGTCGCGTTGGTGGGGCGCTTGGCGTTGCGCGGCTTTGCTTCCGTTCCACAGCTACGCGTCTTTCCCTCATCGTGACGCTCGCAACTGTGGTACCTCATAATCACGAGTCCATCACCACCAGGTGTTGTTATTTGCTCACGGATGTTCAAGATTTTACGCAAAGCGGTGCTGGCGCGCTGGAAAAAAAAATCAGTGACGAGCCTTACAGGGCTTCATGAGATGCAAAGCAACCGTGAATGGGCAATATGTTCATATAAAACCACTTGAGCTCTAAATTGGAACTTTTTTTTTAACTCTAGGACGAGCCGAAGGTGAATTCGGGAATTTCGATGTCTGTGATTGTCCATGTCAAGCCACCATCATTTGTCGACATCTCGCCAGTGACACCCTGAGCTTTTCCCATGGTCTGGTCGTAGTTGGGATCCGCCTTGTCCAGTGTGATCGTAGTATCAATCCATTTGTGTGCCGCAACGGTACCGCAATCCTCCGCAGCGCACTCGACAGCGCTGCCCCATCCCATAGCCTGGCCGTCGTCGGTTGACAGCGTGGACACTTGTCGGCCATTAACCGAAACAATCTGTGTATAGTTGCCGGTTGCGTCGTCAAACTTGTCTGTAATACATCATCAGTGACTGGAAAGCAGAATGAAAAACAACCCTAACTACTCACAGTACATGGTAATCTTGTCGGCCTCTTGTGCCCTCTCTCCTTTCGCCTGAATCGGCATTTGAGTGGTCTCAGATGTGCTCACGAGCGTGTAGGCGTATATGTCCCAGTCATTTGCGTTGACATTGTCCGCGATGGATTGGATTAGGTCACCATTCGAAGTTCCCATTCCAACCCATAGTGCGGTATCACCTGACGATCCAGTTGGAGCCTTCGGGAGTACGAGTGTCGAGTTGGCTTCACGGATCCAAGAGCCAGCACCAACAGGGCCGGTGCTAAAGGCTGGTCCGAATGCCGCGTTCACCGAAGATGTGAGCACAGCAGTGGTGAGGACGGAGAGAATTTGGCGTGAAGATGGCATCTTGATTTGTTATTTGTAGCGAGTGACGTATCGTGTGTTGTGAAAGTATTGCTTAGTGGTGTGGTGGTACAGATAGCAAGAGAGTGATCGCCCTTGAAGCTTACACATATCCAACCTTTTATGGTCTTAAAACAATTCTCAAAACTGGTAGAGGTGGAGTTGGTAGACAGGCCTCTTGTTCCTGTCATACGAAATCCATCGTACCCTCGAACATCGGTGCATTGCATCCGACCAGACTTTGAGCCCTCAGACCATTCTTCGAAACTCGAGCTCGGAATATTTAGTAAATCCCCGATGCATTGGTTGAGTTCGTGTATATGTGGAGCGTTTTTACACAGTCACGCATCGTCTCAGAGGTGGAAATTCTCGCGCAAGCTCACTCCGACCCTGGTATCAATGTCGTGTGTTTCACGACTGGGACTTGCTGTTGGTCTGTGGGAGTGGGTCGTTCGTTTCAACTACCGACGAACCTTGCGTTGCGTCATAGCCAAAAAACCACGCTCCGAGGCCCTCGATGTGGCTTCAATCCACCGTCTACCTTTCTAGGGTTGGACGGTCACTGTCCTTCCCGCAGGCATTCTCTCGTTCTCGTGGTCGCGGTCATCATGCCGCATTTGGGCCACAGCATCATGGATTGCGTCTCCATGTCTTCGCATGAACTTGTAATCCAAAGGAAACTTGGGCTTTCGTATGCTTTTAGGATTTCCCGACTTAGACGAGTCAGTGTAGTTTCGGTCTGATGTAGATTAGCATCGCAGGTCGTAATTTAGCTTTTTCGGTGCTTGATTACTGAGATATCACACCATGCTCTTCAACAGACTCTGCTGTCTTGATGCATGCTATGCAAAACGGCCTGAGCGACTGGAGTGTTTTTCAATCACGACAATCTAGCGTTCCGCATCCATAGTATTTCGCAGCCTGGTATTACATTGCTGGATCTGCTGTTAGAAGATTTCTCCCTGCTACCGACAGTTAATCAAGCGCTTGAATTGTTGATCTTCCGCAATTGTAGCTCGAAGGGCGTGGTCCGTAGTAGACATCCGTTCAGCGTTGCTTGAGTGCAAGATATACAGCTCTAACCTCCGGCGGCTGGGCATCACGGAGAGTGCGATATTGTTGCACTGATAAGTAAACGAGAAGATCTGGATGCTAGTCATTGGCATGGCGATGTAACAGTAGATTGTTGAGTGAAAGAAGCAAGAATGGTGCCGGCTGCGGGAAGCGCCTTGACACGAACCGGGAAGAACGCGACGCGTCTCGATATTCCCCACCTGGTATGCATGCATGCCACGGCCGCTTGTGGGCAAACCACCGCAGCGACACAACGCTCTTCCGGGAAGCAGCTTATGTTGATGGCTATGCCTGCATCAATATTGTTCCAGCTCTTGCAGCCCCTCAGGCTGCGGTGGCTCGGCTTCGGCTCTCCACGGTGCTGGCCGAATCGGGAGTCTGCGATAACAAGTAATGACGACACAGCTATCGCGCTCATCCAGTCCCGAACACATCAGAAGATGCTATCATGAGAATCCTGCGATACGATATACTGCTTTACGGTACTAGTCTCGCGGGCCTGAAACCCCTTCTATCCATAGTACGCGGGCTGTATCCGGACGCTAATGCAACGACCCAATACAGGCGAACATCGCATGCAGCAGCCTGACCTAGGCGCAATCTTTTACATAAGCAATGTGTACAATACAGCGATGCGAATTGTTCCGTCTTACTCACGGCCAGGAAACACCACAAAACTTCAGGCCTCCATCAGCTTACAGCCCATGCCAGGCAGGTATTGACCACTGCTTTTATGAAGACCGGTCAGCATCAGTAGCAAAGCATAGCAACAACGTAATCCCTTGTCCAGACATCGCTTCGAACTTCAACGACGCCTGAAAATATGACTACATTCCTCCTCCGCGACATCCGCATCTTTACTGGCGAAGAGACCATCGACGAAGGGTTCGTTCATGTACAAAATGGCAAGATCAAGGCCCTCGGTCGGATGAGTGATGCGCCGCTCGATCCAGTAAAAACCTACTCCAAACCAGGACATACTGTTCTTCCAGGGTTGATTGACTGTCACATCCATGCAGACAAGGCCGATCCAGAAGCCCTGCCTCAAGCTCTACGCTTTGGTGTGACTACCGTGTGCGACATGCACAACGAGTTAGAGAACGTACAAAAGCTGAAGAAGCAGACCATGGAACCCGACACCGCTTCGTACAAGACGGCAGGCCAGGCTGCTACTATTGAGAATGGCTGGCCTATACCTGTCATCACAGCCCATGACAAGACTCCAGAGACCGCAGCGGCGATTGCGAAATGGCCAAAACTGACGGACCGGGATAGTGTGGTGGAGTATCTAGAATGGACTGGGAGGGAGATGCAACCAGATTACATCAAACTCATGCACGAGAGCGGAACTGCCATGGGTCAGAACTTTAGTTATCCTTCGGTCGAACTGCAAAGTACGATCATTTCAGAGGCCAAAAAGCGGGGATACTTGACCGTTGCACATGCTCTATCCATGCAAGATACACTCGATGTTCTCAATGCAGGTGTCGACGGTCTCACACATACGTTCCTCGACCAGCTGCCGACCCAAGAGCTAGTAGATGCATACAAAAGAAACAACGCATGGGTCAACCCGACACTTGCTGCGATAGGCAGTCTGACGACGGAGGGGAAAGAGCTGCAGCATCGATTTGCACATGATCCCAGGGTAGAAGGATTGATCAACGAAGATCGTGTAGGCAACATGTGCAGGTGCATGGGCTTTGCTGCTGGGAAAGGGAAAGTGGAGATCGCATATCAAGGCGTGAAAAGATTGAGAGAAGCAGGGGTCGACATTGTGTGGTAAGTGATACTTTTATACCCAGAAGTTCAAATTGCTCACAAGATTTAGTGGAAGTGATTCCGCAGGTCCTGCAGTAGGGACGGCATTTGGCCTGTCGATGCATCACGAATTGTACCTTCTCGTAAACAAGGTTGACATGACACCTGCCGAGGCTTTGCGCTCGGCCACAAGCCTGATCGCCAAACGCTTCAAATTCACGGATCGTGGTCGCTTGGCTGAGGGGCTGAACGCAGATTTGTTACTGGTAGAAGGAAACCCACTTGAAGACATTGATGCGACTCTAAATATCCGCGGTGTTTGGCGGGAAGGCAGTCTTTGTAGCACGTATCTTGCAAAGCTTGAAGCTGGTGTCGAGCCCCTGATGGGTTGATTGGGCAAACCAGTGTTTAATGTTGCAGGGCTTGGTTTTACGCTATATAATCGCTCTGCAAACCGAGTTATACTTTCATGTATTTCAGTTCTGTCTAAGAGACAAAGCTACGAACATACTGTATGTAGTATCCACAATTTAACTCTATATGATTGCTGAACGCTTGAAGACAAAACAAAGCCATCTATGAGTGTCACTCTAGAAGATACGCGATGTTCTCAATATGCAGGAGCGTTGATTACGAAGCACGTTTGGGCGTCGCGCTTCAGGTGCCGGACAAAATTCCGTCTTTTATCCCCGTGCCGTCCGTCAGCGTCATCGTTGTCGGCAGTCTGACTTCTCCATCAACGTGTAGGAGGCAACTCCTGGCATCAAGATACTCCCTCAAGAAGATCGCGAAGATGTCTCCATCTGTAAGATTGAGTTCCCGTCTCTAAGCATTGCAGTTACCATGACGACCCCAGGGATTGTACTAGACTAGCCCTGACCGCTAACACTTGCAAGAGCACCAGCCATGATTTTGCTGAGAAAGACGGCCAATTTCGTCGGAAACCCTCAGCGTTCCGCAGCCTCATCTCTTCTGATCCAAACTCGGAGTTCCCAGCAGAGAAAGATCGATATGCCCTTTACATCCACATGGGCTGTCCTTGGGCGCATCGCACGAACTTGGTGCGCAGTTTGAAAGGACTTGAGCAGGTTGTGCAGTTGATTGTGTGGGATACCTCCCTGGTACATGAGAAGAAGGGATGGGGTATGTCCGGCAAACCCGGGTTCGAGAAAGAGCCACTCTATGGTTATACGAACTTGAGGCAGCTGTACGAAAGGGCCAATCCGGACTACGAAGGGCGTTACCTCGTCCCAACGCTGTGGGATAAGAAAAGACGTGAGATTCAAGGGTTCCGACGCAAGATCAATATGCACTGACTTGCTTGCAGAAACAATTGTAAACAACGAGTCTAGTGAGATCATCCGGATGTTTTATACCGAGTTCGATGCGCTCATCCCAGAACATCTCCGAGAGTCTAGTAAGGGCGACAAAGCTATCTTGCCAGACCACTTGCGCAAGGATATCGACGCCATGAACGAGTGGGTGTACGATACGATTAACAATGGCGTAAGCAGAATCCCTGTACGAACTGCATGTGAAACATACACTGAAATCATGAATCTACATTAGGTATATAAGACTGGTTTTGCGCAGAGTCAGGAGGCATACGAAGAGCACGTCTACCCCGTTTTCGAGTCTCTCGATCGTTTGGAGGAACACCTTTGCCAATCAGGCCACGGGCCGTATTTGTTCGGCGATCACATCACTGAGGCAGATATCAGGTTGTATCCCACACTCATCAGATTCGATGTTGCATACTTCACAATCTTCAAATGCAACCTAAAGATGATCCGGTATGAATACCCGCAGCTCCACGATTGGCTGCGCAGGTTGTACTGGGATGAGAGTGAAGCGACAAACTACGGTGCTTTCAAGAAGACAGTTGACTTTCAAGCGGTATGTATATAGACGAGCGAGAGAGGTACTTGTTGCTAACTCACTTCTAGTACAAGGAGGGATACTCGAATGCTACGAAGGCGAAGATCGTACCTGCAGGACCGAAACCTGAGATCATGCCCTTATAGATTCTTCAGCCTGCTACTACCGTGGAGAACAATCAAGCAGTTTCTGCGATGGAATGCGCTGCACTGTGTAGTGGCCAAAGGTAAGATCATGCGAGCGTACCTAGGTAAAGACCATTCAGAGAGCGGCTGCTAGCGTTCTTACTGCTTTTGGATTAGTCTCTGACCAGCGCCCCGTCTCCAACCTGCCTTCTATTTCGGTCGTTCATTTCTTACACCAGACGTACAGTAACCGCGTTTTCAAATACTGTCGTGCAATGATTTCGTCACTTGTTCTGGTGACCTTTTTCCTTGGTACAGCCGGCAGACATATCTCATTACAAATGTGCACAGCACTGTGCAATTTCCTACTCATTACTCATCTCGGTGCGCGGATGCTTACTACGAACGCCGAAGCAGCGAACTGAAGATGCCCTAGTGTTGCACATTTGAAATCTAGTGAACTGTGCATTGGCGACCATAGTCAACGAAATTGATATATTATATGAGACATCCCACCATCATGGCGATACCACGGCACATTCATCGGACCTCCGCATACTCTCTGATATTCAGTACCCACTCCGATAAGCACTTGTGATCACGACAACTCCTTCATAAGACCGTCTTCCAGGTATCTGCAGTGATATCTTGATGATTCAAGATGCCTCACGCCATCGCCGACGTTGTTGACGTCTCGCCCAACCTTCACATACGTTCCAAACTGAAACCAAAGTCGCAGAGTCACGAGGCGAGATCCCTATCAATTCAGCTAGATCGATACCAATTACACTACGAAGACTCGCAACTAGCGCAAACCATCCACCGGCAGCTGTCAGCGATGTTGAAGAACGCCCAGAGACCAATCACAAAGGTTTTATCGCTTGGTCTAGGTAGTCTTCTGGTTGCTAAGGGACAGTCAAGGAGGTTGAAGCAACTCGTCATCTTGTTAGCAATCCGAGACATCCTGCGGCAGAAACTGGACATATCGATACAAGTGTACGCCCAAGACCCAACATTCACGAGGAAAGATGAGTCGTTCTTGGAAAACTTGGGTATCCGAATCCTTCGAACGCCTTCCGGTTCGGAGCTTGGCGAGGCCTCGATTGTTCTCGATACTTCAACATTGGTATATTCACCATTCCTAACTCTGGAAGCATATGGACAGCTATTGGGAGACGAAAGGTCGGTGCAATATCTATTTGGAGATGACTTCGATGCGTTGTTATATAAATGGCCAAAACAGAGTGCTGAGCGGATGGAGGTAGAAGAGATAGTGAAGAATGGCTTGGGATCATATCGGAGAAGACCAGTTATTGATGAAGATTTTTGGACAACGGAAGACAGCACGTTTCCCATGGCCATATATGAGAGATCAAGGAAGAGCAGGAAGAGAATGCAGAACGCAAATTTATGAAGAAAGACTATTCGTTAAGACACATGTCATTTGGCCTCATTACAAACTCTTGCCAAACTGGGGATCTCATTCCCTCCTCTGTAAATCGGGCTGACGCTGCGTCTCCTGTGATATATATGGCGAGTATTTCGTAAAATGCTACAATGTTCTTTTTTGGCGGATCGACTTGAGAGGTATACTAAGAGAGTAAGAAGGGCTGCGACGAGAAGGATCACCAGAACTGCGTATTGACTTACCAAGCAGATCTAGAGAGGGGGAGGTATAAGCTCGAGGCACAAGCGTAGTTGGTTTGCCAAAGAGCATCACATCATCGTAGGTCTGATGACACGTAAGTCGATCCAGCCTGAAATCTGTTCGAGTCGAAGCGGGATAGTTTTTTGCAGAAAGGCTTTAGACTGCTCATGCCGTTGGACCAAGTCTGATCAATAGCTACTGCGTACCTGATGCAGCAATGCGTCGACTACCTTGAGCTTCCTGTCTCCACTTTGTGTTTAATGCCAAAATTCAGACCCATGGCTTGATTACACTTCAGTGGAGCTGCAGCAACGTTTGTAGTTTCTTTGCATTGCGAGCGGATATTATCGGTATGTGATCTTGTCCGGCAATGGCCCTGCTACCGTGTCCGTCCGCTGCGACTCTATCGCATCCGCCTCGACGGGCCCTGTAATATCCTGATGTGTTTGTCCAAATACGACAGGTTGTGGCTTCGCATAGTGCTGCCTCGTTTCCTGCGCAAAGCCTGTGTTTACGTCTTCAGTGCCTTCGACCTTGCTGTCCTGTCTGCTCACAACACCATGCTCTCCGAATGCGACAGGGTCTCTGCCCACCCAGCCCGTGCTTCTCAGCTTGTCCGTTTTCTCGATGACCTTCCTGCAGACATCGCGGTGGGCTTGCTCCATCTTGCCCTTTACAAACGGCATCAGCCACCATGCGCAGCTAACTTCGACGTCTTCTACGAGCACCCATTGCGCATCGCCCACGCCCATGCCTTCGCCCTCGACCTCGCTGCCCGCCTCGCCGTTTGCGACGACTCTAAATTCGGCCCTAACTATCACGCCTGCCGCTGCATCAGCGCGCGTCTTTATGCCCTGCCTCGTATCCTGGAAGCAACTTGGGAAGGTGATGTACTTCTTCCCATACTGCCCAATGCCGGGAAACAAGGTTATGCACTCGGTGACGTGGTATGTCGTGATGGGGTATTGGTCGGGCGGGTACCAGTACGTGTCTTTGAGGGTCGAGGGGGCAGTGCTGGGCGCTTTCTCGTGCCCGCAGGTGAGGGCTTGGAGCGTGAGGGCTGTCTCGTGGTTGTGCAACGCGGCGATGACCCAGGCGGGGGACATGTGAGGTGGGATGTGGTGCGCCACGTGTAGGTTGTGTTTTGCGCTCATTGTAGAAGCGCGTTTCTCGAGACGCAAAGAGGACGAGGTTTAGGAGACCAGAACTCGTGCTCGTCGGACTAGTAAGACTGGCGGTATAGAAAGGATGGTGTTTTCGAGGCCAGCTGCGAGGTATTGAAGATGACGATTAACGACTACGATTACTACGTGCTATACAAGGTGGGTATCAGTGTCTTCACAGGATGTCAAAGGAAGAAAATAAAAGGGAGAATATGTGCGAACCACGAAGCTGCAGGGCGAGTAGCTGATGCATATTGCGTTGCTGACTGAGGCGCTACTATCTTCAGCGCTGGAGCTGAAACAAAAGCATGGGTGTGACGCGACAAACAGAGTCCGGCGGTAAACGTCATCAACGTGCCGCCCTAATCCGTATATGGCAAAGATCCATGTTCAAGCTCACCATCTTTCCAAAGTCGACTTTGGTAACCTGTGCGCGTTGGACATGAATCGGCCAAGATCATATAGCTGTTGAAGGTATGATTGAAAGCTAGCGATGCGTTGAGACGATTCAGAGCAACCGTGAAAAGACTGCAATATCAGGACGCGCTGCGGAAAGAGTACGCTCAGACGCCTTGGTCACCCTTGGTGGCCTATATAGTATACCGAAACCCAGCCTGCCCTTCATTTTCGTCCATAGGCTCGCCGTTCGCTCTTTGTCGATCAACCACCTTATTTCTCTTCACAAAATACGTAGTAGTGCAGCACAGCACTAACAAGATGTAGATTTGGAGGCCGGTTGTCACCCAAAGCCCAGTAATGTATGTGGGTGCCTCCGTTTGCTTGAACGTCGTCGATGCGAGGATGCCGCCAATTGCACCGAAGCCAATCTGAAGAGCGCTTCCAACGGACCGCTTACTTTGGCCTCGAATATTGTTGCTCTGATACGCAAGGATAGCCGGGACGTTGCCCTGGCAGCCACATACCCCGAGGAATGAGCCAAAGTATCTTGCCCCATTGTTTTCGGCGTATGCAACTATCATGAGACCGATTATGGCAAGGACTGATTGAGCGGCGATGACGGGAGCACGCACACGGTACTTGTCCCCTAGCCATGCGAATCCGAACGCTGTGATCATCGCGAACAAACTGGGAGGTGCTGAAAGGGCGTTGGCTTGCCCAGCAGAATAGCCCATGCCGAGGAGGATGACGGGGAGGAAGTAACTGAAGGCGTATGCGGGCATCGTCGTCGACATGAAGAGCGTGGCGTATGCCCAAAGCCTCAGGTCCTTTAGATGTTGGAAGAACTTAGCCCAGGTCAGAGGATCCGCTACTGAGTCGCCACGATCGTCTTCTATACGCTGCATGATAACAGCGGCCTCGGTGGAGGTGAGAAACCCTTTCTTCTCGGCTTTATCGGGAAAGTCCAAGATGATGAACCAGGCTGCGATTGCAACTAGACAGGTGATGATCCCTTCGATTATGAATATCCTAAATTTGGGTATGTGAAGTCAGTACATATCTCGCATACAGTTCGTACAGGGTATATATTACCATCTCCAGCCTCGAATACCACCGACGCCTTCCATCTGCATGAGGCCGTATGCAAGGATATTTGCAAGGCCACCAATACCGACTGAGAAGAGATAAAAGCCACCAAGTCTGCGTGTCCTGTAAGCTACTGCTACCATAATACGGGTTAATGAGGGTCGCATACCGCTTTTGTGTTTCATAGCGACGGTACCAGCAAGTGATGAGATATACACAACCGGGGAAGAAGCCCGCCTCGAACGCTCCGAGCAACACACGGCATATGGCGAGCGATATCCAACTCTCGACGAAGCCCTGCCCTATCATGACAGCGCCCCACGACACAGCGATAAAGGCCAGCCAGTTGGCACTCCCAACTTTTCGAAGGACGATGTTAGACGGAAGTTCGAGCAGGAAGTACGTAGGAAAGAAGAGGACCAAGACGATGGTATATCGATCACCGATCTGGAGGTCAAGATCTGTCCCCATTCCAGCAACACGCGCATTGGAAATCTGTCAATTCTCTTCTCAGCAAAGTTTCCCTGAACACGGGGACTAGAAAAGGATTTGAACTCACGTTCGTGCGATCTATCAGCGCGATAGAGTAAAGTGCGCCCAAGATTGGTAGAAGTCTCCAATCGACTTTGCGAATCAACCTCTTCTCTTCAATCTGATCGTAAGCGTAATCCGCGGCATTGCTGTCTGTAGCTGGCGGGCTGTACGCTTCCTTGTGAACAGTGTTTTGTTTGTACTCGTCATCGCTATTCATGGTGGGCAAAGGAGTACTGGTTTAGTTTCTCCTCGAGAAGGATCAAAAAGAAAGGAGGAGATCGTCACAGGGAGACGAGCAGTTGTAGATTATTCTGGCAGTCATGCATCCACTTATATTGATAAGACGATGACGCCTACCGAGGCAAGTTCCGGATTCCAAGCAGAGCGCTGTCTTTAAAGGTCTGGAGGCTTCGTGGCTGGGCATGCCGTGTGTTCCATTCGATCGGTCGTATAGCTAACGTATATCGAGCCTAATGGTCATTTCGTAATTCAAGTACAGATCCATAGGGGTCGGATAGACGAGGATCATGGTTCAATGAGATCTGTACCAAGCTACCAAAAGATCCGGACCTGTAAGAAAAAAGCCTTGGACCAGGAGAAAAGGCCTGGAGAGGATACTGCTCCTTGTGCCAATTGACCCCGAAGTGCCAACGTTGCCTTACCTCGCGGAATTACTGTCATGCCGAGATGCCAACACCGAGAACCGTCCAATGATGATGGTAGGAGAAAATGAGCGCAGATCTCATGTCCAGTAAAAACACCGAGCAAGTCAGTGCTCAGCCTGTCTGGGCGTGCAACGGCGGGTTGGCCATTTTGCGGGGTTATTCTTGGGCCGTCTTGAGGCTCTTAGCCATGTGGTGGGGTTTCCAAGCGCACGTTTGGGGCGCGTGCCGGCGGCGGAACTATGAAATGACAGCTCTAGTATATCACATCGTGAAGATGGTGTCATTGGTGAAGAATTGTTGATAGCTAGTTAGGGAGAAAGGCGCGAACAACAACTTCGTCGAACGTCTGGGCTCGACTATCTTCAGTGCTGTTCCAATGACATTGAAGGCTTGCATGGGTGCCGCGACATGGACTTGGGGTAGACGAGAAGGACGCGGTTGGGGTTCGCGCAAGATGAGAAGGGAAACGCGGAGGTTTAGCGCCACAGGCGCCTTGGCGTGGAAGGCCCGGATGCGAAAGGAGGTGCTCATGTCCGCACACTCTTCTGTGCACTACCATCACTTACGGGCCGCCACTCATCAGCATCGCGAAGCGCTTGTAACTGTTGTCTCCGCAGTTGTGCATTGCGTTGTCATGACCCTTCACGACGTTCGACAACGCGTCCTGAAGCCAGCATAAGCCTGTAATAGGTGGTTTCTTTCTACCACATGCATTTGTAGTACTCGAAGACCTCAGTACTGATGATCACACAGACTCGAAACAACGCTTGCAATCTCCAATTTCTTTCCTCTTGTCGTTTTGTCATACTGGACACGTCCAGTGCATGGCAGCGTATCGTTACGTAGAAGGGTTGCCACGATCGGTACTCACAAACACGACCAGTACAGCAGCGAATCTGATAATGTCAGTCGACTGCCACTTCTTCAAGCTCATGATACGTACGCGGATGTCACGGCAAATACCTCAGCTCGCTTGGCATTGGCAAAGAACGTCAAACAGAAGCTCATTCCCACATTGAAGGCTGCGATCGTCCACAGCTTCGCTTTGAGTGACTCAAGCTGGATCAACACAAGAATAGATGCAATAGGTAGCATGGCTGCGATCATGGAAGTGACCCAAAGTGTGATCTTTACCACGGTAGTATCGTAGTACACTTTTCGACCAAGATGGTGATCTCCCTTGGTGAAGACACCCATGCCGTACTTGAAGAGATATATTGCGCGCTCGGAAACCACACGAGAAAACTTGTCAGGAATATCACGCGGATGGACGCAGACAATATCAGGAGGATGGTTGTCAGCATCGCCTGTTTTACCCCAAATATCTACATCTATGCCGGTCATATGTTCAGGAGCCATATTTTCGCCTTCCAAAAAGCTTTGGAGATCGTGAAGATCAAAACGATCAGGCGCTTTGAGCTGGTGAAGAATCGAGATCTGAATAAGCGCTTTGTCTAATATTTCACAAAATTAGCAACGGTTTCATGTACCGGATGTTATCGTACTTACTGTATTGGTTCAGCTTCTCGTGCATCTTTATAATCAGTTTGAACTGCTCTGACTGCTCTCCATGCGGTTCCTTCAACATGCACTGGTAATCAGTCGCGTACTCAGATCTTTTGCCGCTAGTGCTTTTGTTGTCTTGCTGCTCAAGCCAAAACAAATTCTTTTCCATTGCACACAGCTCGGCCTGGAGATACAACAAATGTCTTGCATTGAGTCCGTCAAATCGACGATAAATGCCGGTTTCAGGCTTGAATGAGATGCGTTCAGATAATCGAGGATAGCCGACGGGGTGGTGCATCCATGCTGGCAGGTAAAGCGGAGCTTTCGTGGAGTCTCTTTTGACTCTTTCTGTGGCTTTCTCTAACATGTTGGTAATTCTTGAAGGAAATTAGTATAAAGGGCACGCTGACGCCTAGCAGCGTGCAGAAAGCGTTGCTTTAAGGATCGCTCTCGAGTTGTACACTGGCGTACCTTGTTACAATTACACTGCGTTCTGTGACTCTGTCTGTGTAAAGCTTCCCCAGCAAGTTGTCGTGCGCCAGTCCCCGGTCGTACCACAGGATTAGATGTTTGCTACAAATCGACAAGCATAGTGCGACCATGATCTGTGGCTGGAGCATGGCGCTTACATTTTGTAACAGCTGCGACCAGGATGTAAAAAATACCCTGAACATGTAATCTTCGCTGTGAGTACGCCTCAAATTATACTTTGGCTCCGACACTAGAGGAATGGCGTTACTTTTGTTTTACGGCAAGTCCGGCAGTCTACGCGCTTAGATCGGTCATGATTCAGGAAGGGTCTAACTCAAACCGGATATAAATTGTATTCTCGGCTCCTCTCGAGATTCAACCTTTATTTACTTATACGCCCATGAAAGCCATAGCCCTATTTTACGTCGAGTCTGCGTCCCAAGACTAGTATATACATATCTGATGCCATTACAGGCAGGCTTCAACATGCGGAAGCAGCAAGAGCATCACCGTATGTAGCATAGATCTAACAGCAACACATTTTACATCGGCGAGGTTAGGCGTCGACTTACAACTCGTTATATTGTGAAATAACTGCCAACTCATGACCACGTCTGGTGGAAGATGTGCGTGTGAAAATGTTGTCGTCCGATGACTTAGAGAAAGCAAGCAGACAGGATATATAATACTCTCATAGCGGTTCCTGAGTACCTGATACCAAATCTACCAGAGACGCAGAAACGAGATATTGCTAGCAATGACATCGTATGGATCGCAGAAGAATATCGGGAAGAAACTATTCCCAAGTAAAGGTCATAGCGGTTCTCGTGAACCCCCTGACAAGCCGGATACACTTGAAAATCTCAAAAGCGCTGAAGATAAGAAAGCAGAAAAGGCAGCTCGGAGGCAATTTAAGATGGTAATCAAACCTGGTTGGAGTTGCGGCGGCATTTCACCCACAGTTGGCCCTTGCCATATCAACTATTGTGGAAATGATCATCCGCTGAATGTACCATGTGTTAGCAACGATTGTGAGCATAATCGATGTGATCGTTGCTGGGAGGCGCGAATCTTTGATTCGGGTGTGGATAAGTCCGCAACCGGTTGGTTCCATTTTCCGTGCGGGACGTATTATGCTGGTATGGACTCACTCAAGCATTGTACAAGCTGCAACCACTCAGCTGCCGGTAATTTCAGGTATGTATGTCTGTCAAGGCCTTCTCTAGACCCAGATTATCGAGGGAGGAAGATAAATAGACGATGTTATTAGCCATGGATGCGAGTTTCAGGAACGGCATTGAGTGCTTAGCTTCTACAAAAATAACTTGTCTCTCAGGAAAACTGTCTTTGTAAATGCATATAACAGTTCACATGATCGTGCATTATAATGTCAGCATGATTCTCGAACTACCTGGTTGTGTTTAAAGTTTGTGAAGATGACATCCCTTGGTTCATAATCTCATGTTTGATCAACGAGCGCTACTTTTACAGCTGCGAATCTGATCAATTACTAGTACTCTTCGTGGACTACAAAACTGCGCACTTACTTTCTGTGTATGTACTCACGTTGTCGACTCATCCTACGCCCACGTAAAGTGACGCTTTGACTACTATGGAGGTATCCTTTAGTCAGGGTACAGATGCCGCCTTGAACGCTGTAGTCTACTTCAACAGTAGAGATGTTTTGGTATAACTTATGCCAATAGTCTCCAAATCATAACAGTTCGGTATGTTTCCAGCTGAGTGCGACCTAGGCATAGGTAAACGAAGAAACACTGGTCCTACGGGTATTTGGAAATACATGATTGATGTAGAGCCTCGAGTGATGAGGCGATGGTCATGCGTGATGTGCATCACCGGCTTGTGTAAACCTACAGTCCCTTGGTTTAGAAGCTGATGACATCTAGGGCGAGCCGTGGCATATCCATCGGGATTTAGGAATATTGTGGATACCTTTTTGACCAGGTGGAAGTCGCCAACTGTTCTCATTTTTCCCATGAACATTTCCTTCTGATTTGCATATCAATCGCATCGCTCGACGAGCTTGTCAACGCAGAAGCAAGACATTGTTGTAGGAATCGACATCAAAAAGTTAGCAGGGTGTGGTTCGTTTCAATGCAGCATAAGTCATGCGCTGGTGTCGAGTTGAAGGCGTCGTTAATCTTCACGGTTGGGCTTGGGCCTGCCAGCTGAATGAGAAAGTATGTATTAATCGCGAATCTGAAGACCATGTCAAATGGTCCGCTGTCTACGACACCTTTCTATCGAAGAAGAAATCTCTGGAGAAACAAATAAGCATCCTTTTTGACGCATGATCTATCTAGAAGATCTCTTGGTCGTCATACGCCCTCACACTCTCTAGGCGTTCTCTAACCTTCTTCGGATCCTTGCAGACATGCTTACTGTCCCAACCATCACTGCCACCATTGTGGTCGGGAAATGTCGTCTCCAGCCCTTCAAGAGCCATATCCGCGCTACACATGATAGCTTGGCGCATGTAGTCAAAGCAGTGGATCATGTGCCAGTGATGGTCTTCTTCAAGCTCATGACCCGAAGTCATACCGGAATAGACTGCGACGACAGCATAGAGGCAGTGGAGCTGGTGGGTCATGGATGTCGTGAAGACAGTAGCGTTGGGCCAGACGATGGGAGTGGGAAGGTCGTGGTAGTTCTCTGGGTCAGGAATGCTCTGAAAGCCCATGCCGACTGTGTGGGGTGTTAGTGGAACCTTTGAAGAATTCGGATGTTAGGGGAGTTGTACCAGGCAAGAGTTCGTTCCATGCTCGAAGTACTTCGGGCTTGAAGAACTCTGATGTGTTGTAGGGTGCAAATGTCTGATTTATCTCGAACTTGGTGATCTGCGTTGGGACTGCATGGCTGTTAAACTGAGTACGACAGTGGGTCGAATAGTAAGACTCACTGTGTGGGGACCATCCGGTGATATCGCCACCTACATCGTTGGCGCTTGTTGAACGTGCCTTCCACCGTGTTGAGTCGAGCACGCCTTGATCTCTGGCCAGCAACCCGATGATCACGAGCTGCAACCCTATCACCAATATCCATCGCATCGCTGCCACCAGCGGCGGGCACATTATTCTTCTTCTTGACGATGGTGCTCTGCTGTGATATTCGCCTGCTGCCCATTGCTTCTCTCCCCCAACCAAAGATTCAACCTCCGTCGATGAGTCGTCATCATGGTGATGGTCCTGCGAACGTACATCTGCGTAGTGGTGTTGTGGCTCCATCATGTCGATTAGTAAGTCGGTGACGCCAGGTCAATCGTAAACTTGGATATTAAAAACGAAAGTGAGCGCAGCTGAGGAACCAAAGGCAGCGGCGGGCTCCGTACAGATGTACTCGTACGTCAAACATGCTGGCCCACACCGAAACGCTGAGGCTGTGGTTCCTGGTCGGAGCTGTCATTGCCATTCATGGTAGACGCCGGCGACAGCTCGATGGGTAGTTCTAAGCGTGAGTTGAGAACGCTGAAACGGGTTCCTGGATACGCGATACGTGGGCTATGCCAAGTTTCGTTAGATCGCCGGGATGAAACCGAGGATGAATCGCCAAGAGTATGAAGCTATCTCGTCTTCCGCCTCAAGCGAAGATAGCGTGAAACCCAATGCAAACATCGAGCATGAATGTTTGTATGTAGTCAAATGCAGTTGGTGTTGGTTTACATATTATTGAAGCGTATTGCCGGCTTACTGTCCCCTTACTTCGACAAAGTAAAGGGACTTGATAATGACAATTGAACACAATACCAGAGTTGTTACATCAGAGAGGGATAGATTACTTGCGCGATCGAAAGGCACAGAAGAAAGATATGATGGGTCTTGGAGTGAAGCGTAGCGTGGTGTGAGGTAGCTACAAGAGCTAGGAAGCAAGAGGGGAGAATTCGAGAGATCAGATTCTGTGACTAGAGAGGCAAGAATATTTCGATATATCGGTATTTGAGGAAGGCCATTGTGGGTGTGGCGGAATATGCCATACCCGAACTACGATAGGTGGACTACCCGAACATGCATCAGTTTCCGGTCGCACGGTATGACAGCTGTAGCCATGTGATGTCTTGTAGGACTTCATAGTGGGTGTCTACATCGTATTCGTCGATTCCGCAGTGCTGATAGCTGATCTGAGTCAACCCAGCAACACAACATATGGTTAGTGTCGCAGCTACCTGCGCGCATCCGTCGCATTCTCTCAACGGTCCCGTGAGATTACAAACTACACTGGTAAGTCCAGAGATGTAATCTAGGCTTGCGACACAGATGTCGGGCGGGGTCCAGGAAGGAGTAGCCCATCGCATCTAAGCTTTGGCATGCAAACCACGTAGCTCAATGGCCATGGTAACACACACAGCAACAGACTGTGGCGAGATGTATTCACATCCGCGAGTTTGGCTTGTTGTTGCGAATGTCAAGATCAACTCTGCCCACCCGGGATAGCGTTGAAGATGGCGAGTCCGTTGGGGGTCGTTGTCTCTCAGAAGCACGACTCATCGCTTGACACACAAGTCGCTCCTGATGACCCATTTCTCGCCGCCGGTGACCTCACGTCCTTCGTGCAGCATGCAGTCTGCGCCATGTCGATGCAGTAGCGCAAGACCAACTTCAAGGTCGACAACGAGGGGCTCAGGTGGCGGATCCCGACTCTTCTTTCTTGGCAGGTCTGGGTAAAACACCGTCTCTCCACCCATGCAGCCTGTTGCTGGAGAGGTGAGATATATTAACAAGGTCCAGGTGGTACGCGCTGGTACCGGCTGGGAACCAGAGGGCTGGATCATTACATTATTGGAATCATCATCTGACTTTGTTAGCATTTGGTCCATGACTGTAAGATGGCTTTGAACAAGTCGTTCAGTAGGGATGATGTACAATGCTGATCGAAGAACTGGCCCTTGGAGTACCTGTAGATGCGAATATTCTGGTTCAGGCCGAGCACCTCGCCGCCCCACAGGTCCTTCCGCTGTTCTACACTGAGACCAAGCGCCCCTTCCTCAACATCTCCGCTGACCAGCTTTCTTAGCCCGGTCTGGCTCCACAGTCGTTCAGCGAATGCGGGATCATCAATCTGGTAGCGGTCGTTCACGCGCACCGCATCACCTTTCTTAGGCTTTCCGGGCGTAGTCGTCAGTGGTAGTGACGACAGGAAGGAAACGTACGTCTTGCATAGTGACGCCGTGAAGAAGTTGGGGATAGTGACGATCTGCTTGTGAAGCACCTCCTGCAGGGCAAGGTCTTCTTCTGGTACGAGAGGAGTGAAGGCGGGCCAGTTGGGGGGCTGTCTCGCCGGTTCAGACGAGGGCGCTGGCCGGCTAGATGCGCCTTGCTGGGTCTTCTTCTTGGGTGCCATGTAATGGACGCTTACTGGCAAACCGACAGGTAATGCAGATGTCTTGGTTCTGTATTGCTGCGATTGGTGCGGAGGGTGAAAGTTTGGATGGATCGCTCCTTCTACCAAAGAGCGGCCAAGGGTGCCGAAGAGCGCGTTCACTTGCGAGGCTGTATCTTGTTTGGAGAAGTGTACACCCTCTTCCCATAGTCTTTTCACGTCGCGATCCCGCCTGCGCCGTCACTTCTTCTCAACCTGCTCTTGCTGCCACCAGAGTCAAATGCACTGACGATGAATCCAACAGATGGAGATCCAGAGAACGAGGCGCTTTTGCGGCCGCTCAGATTGGAAGATATTTTCGATGCACAGTCGATGTTCATCTCCCAAGCATCAAGTTGGTCTTTCTCATCGGCGCCGGACCGTGTTGCGGAGATGGGTGGCCAAGACCCACGTGCAGCAGGATTAGGCCCGGCGCAAGCCTCTCATGAGCAGCGTCGACCGACATCCTCCGAAGACACCAACCCGCTGCGACAGCACGACGAAGGCCCTTTGCAAACAGAAGACCGCTTAGGCAAGAGCAGCTCCGCCTTCTTCGGACCTCACCTGGCCTGTATGTATTGCGCGACACCGCGACGCGGTTTGCTGGGCGAAAAACAAGCGCGCCGCTAACCACCTGCAGCGGACGGCATCCTAGACCACTATTCCCTCGACTTTGACTTCCCTTTCGCACTCCCCTACGCACTTCCCGACGAAGATGGCGGCGGCAGGATGGCCGTAGCCCCTTCTAACGAGCTTTTACACCATGTCACCCCCGAACATGACACTCCCGACGCCCTTCTCTCGCCTGCCCCCGATAAGCGCATTCCCGACATGGCAGCCGCGACCAGCGATGCGTCGGCCATGCCAGCCCTCGGCGGCGAGAAGCCATCTGCCGACCACAACATGATGGACACAACCCTCACCAACGGATTGCCGCTCCTCGACACATCCATCGACTTTGCGCAGTCCAACAACCTAAATGGCGCCGACATGACTGCCATGCCCATGGACATGACGACCGCCTTCCCGCCCATGAATGCCTTCATGCCGCCCACGACCAATGAGCGCCTCACAGCCTTTGCGCGTCTGCGCTTCGATGACGGCTCCTACTACATGCATACCTATCAGATCACCCTGGGCCGCAATCTCGATCTCGCGCACAGAGACATGAAGCGCCTTATCAAGGCCGAGGCACTGCACGCAAAGGGCCATGTGCAGGCTGCTCGCGAACACTTGACTGGCATGGACGAGGCCAATGCGAAGAAGGACAAGAAGAAGAAGAAACACAAAAAGGGTGGCGCCCGTAGCGTCATCTCCGAGAAGGGCGGCATCCTCAGTGCACCCATCGAGTCGATGCCCATGGAGTACCAGCAGCGTCGCCAGAGCAACGCGTCGCACTCTCTCAGCTCAAACTCACACCCCACGGGCGAATCTGGTGAGGAAAAGCCTGCCGAGCGCGCGCCACAAGACATGATCATGCAGGCCTTCCCCGAAGTACCCGCCCAATTCGACGGCCACGTCCCCGAAGACCCCAACGACTGTCCATTCGTGCCTATACATCCCCAGCAGATCGTAGCCAGGACAGGATCGTTGGGTCCCAAAGGCATATCACGGGAGCATGCCAAGATCTTTTTTGACTTTGACGCGGGTCACTTCTGTATCCATGTCCTGGGTAACAATGGTCTGCATCATGAGGGAGACTTTTATCCCAAGGGTGAAACTGTACCTTTGGATCATGGCGACCACTTGCAGCTGGGTGCTGTGAACATACACTTCTTCCTCCCAGACGTCGCGCTCACAGAGCAGCAACGCCATCGCCAGGAGTCTGGATCGCGACCTATGAGTTTCTCTTTCGAAAATGGGAACGGTCAGTTGGAAAGTGACGAGCATATCAGTTCTGAGAGCGAAGACCAGCAGAGCGTCAACCCGCGCCATGTCTACTACCACCATCCTGTCAGTGACAGCGATGACGATGACGGACTCGCCGATGAAGAAATGGACGATTATGAAGAGCCTGCTCCTAAGCCGCGGCAGAAGACCAGTCTCAAGCTCAAGATCAAGAATCTGCCTCCCGCTCCCTCGAAAGAAAGCAAGAAAGCGCACAAGAGGAAGCATCAGCAGCGCGAACTCACGCCTGAAGAGCCACCAACAAAGAAGGTCAAGCTCAAAGTCAAAGACACTGCGAAGCTCAAGGAAGCGATTCGTGAATCTACGAAGGAGCCCAAAATTCAGAAGGAGCGCAAAGAGCCCAAGGAACCAAAGGAACCCAAAGAGAAGGAAGTTGCGCCGCCCAGAGAGCCCAAGGAACCCAAGGAAACCAAAGAGCCGAAAGACAAGGGCAAAGCACCAGCCAAGACTCCCGCAAAGGCACCTGTCAAGGACGAGACGCCAGTCGAGGAGCCCGTCAAAGATATCCCCATGGCTCCAAAGCCCGAGCAGCCAAGTAAGCCCCCACCGAACGATAGTCCGCCTTTACTACGCAAGCCACACGAAGGCGAACTCGAAGCCGGAGACATCGATGGGCTCATTACGGAGGAGATGGCTCTTCAGCACAATTTGCCACGGAATCTTATCGGTCATGTCGTTGAGAAGCGCAAAGGACCAGGCAGACCGCCCAAGGATGGCATCATGTCAAAGCGCCAGCGTTCGCAGCTCATTAAACAGGCTAAGGATATTGAGAGGGCAAGAGCTGCTGGCATCGACCCAGCTGACATTCCGATCCCGACTATCAAGCCGAAAGCACCCAAACGCAAAGAATCAAATGCTGGCGATGGCGAAGATGATGGAGTTATGGAGACAACGGAGCAGGGCGATGGTAGCTTGTCCAGTCTCCAGAAACAAACGAAGCCCATCAGACCGCCTCGGACGCCTTCACCTGAGATGCGCATTGAAGACTACACCGAGGAACAGCTGCAACGACCCACAGCCAACTATGTTGTACTGATCCACGAGGCGATCTCGTCTTCACCCACTGGCCAGATGAACCTCCAATCCATCTATACTTACATTGAGCGGAAGTATCCTTGGTACAAGTTCAAGACTACTACGAGCGGTTGGCAGTCTAGTGTGCGCCACAACCTTGGTCAGCACGACGCTTTCATGAAGGGTGATAAGGAGGGTAAAGGCTACCTTTGGAGAATCAACCCCGAAGTCTCGATCGAGAAGGAACGCAGGAAGAGGCAAGCCAGTCCTCCTCTTAGCAATGCTCCGCGACAGTACTACCAACCGCCGAATGGATATCAGCCGTATCCCCAGCCTGGATACCCGTATCACCCGGGCATGCCTCATGCGATGCCGCAGCCACCACCACCAAGACTGCCACCTAGTCTCGCGCAACCTCGCTTACCACCCAGCATGGCTCGTAATGAGAGTAATTCAGCTGCATCGAACACGTCTCAGAACGCACCCCATCCATCGCCTTATGCGTCCCCTTGGGGCGGCGGTGGTAACACTGCTGGAAGTCCGCCAGCGCCCAATCCTCCACGACCGTATCCGCAGCCTAACTCGCAGGCTCCGCCAACTTCCTCAGCAGCCGGTTCGAGTGGTCAGTACGGCGTTCTCTATCCTACGGCTGCTCCACAACAATCGCCATACAGCCAACCTCCGGCACCCAGTCCATACGGTGGTCCATATGCTAACACGGGCGCGAGCCCGTATGGCCCTGGTCCGCCTCGTCCCTATGGAGCATATCCACCACAAAGCCAGCAGTCGAATGCTCCTTCGGCGTCGCAGCCACAGCCTTCAGCGTCGCCTTACGGCCCGCCTCCGTCTCAGACGCCCTCACAACCAGGGCCTCCTAACGACGCTTCGGCACCTCATCCGTCTGGACGTTACCCGATTGGAGTTCATCCGGACCTCATTCGCCAGCTCGAAGCGTACCGTCACGTTTACCTTGACAAGAGGCCAGGCCCCGAGGAGCAGAAGAAAGTGGACAATGCTATCAGAGCTTGCGTAGACAGAACCGTACCTGAATCGACATTGACGGACCAAGAAAGAAAGTTGCTTATATCCATCTGCGGCGTGGAGAGCATTAACAAACATGTCAAGAGGGCACCTGATGTCAAAGATGAAGATGAAGCGAGTACTGCGGCAGCGTTCGCCGCAGCAGGTGCAGCGGCAAACACGATGGCTCAGCAATACCAACCAGCACCACAGTCTGCAAATCCGACAGGCACCGCATCCCCAGCACCGACGCGCGAGAACAGCGAACCGCAGAAGTTTACGCCAAACATGACTGGTGCATCACCAGCTCCTCCCATGGCACCTTCACATCGTCCGAGCGTCGAGCCCATCACGCCTGTGCCCGGTTCGCCAGCAGTTCAAAATGGCACCCCGCTGCGACGTCCAATGACCGAGTTGACCGCAGACAGCGCACCCGGCGCAGAAGAAGCCAAGAAGACGGAGAACAGTCAAGATACATCGAAGAAAGCTGAGTAGCTTTTGTTCTTACGGCGCCTTTTCTATTCTTAATACGCTCGTTTTCAAAACTTCCTCGCCTGGCCTCTGCCTATGCGTGTCACTTGTTTCTCTCCCCTCTACTCGGCGTTCCAAGCCTGTTTGGAGCTAGCTAGCATTTGAGTTTGGCGTTTTAGGCGGAAGCATTTTGGCTTTGCCAACATTGATACCCTTGACAGCGTAGCTTGGTTGGGGGTTCTACCAAAAGTGAAATTTCGCGTAGGTTTTTACGTCGAATATGGGATATATGCGTTATGGTATACATGACTGTTTCGAGTAGATAGATGATAGCGACAAGCAGCGGTAGCATCGCATCGGCCATAAAAATGATATACAATTCTATAAACTTTGGGTGTCTGGTCATGATCGTGTAGTATGTGGTGTGTTGATACGGTACAGTGCTGCCTAGCCCGGCAACTTGTTTCCAATGTAGCAGAGAAAGCACCCTCTTTCAATCTCGACGCGCGTTCAAGAGCACAATTATTTAAGCATTTATGGATGCCTGGTCTGATAAGCTGTTGCCTAATGGGGTACTTTTGCGGTCGGAAACATGGCGCACAGTACACAGCTGTAGCTGATGAAATAATGAAGCTTTATACGCAAAAAAAAAAGGCCAAACGGTAAAGAGTCTGGTATTGCCTGCGTATCTCGTAGGTAGAGTAGGTGCCTCGACACAAATCCAAAGCCCAAATGCTGCGATTATATATAGAAAAGAAGAAGCTTAAGCCCAAGATGCCGCTTCTGCTGATGTCGCCGTACGCCTGAAAACCCCGCCACTCGGATTCGCTATGCTCATTTGATAGCAATAGGTTGAGCTGGCACAGCCGCTTACATGGCCATCTCAGCCTGTAGCTTCCGCAACTCCTCCTCTTCGTCGTCCTCTTCAACCCGCTGTGGTGCCTTGGGGTTGGTACTTGGTGCCTGTGGTAGCTTCTGTGACGATGGGGCATCGTGGATGGGCACGTTGCCAGTGTTGAGCATTTGCTCGTCGAGCTTTTCTTGTTGTAGCTCTGCGAGTTCCTCGTCCAGTTCGTCTTCGTCGATGCCGTTGGAGGTGACGCCCGAGGTGATGGCTTCGCTAATCTCTTCGCCGATTGCGTGTTGCTCGCGGAGGTCCTCCCTGCCCACATGATTAGCAAACTATTCGGTGAGGCTTGTCTTGTGCAAAAAGCGTACATGACATTGTCGACCTTGTCGATGGTCAGGCCGGAGTGTATCTGCTTCATGGCGTTTCCTGCATTCTTCATGGCATCCAGCGTCTCCTTGTTGATATTGGCCGTCTCGATGGAGTAGATCTCCCTTTCTAGCGTCATGATCTGTGAACTGGTCTGCTCGAGTGAGTGCTCGAACTGCTTCTTTCGCCGTAACGCCGACTTGGCAGCTATGGCAGGCGTCAGCGACAACAGCAGAAAGCGGGATGCATGCGAACTTGCCTTGCTTGTTGGTAGAAACGTATTTTCGCGCCAGCGCATCTTGCTCATCCATCTGATTTTGCAGGTGCTTCTCCCGCTTGTTCAGCATCTCAAGTTGGCCTCGAAGCTGGAGGATGGCCTTCTTTGGCGCCTCCTTCTTCGCCTGGCCACCGCCAAACCAGCCCAGGCCCCAGCCGCTCATGTTGAAGTAGTTCTGGAGGTCTTCAGTTAGCAACCTTGGTTCGCTTGACGCTATCGCAAGCCGATGCAGCTGACTCGAAGCCTATCAGAGTGTGGGTTGGCGGGGCTGCGGGGGGCGGTGCGTAGTTCGCACGTACTTTGTAGGAATTCGGGGGGGTTTCCGAGTTATGGCAGGTGAGGAGAGTTCGCAGAGGTTCGTGTTGTTGGAGCGGCGGCGTTGGAGTGACTGAAGGGTGCCTGGCTGGTCATGAATCGGGCCTGGATGCACGAGGGTATGATGTCGTCCGCGCTAACCATGGCACGTGCATCTCGGCTCCGGTTTCCACCGTCTTCTGCGGCGCCTTCACCACCATGTCTGGTCCCGTTGCCTCGAATTTGGTGCTGCTGGGTGACCTGCCTGCATGCGCGCAGGGCAACAAAGTCCGCTTTCTGGGCTGGTGCACCGAGTCGTTCCCGATCACGTCGCAGAGACTGACTGTATCGCAGCATCGATGACTACGTCACTGAGACCGCAACACTGCGCCTTAAGCACAACTACCCGACATCCAGCCCGCCCGTCATCGCGAACCTCGATGTCCAACACGTACTGGAGCGCATCAAGCATCTCGACGTAGACATCGGCACATGGCTCAACGTCATCGGCTATGTCGAGCGCAGGAAGGAGCAGGGCGTCTTTGTACAGGCCGTCACTGTCTGGAATGCCGGCAATGTCGACCTCAAGGCGTATGAGAAGGCCGTTGAGGCGCGCAAGGCCGTTGCATAAACGTCGCCAGGCTCATGTATTATGCTCATGCACGCTCACCCAAGCAACGGTCATAGTATGATTGTGCAACACCAGTATCTAACACCAGATGTGAGGTTCTCGCTGCAGGACTTTGCCAAATTCAGGCTTGTTTGACAGATGGAGAATTCAATCATGAATATGGTGGGACACTACAAACAACGCAGTCTGAGATCAAATCACTATACTGCCCGAAAACAAACACTTGAAACGATTGATTCCACCGTCCTATCCTGCATGCTGACTGACTACTGATAGCCTTACGTGTTCATTTGGAAGCATGTTCCAAGGTGACCTCCAATGGCTTTTTATCCTACATCGCCGTTAGCATTTGTTACCGCAGGATCCGATCATACGATAGATCATACCCAAAGTAAATATGTGCACTGCTCTCCCCAATCCCACCTATCCAGATCATCCTTTAACCTGATATTGAAACTCCACAACAATCTCGCAAGTATCAGTCGCATCTCGTTATAAGCAACCTTGGCACCTATGCAACTATGTCTACCCACCATAAAAGGCGCAAACGCAGCCATGTTGTCATGTTCTGGCTTTGGATGTAGGAATCTCTCTGGTATAAAGGAGTTTGGGTTGCGGAAGTTGTACGGTTGTCTATAGGCGGAGTATTGATTGTAGGTCACGTAGGTCTATTCAGAAGAGTTTAGTTAGGATGAGGTAGTATGGGAGCATGAATCTCTTACGCCTTCAGGAACCCATTGGTCGCACACAGTATCTCCGCCTTTGGGAGCAATGCGAGGTACTCCGATGGCGTTGGGAGGGCCAAGTCGCATGCCCTCATTGATGACCGCGTTTAGATAAGGCAAGTTGCTTGTCGATGCTACCGTCATGTCGCTCTCATTCTGGAAATTATCCCTGATCTCTGCTGTGAGTCGATGCAAGACACCTCTGTGCTGCAACAACATTCTTACGATCGCAGTCAGAGCACTCGCTGTTGTTTCGCTCCCAGCAAACGCAATTACGAGTAAGTTGATTCCCCACTCAGCATCTGTGAAGTGATCCTTCTGATCACTATACTTCTTCGTCGGAGTTACCCAGTCCGGCCGCTCTACATTCAGTGCTATTCTCTTCTGAGCTTGTTCCATACTCAGCTTACGATGGTCCATACTCCTTTGCAAGATGCGTTTAGGGATGATGTGTCGGAGTAGTTTATCGATAGGAGGGTAATGGTTGATCGAGCCGATCAAGGCAAGCCCTTTGCCAAAGTCCTGGGCAATATCGACCCAGGGATGCGCTTTGCCGTTTGCAACACAATCCCAAGACTCGCCATAGGTGAAGTCTCCAGAGATATCAAAAGTCAGGTAGTTCAACCACTTCTCAAGATCGACAGCCTTTCTCTTTTTCACTTGTTCCATGAAGAGATCAACATAGCTTTCAATGACTGGTGCCTGTTCTTTCAAGCTTTTCTCTGAGAAGGAATTTGCAAAAGCACGTCTGTACCTCGTATGGTCTTCCTCATGCCAGTTCACGATTGAGTTAGGTTCGGTTGGTGACATCTTCTTGAATGAGGTACGGTTACGTTCGAAGGGTAGATGGCCCGGGCGTGTGACATAGATCTCTTTCAATGCACGACTGTCGGCATAGGAAAGTTCGTTAGGGGCTACACGTACAACTGGCCCATACTTGGTGTGAAACTCAGTAAACCGCTTGTGAATTTCGCCACGGTGCGTCGAGATAACATAGGGAATGCGGAAGGATCGCCAAAGCAGCGGACCGGGGTAGTGGCGTAGCGGATGGAGGAACGCGTTGTAGAACGCGTATGCGAACGCTAGCTTTGTTGATGGATTAGCATCGAAGGGAGCCACTTCGCATACTGACAGGGCACTTACGGCTGAGATGCATAATACACATGCTGCAACTGGATGCACGCGACTGGGTAACGATGACGATAACTGGAAGCCCAGGGCATCACGACCGCCTTTGTCTGCCATTGCAAAATCTGGACCAAGCTACAAAGCTTAACTTCCTGTGTCGAATGCTCTTATTCTGTGCTACTGCATCGCGATAGCAAGCATAGCTATTCGGATGTCGCGTTATCGTGACGAAAGGGTAGTCCTTGGCTTATGAAGTAAGGCACCCCGCTTTAGCCTTTCCTCTTTCGGTCATTATACTTTGCCATGTCCAGACCCAGACCTAGAGTCCTCACGTCGATGATACTCCGATGTGTCCTTCTAATCACTCTGATATGGATTCGATATCTCCGAAAAATCTTGGGAGAGAGGAGAATCGAAGAACACGAGCTGCAGGTTGGCGCACCGCTTCCGCATTGGATGCGCCCTCAGCATGCGCCGACATCTCAAGTATCAACTCACGCCGGCCCGGCCAGAAGCAAACCCAACTGAACGGATGTAGAGCGGGAGACATATACTGTTGCGGTAGGTGTCACAGTCTCGACTGCCACCATGCAGCCAATGCAGGAGCTGTCAAGAGTTTGAAAAGCACTTCAGGATGCTGACAGGAGCCCAACATCCCGCGCACACGCGTATCCTCACCTAAATGAAGGGTAACTCCTGGCAGTGTTCGAGCGACGTTCATGAACTGGGGAAGTGTCGCACGTTGTGCGGGATCATCGCTGAAACCTTCGCTTGAGCTCTGACACAGCTCACTCTGTGAACTTCATGGGTTTCGAAACACTTGTTACTGTGAAAGATCCTTCGGCCGACCTGTCGTTCACATGTCTAAACGAAACAACCGACTTACTCGCGAATGGCGTATGCAACGTCGTCCCGCAATGCACCACGAGTTTGCTCGCTAGATAGACGGGTGTGTCACGAGCTTACTGTGGATCCAAAAAGAAAGGAGGCTAATGTCGCCACTTCGACAGACTTGCAGAAAGCTAATAAGCCAACATTACCCCTCTTTCATTGCCAATGAGGCGATACCAAAGCTCTGTCAGACGATTAGAGCGCATTTTGCGGCTCGTGGGTAACCTGGTTCTGGGTTTGCTAGTCAATGTCTTCAGTACGTTTCTTACCGGATTGCAGCTTTCGCGAACGCCTTGCCGTGCGCTCATATTGGTATCGAAGACTAACGCGAAGGGACTGGCTGATGAGTGCCACCCCTCGTTTAAACCAACCATGTAATTTATGCCTGATGATAGATATCAGTCTTTGTGCGGAACAGGCATCATGCTCAAGTTCGCAGCATGGCAAGCTTCACAGTCGCCTAACCGCAGCCGTACGTAGCATCGGTGCCACCGCGGATGCAGACTCCCTGAGACGCCGACAAGACTTTCGCCGCATTTCTCTCCCAAGGCTACCAGTGAATGCCTACACATTCCAGAACTCACAGTTGCCGCATTTTCCGTTAATCTCTGTCGAGTACCCAGTTAATTAACCAACATTTGGGCTTGAAGCGGGGCTTTCGATAGTTCGTGCATGCTACTATCGGGTCATTTACTGACTTTGCTCAGCCAGATCAGGTCATTTACCAGCCGTCCGATGCATGGCGTCTGCAGCGCACAGGCAACGGGTGAATACCAGGGAGACCCCAGCCTTCTAACCAACCTCCCGTTCAAGCAAGCGCAAACCCAATTCCCAAAATTGGGTGCACTTCTGCCGACGTTTGGTGTTCGTCTGGAGGGCCTGATGCTGAAACTAAAAAATCCTTCGTTGGACGACCACTGAGAGTGTCAGGTCAACTGTGCCGCCTCCCTAAGGCAGAATAGATGCCTCGCTGTCAGACATTGCGATGGATGTGGAGGCGATGTAACAAAAAACCAACGTTCAAAAGGCTCGGGAGCGCGAATGGAGGCTCAACACGAAGAGTGGACAGCGCCACTGGAATGCGGCTCACTACAAGGGAAGCAAAGCCCATCGTATCGCTCTCAAAATCCCTGTCTTTGATCGCAAGATTGCACGTATCAGCGCTTACAGCAGACACAAGCCTTTTACCCAACTTGCCGAGAGCGGCAAGGTGACATGCGGAAAGAGGACTACCCTGAGACGCTAAAGCCACCTCCAGGTCTCACCAATTTGGCGTGCATATCGCTTCAAGGATAATAGTAGGAAATCTGGTCAAGATGAAGGCCCGTGTTGACGTACACCCACACATGGCGGCGCATGCATGCCCATGTAGGCCGCCTGTCTAACGGCCAAGCGCGAAGGTTACAGATGAAGGTATAAGTCTGTCGAGCCGCCTGGTCTAAGAAGGAGTGTAACGGTGATATCAGCTTCGAGTTCTTAACACCAGCACTAGCGAAGCGAAACGACGACGTCCTTATTCTGATAACACCAGTCTTTCCAAATACTCATTCACTTTCACCATTGTTCAGGGTCTACCTGCGTTGCACAGATCATCCTCGCAAGATTTTTATACTGCCGCCACCCGACTTGCAGCGCACTATTTCCACGAGAACAACCCGAATTCAGCAAACCCAAATCATCTTTACAGAACGTATCATCAACAGCGTTCGCTTTTCGCAAAGCTACACGCTATCAGTCACCATGCTGTTCTCCACAGTCACTGCGGCCCTTCTCTGTGTCGCAACTGCCACTGCAGCTGCTCTACCATTGCCTGGCAAGCCACAAACATACACTCCCGCGCGGAACCTCAAGAGCCTCTCCAAACTCTTTCCCCAGAGTACTCTTACTAGCCCAGACACTCTCGGCCTAGACCTGAAGTACGTTGTCCTCGGTATCGGCACACAAAACTACACATGTAGTACGCCCGACGACAGCGTGACTCCTGGTACCACTGGTGCATACGGTAAGAACATTATGAGCTCGACAGTAAGGCATCTCTAACAGCCATCTAGCTACCCTATACGATATCGGCACGAAGCTCAACGACGACAAGATGGCCAAATGGAAGATTGGCTCCATTTCGCCTCTTGCACTCTCGCTGAGCGAATGGGCACCTCAAGTTGTTGACATGAGCCTCAGGTCGCAGGGCTACGAACATATCGCCGGTCATCACTTCTTCGCCGATGTGTCAGGAACAAACACGCCAACATTCGCTTTCGACAAGTTGAGCGCACCCTTCCCCATGACCCAAGTGGCCAAGATAGGCAATGTCGATGCACCAGCACACGCATGCCCAGGCAAGAATGGCCTACCTGCTGTTCAGTGGCTGTATCTCCAGCACAAGGCTGGTATCACTCAAGGAGGAATCGACACTGTCTACCGTGTCGAGACTGCTGGTGGTAACAAGCCTGCTACTTGCAAGGGCATGCCAGCTTCTTGGGAGGTCAAATACGCTGCGCAATGTAAGTGTATATGAAACCCTTAGACTGCTGTAGTGGTCCACTAACATCTCGCAGATTGGGTCTATGGTCCAAAGTAGTAGGCGCCTAGCTTGCGACGCTCGTTTCGAGTCAATTACGAACGCTTCTACCCCTCATGCCTTCTTTAGTCCTTCCATAGTTGGATTAGTCGCGCGCGTCTATATTTGTCCCAGAGACATCTAGACAGTGTGCAGCAGGGCATGTGTTTCTTTTCTTGCCACTTTTCATTTCGTCTTCTAAACTTACGATACCCTTTCTTTCCCATGGTTCGTACGGCTTTGCTAGGTTTCAATTCTTCTAAACGGACATTGGCATGGTCATGGGCGTTCGAGGCTGTCAGCATTGGGCCATCATAGTGTACACCGACTTAGTATAGACCTTGCCCTAATTCTAAAAGACTTCTTCTATCTTTTCTGTTCTGGTACTTTCGTGATTCCTCGTGAAATAGTTCACGGTACAGTACGCGAGTCAACGCGCGAGAAGTCAACAAGACGTGATATAGTCCAGGTGATCACAACTGCTATTCCACCAACACAACACGCTTACGTGGACTAAGTCTTACGACACGTACTAGATCGACCGATAACATCGTGGCACGACATGTCAGCCAACATGCGAAGCTCGCCGTATATGCCGCAGTAAGGCGCGCAAGGCTGTTTGCGCTATCACGTCCAGTTCAACAAGCTTAAGATACTGACAGCCCTCATTTGCCAACCGCACGGCGTATGAGCTACCAATAAATACTACCGGCCTCTTCACAAGCCTTCATGTCTCTTACGGTTCTTTTTCGACTCGATCTCAAGAAAGCCTTGCTCCAATACATGACGTGAACCACTCGCCCAGTCCTGTAAGCCCTTTCTTTGCCCAAGATACCTGAAAACAATGCAGCCCTCCTGATTGGATGGCTGCTCGATCGAGGAGTGGTTCGTGCTACTTTGGTGGCTGTGGCAGCGGGTATTTCTCTTGGCAAAGCGGGTGTGGTTGGTGTGGCACAAGTCTGGTTTGACGGCGGCTAGAGTACATCGGAGGTTTTTCTTAGGGTTTTGTATAGTCTTGGCTTGAACTCTATCCATTGTGTGGTTCTCGGAAAAAGAAACGCCTCATTGGCATGCACGGAAAAAGGGCTTCCGTGCGGATGATTTGGCGTAAATATATTCTGCTCATTTTGGCGGTATGATTCCTGTTTGAACCTTTGTCGTATCACATCCATCGAACCCATCGCACCAATGTTCACTCTGGGCCTTCATTTCCGTGTGACCTACAGCGTATTCTGTAGTGCACCTGATGTCCTGCAGCTCCTTATCGTCGACAGTGTTGTCCACGCTTCCAATTCGCTCCTCAGTGATGCTGTAAACCACATTCTTCTTGCCCTGGTCGGGAAACGTGCACTTCTCAATCACGCTTTCTCATACACTACTTCTAGCTGATGTCTAGAGATTTTCAGTTTCTGTCGATGTATCGTTCGTTTTCAGAAGGATTTTGCGACGCTTAGCATACTCTCCTGCACTTCCAAACACGTGTCGTTCGAGACCATCGTACTGGCTGGTTTTGAACGATCTCGCGTTCCTCCTCAATAGTGATTTGAGGGCGGGTCCGGAGGTTGCAATAGTCCCCACGTGTATTTGCATGCTGAACGAAGGAGGTCAGTGCTAACTGACAGTGCATCATTGTGTAAGAGAGAAACTTTCAAGGGGATCACTTACGAGCTCAGAATGTTCATTCTCTGATCAATAGACATAGTCAGCTTGAGGAGTTGATGATTGTTGTAATGAGCTTACAAAGCGTAAATTGGTCATTGTTGTAGAGCCGAACTGGTAATAAGCGTTTGTAATGACTATGGTAGCTGCACTGTAGTCTTATGAGTGATTAGAGACTCGAAAATATAGTAAAAGTACGCACAGCCAGGTTACGCTCAGCAGCGCCATGAAGTTCAAACGTGTTGTTCGAGGCATCTGCGGGTTTCGTATGACCGGTAAAGATATGGTGGCGAATGCCACATCGGTGAACGTGTTGCAAGCTTGTTGATGTTAATATGATTGAGCATTCTTCGCTGGATACCTAGGTATGGTTGGATTTACCTGTGCTCGCTAATGCAGTACTGACAAAGAAACCAACGAGTAGCATCTGGCATTGATGGTAGTACTCCAGGTACCGGATACAGGTGAATACTGGAACGTCAAACTGAAGAATGTGAACAGGGTGAATGCCATGTCGAAGGTTATCATTGCCCATAATGTGTACCTGAACCAGGCGTTGTTCTTGCTCAACCTTAAGAGAAAAAGCGTAATAGATATTTTCCAGTGGTGTCAAAGCAATCATCGCTAGAATACTGGTTTGCTAATAGACGGCCTGGTTGCTGGCTGCAAGATCGGATGGTGTCCAAGGCCATGGCGGCTCTGGACGATGAAACATATCAACTTTGTCATTTCACCAACCTGTCTGCATCGAGGTCTCTTAGGGATACGAGGATATGTCTTCTTGGGAACTTACACATACTCACGTGTTGAGTGATCATCCATTGCTAGCTTGCGCAACACAAACACGCCGCCCACAGCGATGTAGATAACGGCATTCCATTGGATTCCCATGTTTGTTACAAGCCCGAGGCTGCCATCACCTTCGCCACGCCCATTCTTTCGTGTTCGGCGGCTCGTACAGACTGCGGAGACTCAAAGCCAAAAGACCCAGTATGCCGGTCTTCTCAAACCTTACTCGAGTAGGGCTATACACTGGTTCTGTACGCATGCCTTCGTACATGTCAGCATTGATTCTGAGAGTCAATTCTCTTGCTTCCTCGGTCGGCAATCTTCCGTGGGCCGTGTTGGATCTAGTGACTAGCGCCTGTGAACCCTGCCCAGGTGCTGGTGCTGGCTCCACAGCGTCCCGTCTCACGGAACACCATCGAGACTTCCGCGAAGAAAGTGGTAGTAGTAGTAGTAGTAGTAGTAGCTGACGTCTTTCGTTTGCTTTACCCAAAGCAGCATAATGGAGATCGACCGTCGTGGTCGTAAGACACAGTTTTGCGAGCTCTTCATTTAACCTGCATGAAGGAATCTGCCGTTCCTGCGTGGCTGCAGCGTGCTCATCGGTTTCTCGACCTCGACCCGGTCAAGCCATCCCATCGGGTCTTTACGATTCAGCATTTGCAACCGATTAGACGAATCTCGACTCTCGTATCTTGGACTTATGCGACGCTACTGCATAAACATCTGGGACAATGCAGAAACCACGTCGGTTGCCTTAAATGAAGCCCTAATTCAGTAACTCCGATGCGGAAGACTGCAGAGAGCATCTTTCGCCTCCGCGACCACCTCGGATTCAAGTTAGCGAACCTTGCAAGCCTAGTCGCTGCATGTGTGTACAATTTTGATATGGGGCCAAATCGTATCGTAGGCGCATATATCGGACTGTTGGCGCGCAGCTGTCGTCGCTCTGTCCTAACGTAGCGCCTTACTTCTCTTGATGAGATTCCTAGATAACATGAGATTTTGTGGAATCTCTGCCATTGCGCTGGCTTTGACCAGCGTTGCTTTGTCTGCCGCGGTAATACCTCGAGATGATTTGCTTACAGATCTTCAGAATCAGGCCATGGAGGCACTGAAGCAAGCTGAGGCAAACAGTACACTTGCGAAGAGGAGCTGCTCTCTCTCCAACGCACATGTCCGTCGAGATTGGTAAGTGATTTCAGCAGATTACCCGAGAAGATAAGAAGCTAACTTCTGCCACAGGAACTTATTGAGTAAGAAGGAACGAAAGTCCTACATCAAAGCTGTGAAATGTATGATTTCATCGCCATCAAAAACACCTGCAGGACTTGTATCCGGTGCAAAAACACGATACGACGATTTCGTTGCTCAACATATCAACCAGACAACGTCGATCCACGGAACGGGCAATTTCTTGAGCTGGCACAGGTACTTCGTGTACGGCTATGAGAAGGCTCTGCGGGATGAATGTGGCTACACGGGTTACCAGCCGTACTGGAACTGGTTTAGTTACCAAAACGATTTGAGCAAATCTCCCCTTTTCGATGGTTCCGAGACTAGTATGGGTGGTGATGGCGCTTTCCTTAAGCACAATGGCAGTGTTAGCGGTGGTGGCTCGATCCTCTTGCCATCAGGAAATGGAGGCGGATGTATAAAGAGTGGTCCTTTCAAGAAGTAAGTCGGGTATTCTCAAGTTTTGAATCATCCATCTAATAGCGGTCAGTCTGCAACTCAACCTCGGTCCTGTCCTCCCTGCTATGGAAGGATACGCTGCCGTAACGGACCCATTCGAGTGGAACCCAAGATGCGCTCGACGCGATTTCATTCCCACTACGGAAGACTACACCTTCACCAACCTCTATAACATGACACTCGGCGAGGCTTCTCAGAGCGTATACACGTTCCAGAACGAGCTTCAGGGACGTTTTTCCGACGGATTTCTAGGTACACATACCGCTGGACACGTGAAAGTTGGTGGTGATGCCGCCGATTTCTTCAGCAGCACGAACGACCCTGTGTTCTTCCTGCACCATGCCATGTTAGATCGTGTGTGGTGGATGTGGCAGGCGTTGCATCTCAATCAGGCAAAGACAGTAGCTGGTACCATTACTATCCTCAACAACCCACCAAGTAGGAATACTACGTTGCAGGACGTCATCAGCACGAATTTCCTCAACATGCCAGACAGGCCGATCGGAGATCTGCTAGGTTCGCTGGATGGAGAGCCATTCTGTTACATCTACCTGTAGTACATTGAGACATTGTATATACGCTACCTCGAATACAGTACATAGAAATGCACATTTGAATGTTCACTTTTACGCCTAGCTGTTGATGACGGTAATACGCAGCAGGCAACGCGCAAAGACCCATAGAGCCGCGAACTAACACGTACCCACACTCCACGGCCCGCTAATTGGTCCGATCACCACTAGCCATCGTGATACTACTATCGACTCTATGACAACCTCTCAATCAATCTCATCATCGTCTTCCCACAACAATTAAGCGAAGCAGATGCTGCAGCCAATTCCCATAATCGGCGCTGGCATCGCCGGTCTAACGCTGAGCCGCAGCCTCCTCCATCGCGGCATCCCAACCATTATCTACGAAAAGTCAAGCTCAAACCCACGCTTCAATTACGCCATCACTCTTCACTCGACTGCCTACCAGCCCCTTCTGGAAGTTCTGAATCTTGATGATGTTGCGTTCAAGAAACGCGTCGCTGTTGATGCCGAAGATGGCGGGGCTGGAACAATCGGAGAGCAAGTAGATTTACCCAGCCATGGAGGTCTATACGCAACAACATCATCATTTCGCGCCAATAGAGCGAAGCTCGAACACCTGCTTCGTGAAGGTCTCGACATACGTTGGAAACACAGTCTTCAAGGTGTTCAGAGGACTCAAAAAGGACCTAGGATACGTTTCAGTAATGGCGAATCGTGGTCTAGTGGGAAACTTGTTATAGGCGCAGATGGTGTACATTCCGACCTACGGAAACTTCTACTCCCAGCTTTATCACATCTGAACGTCCTTCCGTATGTCGTTTTCAATGGGAAAAGGAGAATGGAGAGGGAGGAATTTGACAACATGTTCCGCGACGTGGCGAGGCCAAGGGAAATGAATGTTTGGGAAGTAAAAGCTGGGGATGTGATGCTTAATGTCAGTGTTAATAAGACGACGAGTGAAGAGGTAAGTCTCAGCTGGATATACTCGCGTCCTGTGCGTAGCGACGAGGATGCACTGCATCGTCCTAATAGGCCGAACGAGGACGCGCAGAAGACACCCGATGAGCTCTTTCAAGAGATTGGTGAGCTGAGAAGTCTGGAATCTCCCTTCTCGGACATATTCGATGCGAAGAAGATGCGCGGGGACAGGATACTGCATTGGCTGATGCGAACAACATCTACACCACTGTCGGATTTGCAGGATCTGTTTGCGAGGAATGGAGTATGTTTAATGGGCGATGCAATTCATGCAGAGCCTATCGTGGGAGGTAACGGAGCCAACGCCGCTATCTTAGACGCATTGGCGCTTGCAGAAGCCATCTCGAGCGAAGAAAAGAGAGACTGGGAAGGTATCGAGGGCAACGTGAAGAAAGGCGTATCGAAGTGGTATGATGAACGTTATCCGGAGTGGGAGCAAGGGGCTGTAGAAAGTCAAAAAGCCATCGCAAGAATGCATGAGGTGTCGTTAGGGGCGGATGCGCGGCTTTAAGTATCCATGTAGGAGTACTCACCGAAGTAAACTACAGAAGCCGCGCCAATGAAGACAAGGGTGGCGTGCTCGATAGATTTGTGTACTAAGAACCTCGTGCTTTCTGGATTATCCGACAGTACAGAAGGTACTCTACAAACACTTGCTGCACCTCCTAGTAATATACTTGCAGAATTCAAGATGTATTATGCCTTTAAAGCACGTCAAGGACGTGCAGTAGAGTTCAGTAAAACAATAGCTGACTGTAACAGCTTTTGTTAGTCACTACAGAACAGAGCGGACTTGGCTAAACAGAAAGCATCTTTGGTATTTTGTAGTCAGATAAAACTGGGCAGCCGCAGCTACCACGCAGTCAGACGACTATCAAGGCGTGTCGTGTTGGTATGGATCTTTTGCTGGCCATTTAGACCGTAGTCTCTTGTTAGAAGTCGTCAAAGGTATCTACCAGCCACCGCCGCCAGTGTCACCTCCCCATGAAGCCTCACCTCCAGCGGCAGCAGCAGCATCGCCATCACCCGCACCCGCACCCGAGCCACCACCTGCATCACCTCCATCCTCAGCAATAGGCTGCTTGCAGCGCTGCTCAGGTTAGCTTGTCGCACTTGCACATTTAATGATATCGAACATACCTTGATGGTGTGGCCCATCTCGTTACAGTTATTACACTTGACCTTAGACCAGTCCTTGGGTTCAGGACAGTCGCGGGAGAAGTGACCCGTCTTTTCGCAGTTGCGGCAAAGAGTCTTTTCCGGGTTCTTAGGCTGGTCGCAGTCCTTGGCCATGTGCTCAGTGGAATCGCAGTTGCGGCAAGCACGAGCGGCAACGTTGGGACACTGTCAGCTGTTAGTATGTGCTAGAGTGATTTGCAGCCCCACGATACTTACATCCTTGGAAAAGTGACCAGTCTCGTTGCACTTGCGGCATTCGACGCCCTCAGCAGAGCGAGGCTCAGGACACTCCTTGGAGTTATGACCTTCCTGCTTACAGTTCTTGCAGGCGTAAGGGTTGACACGCTCCTTGGGGCAGTCACGAGCACGGTGGCCAACTTCCTGGCAGTAGACGCACTGAGCCTCGGGCACGGTGTTCTCGCGCTCAGCCTGCTCTTGCTTGCAGTACTTGCGAACGTGACCAAGCTCACCGCAGTTACCGCATAGCGGGACACCGCAATCCTGAACGTAGCCGCAGGAGGTGAGGCGCTCCAGATTCTCAGTAGGACTCTCAGGCCAGCCTTGAGCCATCTTGGCGCGACGAGGCTTCGCAGAGAGCTGGACGGACAAAACAAACTTGCAGTCTGGGTTACCGATAAGGTCGACGATAGTCATGTTAGGGGCGATCTCCTGCTGCTTGGCGATAAGAAAGATTGCGAGGTCATCCTCGCGGAGAGCCTGTTCGACGGCGGCAAGGTTGAACTCATCCATGGTAGCGCGAGCGTAAGCCCTCAAGCAGATGCGGAAGGCGTCGAGGTCCTTCTCTTTGGCAGCATCGATCAGAGCAATCCAGGCAGCCGAGGCATCCATCTCAGGCACACCGGACCAGTCGACAATGCGGCGAGACTTGCAGTCGACAGCGCGATGGCCTTGCTGATCGCAGAGTTTGCAGGTACCATCGAAAGCACGCTCTACCCTCTCGTTGGTACAATCTGCCTTGTTGTGACCGACTTGACCGCAGTTGAAGCACTCGCCAGTAAGACCGCCACCGCCCTCGGGCTTATCAGGGCAGTCGCGGGCGAAGTGACCGGGCTGCTTGCAGCTATTTTGTTGTCAGCAACATAGAACGAAGTTGGTTGATGAGGCATTGCTTACATGCGACAACCGTCGTCGTTAGCATCGCCTCCGCCTCCGCCAGCGTCAGCACCGCTTCCCCAAGAATCGCCAGCACCTGCACCAGCACCGGCATCATCGCCGTTCCAGCTGTCGCCAGCAGAAGCCGGATCCCATGAGGAGCTGCCGCCTGTCTTTGTGTCAGTAGAGGCTTGAGGCTACCGCAGCATGTCGCATACCTGCAGTTGCACCAGTATCCCAGCTCATAGCTGTGGGTAATGGCTAGGGGGATTGGAGTTGATGTCAAGTGTCTGTACGACAGTATGGTTAGCATATGCAACAAGTGAAGAGTTAATGCTGACAATCCGAGACTGTCGTCGTAGTATGGAGTGAAGAACCAACCACCGGATGGGAGTGACTGACCTTTTTGGAGTTCAGTGATAGTAACGCGACCTGTCTGCAACAAGCACCGAAGAGATGATCAGAGCGATCGAATAGTAGATTGCGGTCGGTCGATCGACTGCTGGGAAGAACTGAGAAGTAGGTATTGGGATTGAAAATCGTGTTGTGGACGCAACTTCTCTATTGATATGTGGTAAACAGGCGGAGGGCCCGTGCTGAAGCCCAGCGATAACAACGCAGGTGAAGGTGAGGTCAGTATTGTAAATCGCTATCAGTATCGGGAAGCTGTAGGTGTATCATTGGCGATATGCCACGCGATATGCTGGGTATGGTAAGAGAGGATGCGTGTGATGATATGGAAGAAACGTAAAGCGTCGATGGCCGCTTTGGGGCGACAGTGAGAGCAGAGCGATGATCTACTTCAACAGAAAGAACAGGAGCAACGAGAACACCAAGAAGTCAAAAGAGAACAGAAACAGATAGTCAGAAACTCTTGTGAACGTTGAACTGGCATTTGGCACATGAAATACGTAAATACTCATCCTGCACGCCGAGATCGCGTGCTTTTCCAAGAAGCTGGTATCATGTCATGAACCTCACCAAAGAAAAGGATGGAGGCCTTCGCTGCACCACCCATGATCATTTAATACCTGAACGCCAAAAATGACTTCAACCCCCCAAACTGTCGACATCGTGTCTGATTATACACCACGGAACTGCAGATCGTTAGTATGTGCTTCATGTCTGGTTGTTGTTGTTGCCCGAAAGCCATTGGTGTGTCACTTACCATTCGTACCACCAAGAACCACATAGCTCCGATGAACCTAAACGCAGCCAAGCCAGCAACACTGTAGAGAACTACTGCCAGGTAAATAGTGGCAGCGTCGTTCTGCTTCTGCTGGGCCTCATCGGGACTACTGACGGTGAGCTCCAGGCCACCGGACTGCAGAACCAAAGCCGACAGGCCCAAATTGCAGAACATCCAGAACAGCACGACACCAGATCGAAAGCCCTTGTAGTAATCTTCTTGCTTCTCGCTGGCTGAAGGAACCTTTTTCTCTTCCTTCCACTTAGCGCTGAAGACGCGGAGTTCTGTTTCGTACTGAGTGTTGAGATCGGCGTCGTCAGTTGGCGCCTGGATATCTGCTTTACCATCAGCCTTGGTGGTGACCGAAGGCAACTTTTCCGGTTTGTCGTCTCCCTTAGTGCCCCAAGTGATATCGTGGGTGTTGCAGAAGGCGTAGACGTTGAGAATGTTGATGTAGGTGGGTGTCATGAGCAGGTATTGGAAGAAAGACGTGAACATGTGCCATGGATCCAGGAAGATGATGGACACCACTAGCCACATCACATACGTTGATAGTAGTGATATGATCAAAGTGGCAAAGATCTTATCCTTGAACAGGTCTGCCGCGTTGAAGCCACCGTTAGTTTCGATCTGTCCCTGGACGGAGCGAACAGTGATGAAGATGGACGCGAACATGAGATAAGCCATGATAATGCACCAGAAGTAGACCATAGACATGTACCACTTGTTGGAACCCTGTGGCCGATTACCAAGTGATAATATGAAACATGTTATCAGCACAGCGATGTAGAGCCACTCGAACACGATAAAGAGTACTTTACCCGCGGTACCGAGTTCGTTCTGCAAGGAGGCAGTAAGGATGCGGAAAACCAGGAAGAAGTTACCAAGAGCAAACCAGGCAAAGATCATGCTGATAGTTTGATAGACAAACTCAACGAGAAACATGGTTTTGCGCAAGAAAGAGTGGTCACTCCGGAAGATGTCGAAAGAGTGAGCCAGGGCGTAGACAGCAGCGAAGAAGGATCCGTTCAACCAACGACGACGTTGACTGATGAATTCGGCCATGGTGGTCGGTACATCCGTCTCTCCGGTAGCAGATTTGACATACTGGAGGATCCAGTGGCAATTTCTCTTGGAGACGAGCTCGAAGCACAGAATACGGTCCTCGGCCAGGTACATGTTAGCTGTGAAAATTCCAGCGTTGGCACCGTGCATCTTTTCACCAGCAAAGTACTTCTCCAGTGGCCCTTGTCCAGTCTTGTCGTTTTGGAGCGCTACGTAGCGATATGCGGAGAAGGCACCAGGAAGCACAGAGATGAAACCAAACGCAGACTCGAGAGGCTTATCCAGGATGTTACTCATCTTGTACTCAAAATTCTGTGTCGCAACCAGCGGGTTCAAGAGCTTTTTGCCATGCACAAGCATAGCCTTGATCTCACCACAGGCACCTGCACACATGGGCTCGAGATCAAATGCCTTCCACAGCTGGTAGACTGAGTCTTTTCCAGGCTTTGTACCAGCATCGATAAGCACGCAAACATTGGGATCCAAAACAGCTCCGAAAGCCTGGAAGAACCATCGATGGGAGTTGATCTTCTTCTGGTTCTTTTCTTTCAAACAGAACAGCATTTGGACGGGGGTGTTGCCCTTCTTGACACCGACGACGCCCTTCTTGATGTCAAGCGTCATTTGCGTGGTGTACTCATAGATATGGGCAGTCACATCCTTGCCGTTGACTTGCTGCTTGGCAATGCCGTCCTGGTAGACACCGAGGGCTGCTAGCACGGCGCGGGTCCTCGGGTTGATCTTGGCACGACCATCGCTGACGACGCAGACTACGATCTTCTTCCACGCGTCCTTGCCCCACGTCTTGCTGTTGGTTCGCGAGTTCATATACTCAATGTTCTTGATGACACCAATCATTGTTCGCGCAAACAATTCATCCTCCTCGTTGTACATGGTGATAACAATGAAGAGCTCAGTGTGCCTTGGCTTTGCAAAAAGCTTCTGACGCAAAGTGAAGCGCTCTGCATCGAAGTCTGCAGGGTCGCATGTGGCGGCCGAGTAGCGCATATGAGTGAACTCGTCACGCTCCGGGGGCTGTGCATGTGGAACCTGGTTCAGTAACCGCGGCGGAATTGGACAATCGAGCACCAAATTGCCCTTGAACAATTGGACTTCCTTGACTGTTTTCCATCGCTTGATTGGAGCTGGGCTAGGTGTGGGCGCGGGCTCATCGTGGAAGGGGTTCTCTGGGTCCATGTCATCTGCGTCATGGGGATCCGGGCCATAGGAATTGGCCCCGTGTATCATCGGTCTGTTCATGTCCTCATCTTGCCAGTAATGCGTCGGTTGTGTGCCGTATCCGGCGCCCGGGCTCTCATCATGCGGAGTTGGGTCGTAAGGCTGGTTGTAGTATGCATCGTGATGCGCTTGGGGGTCGAGCGAGTAATCGGAGTCGTGATGTTGTGGTCGTGGGTCGTAATCGTCGTGATAGTTGCCAGCGGCGTATGGGATATTCTCTACTGAGTACTGTTCTATGTGTCAGCCTGCACTGTCTGCATCGCTCGTCGTCTCCTTGGAGGCGCAATACATACACTTGGTTGTAACGGCAAGCGGTCGCCGGAGGCTGCTGCTGGGTTGGGTCCCATTGGGATTTCCAAGATGCCCGAGGGCTGTGGTGACGCATAGCGGTCTTGATGTGGTGATGCATAGCGGTCTTCTAGTTGATAGCCACGGAGAGGCTGCCCTGGCGAAGGAGTGCGCCCAACTTGTCTTCGGGGATCCATCTCGTACGGGTCGTCGCTACCGCCTGGTGCGCCTATGTAGTACGGTTAGCTTGACTGGCAAGTGTGGCACCTCGTGGTGGAAAAGGCTTGTTCGGTGGTTTGCGAAGGTGTCGAGGTTGACCGGCCTCTCCCATGCGACCTCGAGTCTGCCAAGTTATTACTCACCTAATCTGTTGTATGACATGTTGGTGTGTTTCCAGCGTATGCTGCTGCGCCTTCAATCTTTCTGCAGCAATGCGACGGGCGGATCAACAGGCCAAAACACAAATACAAGGGGTTGCCCAGTTGAAAAGCCAAAGGTGCGACTGTTATGGTGTGCTATCGTATAGGCGTCGCGGGACAGGCGACTGGTATATGTTCGGGTTTCAGGATGTGTTTGGTGCGTTTGGCGGGCCGGTAGCGCTCTGGGGTTGTTTACTGTAGCAACCAGCGGGTACGCATGGGCGGTCAAATGATGTAACACCAAGAAGAGCGCAAGTAACCGGCTTTCAGAGATTGCAACGACTGGGGCCTCAAAGCCTATAGAGATGAAGTGGTTGCAGCTGAGTTTAGCTCGTGGAAGACTGGCTCCTTGGAGGGTTCATCCATTCAAGTGCACCTGAGCAGCTGCCAAGGAAGCACTCGCTGCGCAATCGTCGTGGGGTGCGCCACACTTCACAGCCCTGCTATTACGAAGCCCCAAGGTCTATTTCCGTCAAAGCTTTGCTCACCAACGGCTGTGAAAAGGCCGAACTTTATCGCTATCGATAGATGATTGGAGCATACATGTTGACTAGACGACATGGCTTTTCCTTCCTGCATCTCTCGTCAGCATGGCACTTTTACTCCTTGAATATCAGGCAAGTCATCAGGCGCATGCACATGCAGATGCGGCTCTGGCAACTGGACGATTTCGGAAACCCCACCAAGGCCGAAGTGACAGGTCACTCGTACATACGTAGACGTGTGGCTGCCGCAGTGCGAGAATGGCTCGAGTGTTTGTCGATCTTTACACTACACTGCGTATGCCTACGAGTGAGCAGCAAAAGCAACTCAAACCCTCAATTCAGCATGATACCTGCGTTGTCTTATGATTATAATGCACTGGTGATCGCTCGTTGTCACGTTTGGCGTGCGTGCACAGTACCTGTCGATCCCACGTCATTTGCGGCGGTGCACATCGAGTCTTACAAGACATCTCACCGTACCTAGAGAGTGTAATTGTTGTCGCGGTATTAGTGTATGATACATGGATCGCCAAAGAATATCACGCGAATCCAGGTAGCCTACTCTATCGCAAGTGGAAGCGCCTGAACTGTTGCTTGACCTAACAGGCCCAATCCCGACGATACGCCGTCCCAAGATGATCTCCGATCTTCCCAGATTCCTCGCATCCTCGTATTCCCACAACACTCAATCGCAAAGGAACCTCACGCCTACCCAACCTACCCACACACGACCAAGACACCTCCCATATCGCCACGATGAGCGACTCCAAATCCCCTAGACCCGTCTCCGTCCTGTTTGTCTGCCTAGGAAACATCTGTAAACACACCCCTCCACCCTTTGTATCCCACCACAGCACTAACCTCTCCCAACAGGCCGTTCAACAATGGCTGAAGGCGTCTTCCAGTCTCTTACCGCACCCTCGCACCCTTTGATCTCAACAATCGACTCTTGCGGCACGGGCGCCTACCATGTCGGTTCCAGCCCCGACTCACGCACCATGGCTACCCTCAAAGCGAACAAGATAACCACCTACCGCCACTCGGCACGAAAGTTCTCTCCTAGCAGCGATTTCGAAAAGTTCGATTACATACTCGCAATGGACGATGAGAATCTAGAAGATTTAGAGGCATTGAGGCAGAGGGAGCTTAAGAAGAAGGGCGGAAGCGACGAGGGCATTGGGAGGGTTATGCTGTTTGGAGAGTTTGGGGGGGAAATGAGGAAGGGGAGGCGTGGAGAGAGGGGCGAGGAGATTGTGGACCCGTACTATGGAGGAGATGATGGGTTCAAGACTGCGTACGAGCAGTGCATGAAGTTTGGCAAGGTGTTCTTGGAGAGGCTTGAGAAAGGAGAGCTGAGCTGAAAGGAGGCGAATGGATGGTAGAATATTATTTCAAGTGTGGAGTGGTTGTGCGCTTAGATACCCCATAGACTGCCCTAGGCTACAATGCATGTACAATTCCAGTTGGACTCTAATAAGCCTCATTACAACGCGTGATGCTTCCGGGGTATAATTCGTTATCATGTCGTATCGCTACGAGTTCCGCTTAATCTGCCTCTCTAGATCCAGTAGCTTCTCTACCAATTTTCCTCGCATAAAGTCAGTCAATCCCAAACTGCTTCTGTTAGCTTCGCGCCCAACTCTCTGGATTACAACAAAGATACTCACATGCCCTCCCTCGTCACAACGCGGTACGTCCCACTGTTCTGCCAGCCTCCGTCTCCTCCACTAAAATGACCATTGCCGTCAACTTCCACACTGCCGAAGATGTCCTCGGGCCACGCAATGCGCCCATAGTCTGGTGGATTCCTCAGATCACTGATATGTATCCAACCTCCATGACCTGCTCCTCCCATGCCGCCTTGGTGATTTGCGCCGCCTGCGCCATCGTTCGGTTGCGAAAGGTTAGAGCCGCCTGGTGACGCGTAGACGGCTGCTTGCGATTGTACATATGGGTCAGAGATGGCGTGTGTGGCGAACACAGAGGATAGGATGGGAAGGAACTGTGGGTTCTCGGTGAAGTTCTGGGGCGTGGGTGGGAGAGCAGTGCATGTGCCTATGGCGAGTTGTGGTGTGGGAGGTTCGGTGGGCAGTAGTGATAGCAAACGTTTGCTCGGATCGAACGGATCTTTATGTACATACTGAACCGGGTCAGTAGGTGTTGTCCTAAAAGCGTGAGTTACATACAATGTGTTGATTCTCTGGCAATGTCGAAGCATTCCTCGCGCCTCTGAGACGAAGTGTTTGCGCTGAAGGACGTACACGACGCGCAGAACGCACGAAGGTGTTCGCAAACATCTGATACAATACAGGACACATGAGTATATACAATCGTAGGGTCTGAGACTTGTTTACTATCGTTGCTGGGAATGAGGCCGAAACCTTATGCTCAGATGCTCGATTACTAACAATGACGAGGACTTCGGGAGTCCGCACTAGCGGCAGATCAAGCCGCGCGTTGCTCCTTCCGTCTTAGTCTCGCAACAAAGTACCTTAGCCACCTCGATTGTCCATGACCACATATCCGGGATAGCTTAAACAAATTTGCGCTGAGTCCTAGATAGTGCCGTTGTCCCGCGTGGACCCTCGGAAAATCACACCTAGTTGTAACCCAAGTCTCGACCGCCGGCCATGATCATTCCCCAAACCATTGCTAGCGCTACCCCACTAGCCATGCAAAATGTTCGCATTGGCGAATGGGAGTGCCCACGCAGTTGGTGGAGGCATGGCCGAACGGTGTATCGGCTTAAGTAAGTAGGGAAGGTGCTTCGTTGAGAAGTATCTGTTCCCCTTCGACTCACCAGTCTATTTCGTGTTATCGCAGTTCCACATCATGGCTTCGGACGCTGTGGAGATAGCACCCATCGAGAAGAGGGTCGGGGAGACGAGCGATGCAAAGCAGACAGGGTTGCACCAGGATGTCGAAGTCGGACCCGAAATGGTCGATATTGATAGAATAGAGAGAGTTTACTCGTAAGTTGTACATTTTCTCGCCATGAGTTATCGTAGATTATGCTAACAGCCACTCAGCAAGCTCGACCGTCGGATTCTGCCAGCGTTCTGGGTCTTGTACTTCTTATGCTCGGCAATTCGCTCCAACATTGGACTTGCTCAAACTATGAACCTGGCTGAAGGTCACGATCTTGGATCCGTACTCAACATCACGCCGAAACAGGTCTCTACTGGTCTGGCGCTGTTCTACGTCTGCTATGTCATCTTCGACCTTCCTTCCAACCTCATCATGTCAAGGGTTAGTCCTCACGCTTGGATGAGTCGCATCGTCACTTGTGTTGGTATCATTGGCATGTGTCTGACTGCTATGAATGCTGCCTGGAACCTTTAGTAGGTACTTTCCCTGCATGTTATATTCAAAGACTAACAACAAACCAGCCTTCTCCGATTGCTATTGGGTATCGTCATTGCAGGCATGTGGCCCGGTATGTCGTATTACCTGACACTCTTTTACCCTCCGTCTCGCACCGGCAAGCGCATCGGACGCTACTTCACAGCGTCCCAGATGTCTGCGGCGGTCGTGGGTCTTGTCTCAGCTGGTTTCCAGAAGATGGACGGAGTAGGTGGTCTGGTCGGATTCCAGTGGATGTTCCTATTGTACGGTATCGTCGGCTTCATCGTCGGCATATCGCTACTTTGGTGGCTTCCCGATAGGCCACTACCTCCTGGTGAAGTTCGTCAACCAACTGGATTGGCGAGATGGCTGCCGCAAGGCAAACCAGCCCTAGAAGGCGAAGACGCGCGCATCCATTACGAAGATTTGACCCGCGTCTACAGCCGCAAGCTGTGGAATATGAAGGATCTCTGGCACGTCGTAATCGACTGGAGAATTTACCCCCTTGTCGTCATGTACTTTGGTGTGGTGGGAGTAGGCAACGGAACACAGGCTTACGCGACTGTTATCATACGCGGCATCAACCCAAGCTTGACGGGCATTCAGCTCAGTCTGCTTTCCGCACCCATCTGGATTGTAAGTATCTGGGTCTTGTTGTGTGAATCGAGCTAATTGCAACAGATGGACCTCATCGCCATTCTCCTCGTGACGCCAATCTCTGATCGTTTCCACCATCACCGTCCTGCTTTCTTCAGCGGCGCCGTTGTAATACAGATTGCAGGTCTGTTGATCGCCACATTCGCCAAAGATTGGTCACGTTACGGTGGTGTGCTACTTATCGGCTTCGGACTGGGCCCGACGGTGCCCATTTGCATGGCCTGGTCCAACGAGATCTTCCAGCCCCGCCATGGAGAGGTGGGTGTAGCAGCAGCTAGCGCACTTGTGTCTGGACTTGGTAATCTAGGAAGTATCTTGACTACCTACGCACTCTATTCTGGATGGCCCGAAGATGCCAAGGACGGTCCGCACAAGTACCGCAACAGCAACTTTGTCATGATTGCCATTCTGTGCGCTAGTATACTCAGCGCAGGAAGCATGGTGGTCCTACTGAAGATGTTTGGCGACAACAAAGGAAAGCAGGTTAGTAGTGCAAGCTCGACTAGCGAGGGCGAGGCTGCATACGTGGATGGTGCTGCTCGGCGCGAGGTCCAGCAGAGGGGTCTCGGACGAATGTTTTGGTTCCGATGAAGAGCGGGTGGAGAATGGTCCTGCAGGCGGTGATTGGCAAAGTGGCAGTCATGGAGAAGACATTGATTGAGATGGGTTTCTGGAATTGCCCATGGGGCAGCCAGAGGGTCACGAGAACGCGGAGCACTCGCGTGGAGGCGGGAACCAGGTCTACCTGATGCAAGTCAACAACCCCGGGCTGACAGCGCTGCTGCGACTGCTGTAAGACAAGATATACAAGTACCACAAACCATAGTACGTTGTTCCGATTAGTTGTTCCGTTTGCCTGTGTCGTTGGGATTGCCGTCGCAGGTGTGACTGATAGCAATAGCCGACCGACGCCGGAGCAGCGGTTGTTCAACTCGCAGGCAGAGCCAAGAGGGGCTTCACGATACCCCAAGCTCCGTCACTTTTTGCGCCTAGCCTGCTTCCCCATAACTCCATCTTTTTCTTCGCCCTGCTCCGCTTCCGGCGCCTTGCCTCGCGTAGAAATCCTCGCAACCTCTGCTCCCAACATCCAAAGCACCCCGTGTCTCATCAGGAGCGCGCCCCACCACAGCTGTCCATGCACTGCAGTCGACGATCTGACAATCGATAAACCGTGTCACCGACTCGGCCGCCTCACACCGATCAGTCGCACGCAACCGCTGCAAGCACGCGCTCCAGGGAGTCATTGTACACGCCCTTTCCCCTTCGCCCCCAGACACGTTTGATGGTGGCCCTCGCAGCGTAGTAGCGGGGCAGTGAGCCAAGCGCGGTATACTCGCAGCACAGAGCCCCAGGACCACGGCTTGCGCGCCCCGCTGTAAAGAAACAGACAGCAGTGACGTAAGTGCTCATTGTTTGCCAGCACCCGCGTCCGTCTTCACATGCTTTTGGAGCCACCCGCTCGTCTGGCTCAGCCCTGCATCGGCATACCTGCTAACACCCCATGTATAGTCCCCGCAGGCGCTCACCAGCTACCACCCCGGCCAAAGCTCCAGCCAGTGCTCCCAGGCACGACAAGCCCCACTACATCACCGCCGCTCCATCAACACCACGCGCACCATGTCAGCCGCAATCGACAACGAAGACCTGGAGGAGCTCTCCATCTCCATGCCCGCCCAACGGCGAGGAGCTGGCGCCGCAAGCACCACCAAGGCCCAGGACCATGCCGTCGCGCCGCCCACTGCGCTCGGCACAGCTGTGCAGGAGAGCAAGAGCAAGGACTCCAAGGCGAACCAGCGGCTCGGACAGTACACCATAGTCAGGACACTAGGCGAGGGCTCGTTCGGTAAAGTCAAACTGGCGACACACCAGGTCAGCGGCCAGAAGGTGGCTCTCAAGATTATAAATCGCAAGCGACTCGTCACTCGAGACATGGCCGGCAGGATAGAGCGCGAGATCCAGTACCTGCAGCTGCTACGACATCCTCACATCATCAAGCTGTGAGTGGACTGCATATTCATAGCTTTCGTATACTGACCGCCCGCAGGTACACAGTCATAACGACACCAACTGAGATTATCATGGTCCTCGAATACGCCGGCGGTGAGCTGTTCGACTACATCGTCAACCACGGGAAGCTGCAGGAAGCCCAGGCGCGCAAGTTTTTCCAGCAGATCGTCTGCGCCGTTGAATACTGCCACAGACACAAGATCGTACACCGAGATCTAAAGCCCGAGAACCTCCTGCTCGACGACGAGAGCAACGTCAAGATTGCCGACTTCGGACTCAGCAATATCATGACAGACGGCAACTTTCTCAAGACAAGCTGTGGAAGTCCCAATTACGCCGCACCCGAAGTCATATCTGGAAAGCTGTATGCAGGTCCAGAGGTCGATGTCTGGAGTTGCGGTGTCATCCTCTACGTCCTACTCGTAGGCCGACTACCCTTCGACGACGAGTACATTCCCACTCTGTTCAAGAAGATCGCGGCCGGACAATACAGCACGCCAAGCTATCTATCCCCTGGCGCCACGTCTTTGATCAGGAAGATGTTGATGGTCAACCCCGTACACCGCATCACAATTCCTGAACTTCGACAGGATCCCTGGTTCACCAAAGATCTGCCTGCGTATCTTGAGCCACCTGCCCAAGACTTCTTCGATAGCGGCGCTGACCCGAACAAGGCAATCGATCCCAAGGCTCTGGCACCATCAGCAGATGCTCCCCGTGTACAGGCGCTACATGAGAATGTTGTCTCGAAGCTTGGCAAGACTATGGGTTATGCAAAGCATGATGTGCAAGATGCGTTGGCGCGGGATGAGCCAAGTGCAATCAAGGATGCCTACTTGATTGTTCGAGAGAATGAGATGATGCGGAAGAATCGTAAGCCAGCTCTCACTTAAACACGTACATGGCTAACAGTTTATCGCAGCTTTATTGACAGGTGCTGAGTGGGATCAAATGTCGCCTCCTACTCACGACAGTCACATGGATAGATTCAGGCCCCAATCGCTGAATGCAGCTACTCGTCCACAGTTCATACCGCCATCAAATTCTGAACACGAACGAGTACGTCAAGGCTCAAATGCCAGTAGCCAGCTTGCGAACATTCGAAGTCCTGTCAGCACAGTTGCTATCTTGCCTAGCAGTCTCACGGAATACCACAAAGCCTATATGAAAGGTCATCCGCGACCTCTGAACAAAGTCCAAGAACATGATGGTCTCCCACCCACCCCAGAACAAACTGAAGAACAACGGCAGATCTCAGCCAGAAGGTTGAAACCGAACTTCCGCACGATGCCAGAAGCAGGCAGAAACAAACCCGAGCCAATGACAAGTCTACCAGCCAAGAAACCTCGAGCGACCAAGTGGCAGTTTGGTATCAGATCTAGGAACCAGCCCGCAGAGGCAATGCTTGCGATATTCAAGGCACTCAAAGCGATGGGTGCTGACTGGGAAGTACCTAAGATACGTAGAGCAGGCGGCAGAAGTGGATCTCGTAGCCGCAGTACCTCTCGGACTCCCGACGATCGCTCACCACCTAAGTCACGAAGTCAATCGCAAGACTCGATATCATCGCACTCTTCGCATGAAGATCAAGGAGCTAGAGTGAACTCGCCACATCGTGAGCCGCTTAGTATACGTAACAAAGATGCAAATGAACAGGAGACAAGAGGTCGGCAAAAGAGGCATTACAATCACACCAATGACTGGGGTTACCATGTACCGGAAGATCCGTGGGTCATCAATGCCCGCTTCCGCAAAGAAGGCATGTTCCCTCCTGGCGTCGCACATCCTTCTTCGACGCACTCGTCGCGCGTGGATCTCGCCAACGATCCCTCTGGTCTTCGCAGGCGTAGTTCGACCAACGCAAGCGCATCGAGTATTCACGGAGTGGATGGCATGACTCCGTCTGAGCGTGCAGCTTCCCGCGCCGCTTCCATTAGCGAAGGGCACCCTGACCCCGACGAAGCGGTCTACATATACATGTCCATTCAGCTGTACAGTATCGACCGCGACTTCTTCGTCGTAGACTTCAAATGCGCAGGCTACGAGCGTCTCGTTTCCAATCTTGTCCGTGAAATAAAGGCGTCTCCTTCCATCACATTATCTTCTAGTCATTCAAACCCACACCAAGATGGTTGGGATGACGAACAGGGTGTGTGGCGTAGACTGGGTGAAGGTGAGCCGCTGCCAGAGGATTTGGCGAACAAGCTCCGTGAGGGGGGTACAGATATTCTCCGAGAGCGGACGGAGCTTGTGGGTGCTGGACGGCAGGAAGGAGAGAAGATTGTCACTAGTCCTTTTCCTTTCTTGGATGTCGCTAGCACGCTTATTCTGCAGTTGAGCGGAGAGTAGTCATGGTGTTACAAGACGGATAGACTTGGCGCTGTTGGTATGGGCTTTGTGAGACATGGGAAACAATGCGATATGCGTAGCGTGGGATTCGCAAACTTTTAGATCGCGTATAGAGGCAGATGTACGAAGAGGCTTTGATACCAATGTAGTATATTATGCCCAATACATCTATCTAGATCACACACTTTCTGTCATGTCATCATAATCATCATCAACAAGAACAACAACCATGCGTACATTTACAACTATACACAACCAGGAGCAGGAGAGGTATGGCAAACAAAAAACGCCCTTTTGTTGCTCGATCGTGCATTTCGTGCCCCCAACTTTGGTCATCTTTCCAATCTCTGCGTCCACGCAACTGCCTATACTAAATACACATTTTGGAACAAAGGGGTGAGAAGAGCGTAAGAGCAGGCCGCTTGGAGCAGAGAGAAAACAGCGTGCAAGGTGGCGTAGATAGGATGAGAAGAAGGTGTATTATGAACCGGACGTGGGCATCTATCGCATGCCACCTGCGCCAAAACCGCCAGCAGCGGCGCCCATAGCACCTAGTCTTGAGGCGAGCTTGGGGTATTTTTCTTGTACCTTGAGGAAAGAGTTAGTACTTGTTGTTGTTATTGTCTGGAAAAAGCGTGTTTGGTGACGTACCTCAAGTTGTGTCCTGGTTGCCTCAGCATAGCTAAGTGCGTTGACGATCTCGCCTTCTGTCCTCGACAGCTCGGCAGCACGCTCAAAGTACTTGAGCGCCTCTGTGACCTTTCCTTGTTGCAACAGCAACTGTGCCATGGTGGCAACAGCAATGTCGCACTCTGGATCGATGATGAGCGCCTTCTCGCACAGCTTCTCGGCATCGTCGAAGTCGTTCTTCCATTGGAACAGCGCAAGGGCCTTGTTGATGAGGGGCAGGACGTTCATTCCGAGGGGCTTGCTCGTCTTCTCCATCTCGACAGCAGTGTCAAACTTCTCGATAGCCTCCTGGTACTTTTGCTGATCGAGAAGCAGTTCTCCGTAGTAGTTGTAAACGTCGGGTACCTGTGAGAAGTTCTTCATGCAGCGGCGGAAAGTGGCCATGGACGAGGCGATGCTGCCCATCTTGTATTGTGTGACACCAAGTTGGATGTGGGAGAAGATGAAGTCCTTGTCGAGATCGATCGACTTCTGGTAGTCCTTTGCAGCCTCGCCAAACTCGGACTTGATGAAGTGTAGTTGTGCGCGGTGGTAGAAGATGTCGG